CGGCCCGCAGCGCCCGCGCCCGGCCTCAGCCCCGCGGCTCACCAGGAGTAGGTCTGCTCCGCCATGGCTGCGGCTGGGCGGCCGGCCGGCTGGGCTGTGCGGGGCGGCCGGGCCCCGGGCTCCTCCTCCGCCTCCTCCTCCGCCTCCTCCTCCGCCTCGCAGGCTCCGGGGCTCAGTGGCGGCCCCGCTGCGGCTCCCGGCCCAACATGGCGGCGGCTGTGAGGAGGGAGGGGAGCGAAGGGGGGGTCCCCGCCCGGGCGGGGAGGGGATGGCGGAGAGGGCGATGGTGGTGGCAGGGGAGAGCGGAGGCTCAGCAGCCGGGACGCAGGGCCGCGCTGGGGCGCCGGCGGGGCCTCATGGCCGGCGAGGCGGCGGCGGCGGCGAGGGGCGGGGCGGGGGCGGGCGGGCGGGCGGCGGGCACCGGGCGGCCGGCGGGCTCCGCGCCAGGCCGTGCCCGGTGACCGGAGCAGGGAGAGGCGGAGCTTCCCCCGCTAGAGAAACGGAGCGGCAGCGGCGGGCGGCTTCGAGTCGGGGCCGCGGCCCCAGCCCAGCCGTAGCAGGACAGCGTCGAGCTCCCGGAGCCGGGGCGGTGCTTTTGTTCCGGCTGGGGCCGCACGCGTGATCTCGGCCCCCGGGAGCCGAGCGGGGCCGGGTGCTGCGGGCACGGCCGCCCCGGGGTGGCGAGGGGCCGGGGAGGGCGAGCGGGACACGGCTGCTCTCCCCGCGGCGCTGGCGCCTCGCAGGGGGACGGGACCCCGAGGGCGCTGGGCCGCTGTCGCGTTGGGTTTGCTCCTGGAGCAGGGGTAGGGGCAGGGTTCAGGTAGGGTAACGCGTGGATTAGGGCGGTCAGATTCACAGTGTGTTCCTGGAGACTGGTACATCTTGGGATTTGTTCCCTTTTAAAGCAAGCAAATAGGACCAAACGTGAAAAGTACTTCGTAAAGGAAGGAAAATAACACTCAAGTTACATGGACCAAATAAAATTCCTATGCTTCATGTTATCACCAGCCCTATATCAAACGCAGGCAAATCCCAGGCAGAGGAACCATCAGTGCTTGGTATGGGGCTTGCCTCTCTCCCTGTTTTCTTTGGTGCTGCTGCTAAACCTTCGTTCCTAATGTTTCTGCCAAATGCAGAACCAGTGGCCTGTCTTAGGCTTGCTCACTTGAGGACTTCTCACCTCCTGTTATTTCACTTGCAGTGATTTGTGGGAGTGGGGCTTTGGAGAGTTCAGAGCAATTGTTCCAGTCCAGCTGTGCAGTCTCATTCATTGCTCCTTCCAGTGTGGGAGGGAGAAGAGCCAGTTTTAGCTTGCAGCTGGAGGTGAGGTAACAGCATTAAAAATAGAGAACAATGCCCAGGTCTGGTAAAAATAGGTATTTGGTAAAAAAGAAAGAAAAAAGATAAATTCTATGCCTTAATAGAATTTTGCTAAATTAATGGAACATTCTCATTGCATCTACAGAGATGCCACATGCCCACTGGAGTTTATTGCTGTTAGTTAATTAAATAAATAATTTCCATTTTGTCCATCTCATTTATGCTTTTAAATGGATAAAACCTGCGGGTGGTGAGTAGTCATGACACAGGATTCAAAGTCAGGAACGTCTCATTTCTTTTTCAGTTGTTACCAGCTGCCTGTGTAATCTTAGGTGCTCCCTTCATCTCTGCTTCGTTCCTTCACCAATAGAGGGGAAACTGCACCACATCACAGCTACCTGAGGTTCTGGGGCGCTGCCAAAGGAAGATGCTGCATACGTGACACAGGCTTGGTCTCGGTGCAGGAGATGCCTGGCATGCTTGTGCTTCAGCTAAGCAGCACTGTTGGGAAGATGGTGCTGGACTTGGAAGGCTTCTCCCCCTGTATGCCTGTGTCTTCAGGCATTGAGAACAAGTTGTCACCTCAGCATTCAAACCCTTTGTGATTTTCACAGCCCTTTGGCTTTGAGGACAGGAATGACCTTAGAGCTCCTGACATTATCAACTCTCCACCACTTACAGAAATCTGCTTGAGATTTAGATTTATCAGCTATGAGGTGGCAATACTCAAAGTACCATGACTGACTAGCTTTCTGGGATGCCTGCTGGAGTCAGGCTGGCAGCTAGGTGTGCAGGAAGGATTTGATGGTGAGGAATGCTAGCATGTCCTCTCATCCAGCTCAGGCTGGGCTACTTTGAGAAGCTTCCTCCCCTATTTGACCATAGGCCTCTTTGCCTTTCAGCTTCCACCCCATCTGCAGCACTTGTGCCAGTATCAGTAGACATAGGAAATGCTGGTGGGTGGGATAGAAGGAGAGAGGGGCAAGTCGTGTGCAGAATCCTGAGCTGTGGGGTACACAGCAGAGTCATTTGGCTTTTGTTGGGAATTCTGGTGTTTCCACGTACACACATCTCCTCTTAAAAAAGCACTCAGGCTCTGTGTAGCACTTCCACAATGGAGAACCTCCCTCCTTGTATTCTCTGTCAACATAGCTGGAAAATCTACAGTAGCAATTAGAAAATGGACAAATAATGTGGAATCTCCACTGTGGTGCATCCCTAGCATCTCTGGCATGCCTGTTCATCCTACCCTGTTCACTGGCTATGACAGAGCAAACGCAAGAGGAAAAAAAGAACCTCTCCATCCTTTTAAATTGATGCAGAGAAAGATAAATCAGTACTTCAGCCTTGTCTTGGTCCTAAAGAGCTTTTCTTCTTTTCTCCCTGAGATTAGGACGTAAAACTGGTATTTATCTATGAAACAATATCCCTGCTTCATGTCCATATTGAAATAGATTCCAGTTTTTTCAGTCTTGCAAGATTTCCAGCACATTAATTCAGCACAAATGATTTATAGTTGATGAACAATTAAAGTGTATTTCTTTTTCATCATCTCAGGCTCTGTGACTGGATTACTAAATGATTCTTCAAGCTTGCTCTGTCATTACAGGTTAGCAGTGGGATGAATTCACAGGAGAAATTTCTTCCTCCTTGCAGACCCAGCATCTGCTCTTACTGCAGATCGGAGCAGGACTGGAACTCCCCAGATAATCTTCTCAGCATAGCTTTTGTACAGTATTTCTTTGGACCTACAAGAAAGCTTTACTCTGAATTTCAGTTTATTGTGACATTCCAAAGTCCTTCCACACTACCTGTTCTGTCTGGAACATTTGATGTAGACAGATGCATCATTTGGACCTGTCAGTGTATTTCAAAACTAGCAACAAACAGGATTTCTTTTGCTTACGTTTGGAAGAGTAATCTTCTTAAATTCACAGGGGTAAGTGTGGTGGAGAAAAATCAGATTAAGGTACTGGTTGCAAACAGTCCTCACCTCCAAATTGCTTAAATGTCATTAGGTGACATTTAGCTAACATGTCTTGATTCTGCTATGCTGGAGGTGGAAAGAGAACCAGAGTAGCTTCATGTAGACACTTCACCTTTCAGGAAAGGACATGACAGGTATAGTTGTCAACACCACTTGGTTTTGGGAGGAACAAATAGCATGGAAATGAACAGAAAGGGAAGGCAAAAAAAAAAACAAACCAAGAAATGCAGTTCTGTCAGCATAGCTGAGAGCTACACTAGGCTGTTCTGCTTGTAATGTCCTTGTGGGATTCCCCTCCATAAAAAGAATTGAAATGTGCACTGACCAGTACCTGTGACATGATTCTCTTCACTACCACCTAGTGGGAAACTCCTTCACTAACCGAATTCCAGAGGCGCTCCTGCTCTGCAATCTCATCCTCACCCTGATGGTAGAAACAGTGAGTAAGTGAAGGGGGAACAGATGGATGACTAGGAAGATGCACACAGGGCTCTTTTTTCCCCATGCAGGAAAAGGAACATGAGGAAAGAGAACTTGTAATTTAAACCCATTGTGCCCTATGGCATTATCACACCATGCCCTGTAGCTCTGCAGCCAGGCCATGGTTTTTACACCTCAGTCTCACTGAGACTCCCAAAGTTTAACACATGTTGGCTTTGGAGATAGAAACATGTTCTCCTGGATGCCACTGAGTCCCACAAACAGCGGTGAGGAGACACTTGGGAAGTGACTCCAGTGTCTCAGTGAAAAAGCAGCCTTGCCCCTTCTTGGCTCTGAAAGTTTTGGTGGTTCTGCTTCTGATTGTACTACTGAAAATATGGAAGGAGGCACCAAAGAAAAAAGCAGCTTCCTTCTCTGTAAAAATCGTATTTTCGATTCTAATCACATATTTACAGCAAAACCTACCAAATTAAAACATAAATGAGTATATATTTGAAACATTAAACCCATGTATTCAAGTGAGGCCTTTCCCACTGAGATACTCTGGGGTTTGTACAAACAGCTGAAATCCAACCCTGTGAAAGCAGCATATAAATGACAATTATCTCAGATTTTTCACGTTCCTGTGTGCCTTTTGGGACTAAGCTCCCAATGCACAAATAAAAATCAGTTGGGGACTTATGTAGCTTGCTTTGCCCCAGAGCCAGAAATAAGGGTGAACATTACAATAATAGCTCTCACGTTTCAAGGAGGGAAAGATGTTAATGTCATTGAGGCCAATAAAGCATTTAGCTGTCTCAGCAGGAAGAACAGTAAAATGGTAAAAGATTATTAAAAGAACCATATCTCTATGTTTCTTTTGCCAAAAGCAATTTTGCCACCCTATTCAGGGTTCTATACAGGCTCTCTGCTAGCACTTCCACCATAAATATATTTAGGCTTTTTCCCTTCTCTCTATGCTCCTTAAAAAGCCATATTACATTGGCTTTTCCCAGCAAATTGCTGTGTTTTTTTATTGTGTACATTTAATGGATATAATTCAGTAAATTGAAACATCAAAGGTAAAAATGGTGTTGATACAAGAAGTCAGGCCTTCCATTACATTTACAGCACTATACTGTCCATTCCTTTGGTTTTGCCCTAGTGGAATAAGCAGAATACAAACCAGTAAGTCTAAAACAAGAATAATGTTCCTACTGGATACCCACTTATAACTTCATGCGGTTGTTCTCAGTGTAAGTAACCCCCTTGATTAGTAATCTAGCTACTTTATTAGAGGTAGGGAGAAGGGATTACAGTGGAAGTTAATCAAGACAGACTATTATTTACCAATAAAATAGAATTCCATTAGATGAACCCTGTACGGATATTGGGGAATGCCAGGAACCCAGTTTTATATGATAGCTGTCACACAATGTTACCAGTCTGCTACTTCAGAAAAAAAAACAATTTTAAAACCACAGTGCATAAAAGTTGTATTAAAGTGTGTGCAAGAGAATGCAAAGTAGTTGAAAATGTTTAAATAATCTTTATTGAACTTGCCATTAAAATAAAATTGAAATCAGACTTCTTGTGATTACTGATATATTCCTCCAATCTGCATCCATACTGTTTTATTAATGTAACATTGCTAGTGAGCTTGCACTTTATAGTGGTGTAAGGCTGTTTCTGTCTTGCCAATGAAGCACTGATTTTGAGGGGCCTCAACCACCATATTAATTACACCTAAGGAAAACCAAGTAATTCTGCAGGATAAAAACCACAAAACCAGACACTGCAAATGTGACGGAAACATGCAGCTGTCTTCAAAAGTTTCCCCTATCACAATCACAGTTATCACATTAGTCACAGTGACTTGAGAATCCAGTCACGGCCAAGCAAATTGTTGCAATTGAGGAAATCAACATATACTGAGCACTGGTAATAGGTGAAAATGGGGATAGCAAAAGGAAAACCTCTTCTTTCTAATTGTCATCCTCAAGGCAAAATCCCCGAGTACAATTCAGTTACAGGAGAATGTTGTCTGGATTATGGCACTGCACAATTTAGTTCTTGCTGTACTACTGGGACTATATATTTTTAAAGTTTTGCAGCTTCCTTGGCCTCTGCTATTCTTATTTACTCAAAACTGCACATCATGCCATGTGTAATAATCTGAGAAGTATTATATTGCAATCCTTCGTGCCAGGGTATAAAATAGGGGTGCTGGCTAATTCACAACAGGAATCTCCTTCAGTCTGACCACTAGCAACTTGCAACATTTAAGAAACACTGAAAAGCTCACTGTTTTTCCTGCACTGAAGAATCTGAAATACTTAACTGGAGCGCTGAATCATTCACTAGCACAGTCTGGCAGGTTACAGTGAATGTAAAGATGGAAGCGTGGAAGTTTGCTTGTTTTGTTAATTGTCCAGGCTCCTCCAGTTTAAAATGGACAATTCTATTAGACCAGAAAGCCCTTCAGGATAAAGTGATAGAGAACATTTACCTCCTCCTCAGTATTTGAAAGGCTTCCATATTCAGCTAAGGATTTTCCACATGGCATCCAGTTGTAATGTTCAGTGAGGTCCTAACACACAAACAGATGTTCATTTCTGGTTTTATAGACTTCAGAGTTCACTGGTTTCAAGCCAGGCTGTTCTAAAAGCCTCCACAGCTAAAGGTCTTCAAGGCAAACAGAAGCAACAGCATCAGGACTTCTGGGAGCATAAGGAATCCTTGAAACCACACAATACAGACAGATCATTTGTTGCTATGTTTTCTTCTCTTTACAGTTTCCATTGGCAAATATTACTGTTCTTTGTCTAAACTTAATGGTCTGTGTCCACATCCCCTCAAGCATTCCACAGGTATATTATATATTCTTACAGAACACAGATTTGACAATCTTTTGGACAAGAACAATGGTAATATTTTCCATCTTAGTTTAGGTAAAAGAAACCAGCATGTCAAAGATAGGCAGAAATAAACAACACAGTATGACAGAATCTCCTCTGTCACATACTGCAGGAGCCCCACTATCTGTTCTGTTTGCAAAGTCCTTCAATTATAAGGACGTACCATGCAGAAACTGTGTCATGGTTGGAAAGTGTAACTACAACTGACAATTAGTGTTATCAGCCAGTAATGTTGGTGTGTCTACCTGGGTGGAGAGATGAGAAAAACTGTAATAAGAAAATAAAATGCATGGAAACAGAATCACAACATTGACAGGAATGCCAAAAACCCCTCACCATTCTTTAAATACTAAAAAACATCTTTAGAAGCTCAACGAATGAAAACCTCTTACATGAAAACCTCTTACATTAAATGTTTTTACATGGACTCCAAAATGTTCCTTTTAGCCACACAAAGTCTTCTGGATCCATCCGAGCCTTTCTGAACTCACTGTAGGGAGGTGAGCTGGTACTCGACCGCCATCTGAAATGAAAGCTAACAGTTAACAACAGCCCTGGTTGGAGGGGCCAGCTTGCTGTGCCTGGAGGGAGGAAGGGGTCCAGTTTGCAAAGAAGCTTTGTCCTCCAGCTGCTGACTTAGCATGTTGTCACAGGAGCCTGGAGCATGGCTAGTGGTGCCCACAAAGGGAAAACTGGGGCCAAGGTCACTCTGCAGCATTGTCTTGAGACATTATCCAGTTTGGGGACAGTCCTACTTCTTAGCTTAGGCTTAAAGGGTGTGTATCAAGAGGGATAGGAAACCTTTACTGAGACAACAGCTGTAAAAGAACAGGAATCATTTGCATGAAACGCTTGTGTTTCAAGTCCACATGTGCACATCAAGTTATTCTCTAATGTAGCCACTCAAAGTGGATAAACTCATTCATATATTTTCAGACAAAGAACATTCAGAAAAGACAATTTAGTCATAAGGGCTCCCCAGGAACTGCCCTAAACAACTCCAGCTGAGCTAGCAAGCCAAAGGTGGGAGCAGAACCTTAGAGCAGGGCTGGTATCAAGAAGGGATGGAGGTAGATAATAAATGGGAACCACAAGCCTGGCCAGAGCACTCCTCAGAAAAAGCAGGGCAGGGACTTTCAGCATGAACCAACACTATTCCTTATCAGATGCTTGACTCATAAGCTCTGTGGGGCAAGTCCTGTAATCCCCCAAATTATGGGGGTACACTGCTTCTGCTCATCAACTGAGCAATAAACACAGCAAGTTATAATTGAGGTACTTGTATTTGCATATCAAGATACCCAGCAAGCCAAAGCCAGAAGTGAAAAAGTCATTTAACGCTTGACATGCTGCCACAGGATTCAGCTGGAGCTCTGCAACATCCCCTGAGTTGGGGGGAATATTCACATAGACGTGGTGGTCACACTTCTGTGCTGGGGGAACGCACAAAGGCCAATGAAGCTGCCAGTGTGGCTTTCTCTCAGCCCAAAGCCTTTGGCAGGGGCTGAGACTGGCTGATCCTCACCCTTGCTAGAGCTTTGAGTGGGCTCTACCATCTTCCAAGGGCAGCACCTTCACTTGAACCACATGCAGTCAGAAGCGCATTTTCCTTTTGGGTACACCACCTCCTTCCTTCCCTAAAACTAATGGGCCCACAAATAAGACACATTTCTCCATCCTCATTTCCCTCCTTTTCTTTCCATAGCTTACTTTTCCATGCTGCCAACCTTCCATCCCTTCATTTTCCTCTCCTTCTCTCTTCTGCTTCCCTCCCTTTCCCCCTCCCCCTTTCTCTCTCCCTCTGTACTTTGTGAACTGCTGCGGCAGTGCTGAAGTCCAAAGTTCAGTAACTTGCTAAGTACACAGATAAATATGAACCTTGGAGAATTTACATTGCTCCAATGTAAACAGATAGCCAAGGGTCCCTTTATCAGCACTGGCTCAGGACAGTCGTGGGGGGTCTGAAGTGGCTCCATTTTGTATTTTGGGTTTTTTTGGGGGGTGTAGAGGCGGGAGGCTGCGCTGTGCCCACTCTCCTGACAGTCAGGCGCGTCACCTCGGGAACATGGTGTAGGGAAGCTGGAAGCAGGATAACCCGAAATTCAAATCCAAGGGACACCAGCCTGAAGACCATGGTCTCAAAGCTGAGTCATCTTCAAGTGGAGCTGCTGGGAGCGCTGCTGGAGTCGGGACTAACCAAGGAGACCCTCATCAAGGCGCTGAGCGAAGTGGAACCCTATGCGCTCCAGAGTGAAAGTCAGCGCGCTATCAATGCTCTCCAGACAGAGAAAGGGGAACCCTGTCCCGACATCCCCAACGGAATGGGGGAGTCCAGGTTATCGGAAGATGAAACCTCTGATGACGGGGAGGAATTTACCCCTCCAATAATGAAGGAGCTGGAAAACTTGAGCCCTGAGGAGGCTGCTCACCAGAAGGCTGTGGTGCAAAGACTATTACAGTAAGGACAGATTTGCTGCTCCTCTTTGCCACTTTCTTACACTCTCCCTCTGAATCTCTTTTCCTTTCCCCTTGCGCTCAATGCCCCTTGTATTCACAGTTGATCTAGCTGCATGGAGGCAGTCTTCATCCTTGCCGGGACTCACAACATCCCCACATTCTTTATAAATACTCAAACTTTCCTTTCATCTCACTTTAAATGCATGATAGGAGCCCTGGAGCCTGAATGCTTATTTGATGTGCTTATATCATCACGCTTCAGAACTGTCTGAGGCCTGAATAACTTGCATCTCTCTGACTGAATGGTAGGTTTTAGGATTTATATTTTAAAGAGGATTCCATCAGGAAAGGTCACTCTTAACTGGAGCTATATTTGCCTGAGTCTGTACAGTAACATCAAGGTGTGATGTTTCCCTGCTCTATTTAATGAAATTAATACTGTTCGTTTCACTAGTTTTTGCAATAGATTATTGGCCAAAGACAAACCAAGAGAACTTGTTCTTGTCATTCAAGGGAGTGCAAAGCTCTCCTGACTTCAATGGGGATTTGTCTTGTAGAAAGAGCACACACCAAATACATGCAGAGGTTAAAACCCGAGCAGAACACTCTGCTTCTGCCATGCACAGCCTGTCACGACTACAAAGTACATCCACAGCAACAATGACAGGTTTTACTGCCATGCAAATTTTCCTTTGCATCTGAGCATTTCTGAGATCAAAACACAATAAGCCTGAACTGATAAGCCTCACAACAGACTCGGAAAAACATTCACCAGGATTCCCATTTGGGGTTCTTGCTAAGATCCAGTTCCTATGGGTGACCTAAGAGGTTTGTCCAAGCAAGGATCAGGTCCATCCAACCCACCTATCACAACAGAACCAGATCCTTGCCCGTCTGTTTTGTGGGTACTTTGACATGATGAGCTGAAGATACCACCACGCAGTAACATCCTGCACTTAGAATCTGCACTAAACCCAAAATCCATCTAGAGAGTTTCTCAGGCTTTCTGACCACTCCCTTGCACGTGCAAAGGAAGTTAACAGAAAATGTAACAACAAGAAGCAAACATCAAACCCCATCACAAAAGGCCAGAGCTGTATAAACAGCATGAAGAGTTAGCATTCACTGTAAGCACTTAGGAGAAGAAAGCGCCCTGGCAGGCCGGGGGTTGATGACTCTGCAGTAGTACCCAAGAGAGGAAAATCCACTGGATCAGCTCTTACCTGGGTGGGGAAAACATTCCCAAAATTTCCATCTTCCTTCTGGCCCAGTACGTGTCTCACCTCTTCCCACTCCCAGCTGTGTCACATCTTTTAGGCTCCTCTGTTCTCTTTACGACTTTTCCATTCTTTTTACATGTTTCCTTTCTCTCTTCACTTTTGTCTCTGCTCCTATGCCTCCCATTTTGTTTTCTTCTTGGCTAATTCTCTCTCTCCCTTCCCCTCTTTTTCTTCCTCTCATCCTTGTCTCCTTCTCATCTTCCTGAGTCTGCGTACAGGCCTTGGGGTAGTTTGAGCCCAGTGGCACCGGGCGGGCCCTGGCTAGTTACTAATTATCCAATGGCTTTATTATTTCTCTTTTGTCTTATAAATTTATAGATGAAAAGACCCTGATAAGCTTTTTGATCATTAACTTCTGATGGTTTATCAGGTATCTCTCCACTAAGGAAGCCATGGAAGGTGAAGAGCAGCACCTGGCTTTGTAATGAATGGGTGAAGCAGGATTAAAGTGCCATCTGCTGTGATCTAAGAACAGATATGCAGATGAAGGGAATTCCTTCCTGCCACCCTCACAAGCATGAATCCTGGTTTCTGATCCTCCCTGCCTTTTTGGGAGCTTGCAGCCAGTCTTTCCTGTCCTTACTACCAGCCTCACCACAACAGTCTTGCCTCTCTTGCAAACCTGTGATAGTAATGCTTTCCTATGAACAGTCTCACACCTCTCTCTATACAGTCACTTGAGCAGCATTCCCATTTTACAAATGGGAACTGAGGTACAGAGAGATTCCATGACCTATCTAAAACCCTAAGACAGCGCAGAGAGGACTGGGCAAGAACAAAGATCTCCAAAGCCTTATACTGGGTCTTAATTGCAAAGCTTTAGACTGAAACATCAGAGTTGTCTTTCCTCAGTCCCCCGTATCACAGGATAGAGCAATTCGCTTCTGCAGTTGGGGACAGTATGAAGGGACCAGAGGCCTCAGTTTCAGCAAAAAAACATTAATATACTTATGGAGGATTGTGACAGATCAAAATTAGGCAAGGTAAAATGAGAACAGTAGGAAGTCTGTATTGACAGGATTAAAATTCCTAGTCAAATATTCAAACAGAGCAGCTGCATGTCTGAGAGCCTATTCAAAGCATCTGATCCACTATCAGGGTTCGATAACTTGTAAGCAGTTGTTACCTACTAATAAACTTTGTTTCTTAAGAACAAACCTTTCCATTAGAGATGCCTAGAGGTAATGTCCTTAAAACAGTACTGTAAGCATTGTAAGGCAGGCAGAACATTTTACAGATAAAAGGAAGGCAGGCAAGAATCTCCATGCACAGGGATTCCCAGTAAATATTCAATGCTTATAAGCTATTTCAGCATCTACACTAGGATTTCAAATCCAGAAACCAGATGGAAGCACTTCTACCCTCAGGCAGAAGCCTCTTTTGGCATTATTAACAATTCCTGATCTAATGCTGTAGACCACACTTTAACTCCGAGATTGACTTGTGGGCAGCTATTAGTGACACAAGAAAGTCTTTGTGGTAACTGCAGCCATTGCTTATAAGGTAGAGTCAGGAAAGTGTCCACTGACAGGCTTTCCAGGAGCTGGGAAGGAAAAAAATGGCAACACCAAGAGACCAAGTATGTCCTTGCAGGACTATTAAAGTTGAAACCACAGTTTAGAAAGCACTGGTCAAAGCTGTGTAGAACAGGATGTAGAGAAGATACATCCCCATGACGGGATGAACCTGTGGGGATTGATTAGAGTTTGTCCCTACAGAACAAAACAATGCTAAAGGTAGTTCAGACAAAGGTTTCTCTAGTGAGGAATTCACAACATTTCTTGCTGTCCTTTGATCTGTCTCACTGATCTTCCATAGATTTACAGTTTGAATAAAAACGTTCTTTCCCTATTGCTCCACACAGAAAACAAATTGCAGCTATGATAAAGAATAATTCAGTAGGGAGATAGAGCTGTGTGGAGTAATCCCCTGATATTCCCCAGAGAGAGGCTACCTTGGGGGAAGGGACAGATCACACTATCACAGGTACAGCAAATGGAGGGAGGTAGAGCAGCAATCCACCTGTAGGGCAAGGGGTGAAATTCCATTAGGAAAGAGAGAAATTGAGATAAGCAACAGACTTCCCCTGGAGGCAGGGATGAAAGCACGTATTCCATGAGGAAAAAAAAGAAAACAAAAGATAAAATGATAAAGGTTCAGTCTTTTCCTGCCCTTAGAATGGCTCTAGTTGGGGAATCTGGAGATGAAGCTGCCACACCCCTTTCATTTCCACATATAAAGCAAGATGAGGCAAACCAGGCCAAGTTCAATAGAAAAGAACCCTGATGGGATGGTCTTACCTTGCCTGCTCCCTGCCTAGCCCGGCTCCAGGCTGTGCACTGCCATCAGTGAGGGTTGTCTAGCAGGCTCCACACGAAAGGGCCAGAGGATGGTCCTGAGTACTTCTCTGAACCTCTGCTTAAGCAAGGTCTAGTCCAAAGCAGCAATTCAGAACTGCCTCAGGGAAATGAAGGTTTCTCTTGCCTCAGAATGTGAGAACAAGGAAGAAGAAAAGGAGAAACAGAGAGAATGAGGAAGAGGAGGGAAAAGAAAGGAACAAAGGAAAAAGAGAAAAGTCAGGAAGAGTGAAGGAGGGAGAAGGTCCCCTGAATGTTACATCTCCAGCCCTCTGGAATGGGTTTTCTTTAATGCTAACAACTTGATATTTACTTTCCATTTAAATTTGAGATGTTGCTATAAATTATCAACCAGCCTCTTGTTCCCTTTGAGTTTATAACTAACTACCTGGGTTACTTATTGTTCAGGTAACAAAAGGGAGGTGAAAACGCCCTTAAAAAGTGACCTCAGAACTAAGAAAATGGGAAGCTGGTCTGGAAAGAGGACCCAGGCCCCTGTGGTTGAGATGAGCCAGGGAGAGGGGATACACTCAGATGGCAATAGGCAACTGACAGCAGGAGAGCAAGATTTAGGAAGAGTTTAAAACTAACTGTGTGAGAAGAATTTGGAGATGGGTATTAGACCTTGGAGAACAAGAAAGGAGTGGGGAGGCAGCTTGCATGTGGGGGGAAAGGGAAGCCAGCAGGTAGAGAACTGCCTTGGAGACAGAGGAGAGTTTGAGCAAGGCAGACCCACTTCCCCAGTTCTGACTCACTGAACCAACTGAGATTTTAGTGCACCTACACATAGGGAAACCGGGTTTAGGGTGAAATCCTGCCCTCTGACAGCCAGTCACAGTCTCACCGCCAGTGAGAGAGCGAAGCTTTCAACTTGCGATGTCTTACTCGATGGTGAAAGCTCTGCAGGTGGAACTAGGTATGTGGGCAATAGTTCAGGCAAGGGTTCAGCTAACCAGCTGCCATCACTTGTACTATGATGTAGCCTTGGGCCTAAAGGAATTGCCACATTGATATTGCAGCCTGTGCTTTGACTATGTACAGAGCAGCTAGGATGCCATACAACTGTCTTACGAAATCATGCTGTACTAAGGTCCCCCTGCACTGTTTTGCCTCACAAAGCTCCCTGCTCTGTCTCAAAAGAAGACAGAAAAAACACAGGGCTTTAACCATTGTCAGAACAGACTCATAAATGCTTCCTGCTACAAAGAAGTGAGTATCTCAACAGGGGAGATGAAAGTAACTCATGACTGGGATGCAGGAAGGAAATCAACATGTAACAGAGGTTTCCATCAGTGGCAACACAGTCCTTCCTCTTCCCATCTGAGCCAGAACTCAAATCTAAGAGATTCCAAGTCAGAGCCTTTTCTCCTTTGTACAGGGACTTGTGTAATGAATTCAGGATGCAAGTGCTGGCTTGGCTGTCACAAATACAAAGTGGGGAGATTGGTCCTTGGTTTGGACAGCAGGAGAAGAAAAAAGAACACCATCACAGCTAGGAAAGATAAGCTTTTGTAAGTTCAGCTGATCTGAAGCCTTCGAAAGACAAAGATGGTTAAGGGAAGAAGCTAGAAGCCTCTATAACAAGCGTCCCACCATAAAAAAGGAACAAAGGTTCCTATTTTAAGCAAGCAGGTTCTTCAGAAGGCTGTAACTGACACTGTTTCTGTCACATTTTAATGGCAGCAGAGCTTGCTCCTTGGACTATCCAGCCATTGGGAGACAGCAGCAGGGGAACAGAGATAAGAGTGTTTGTACTGAGAGAACAGGTGTGGACTTTGTCCTTCTTATCACTTTGCAGCCTCCACTAACCTCCTGAGTCAACAAAGCAATGAGCAGTACAGCCGGTGCCTGTACAGTTGGTGCTTGTTGCTCAGACCTCTGTGTTCTTGTGACAGTTTCTGCACAATCCTAAAGTATCTTCTTTTGCCCTGTTGCTGCTTTGGTGCTGGTGTTGGATGCTTGTATTCCTACAGCACACAAGCCACTTCCACCAGACATTTCACACAGAAAGCATGTTAGGATGCTCTTTGTGAACCAGAGGCTTTTAGGTAGAGAGGCTCCAGCACTGCTTAGATCTAGACTGCCGGGTTTCACATCTTCAGTTTTACTGTGATTTTCAGCTCTGGCAAAGTCAATACACACAAATAAAGTCACAGTCATGTTTTCCCTGTATTCCTTAGGAACCTTCATGGATACTCTAATCAGAGATGCTAAAAAGCAGAGATTCACATTTACTGTGAAATCCCAAATCAGATTAGCTCCTCAAGTTTGTGAGCAGGTCTCAAATAGGTCTACTCCCTAAGCTGCTACCTCAAAGGAGGGCGGCAATTGTAGGAATTAATGGTTTGCCTGTTGTTCTTTATTGTATTTATAAGCTATGACTGGTCCTAGATGTTAACCAGTGTGTTTGAGTAACTTAACAGATGTGCAAGAACATAATCCTGGATGGCTTGGTGTGCACATATGCATACATGGCTGTCACGTCACAGTATAATGAGAACCTGTTTTCTTTTCCTGAATCACTGCAAGGCAACCCAACCTGGACCAGAATCGGGGCATGAGCTGGGTTCAGCCTAATATCACAATGAATCTGTCTTGGAAAATTAAGCACACCTGCCTTTAGGTGTACTTTAAAGCACCTGTGCTTTAAAGAAAGAGGGATAGAGAAGAAAAGTCATGTAGGGAAATGGAAGAGTGTGGTCAATTCTGTAGTCAGAAAACATCCAACTGAATACTGAAATGCAATTCCACTTCCCTCCTCATACCATTTCTCACTAGCAGCAGAAGTGCTTTATATTCACATTACTATCCATCAGGGAGCTCCATTCAGTGCCCATGTCACTGCTCAGCACTTTATGTCATTTTCAGATGACAACTGCCTAGACAGAACAGCCCAAGAGCCCACATACAAATGAGCACAGACAGTACATACTATGGTCATGTACTGGGAAATTTCCTCGGTAACCAAAGAGCTCCCTTCTAAGGGGAGATCCAAGCACCTAGAATCAGTTTAAAGGAAGCTAGTGCTACATCTTTTACACTTCATCTCTCATACCATGCAGTTTTTACCCTGAATGCAGAGTCAAAACTGCACAAAGCACCACACTGAGGAACAGCTTTCCCTTACACAGCCACTCAACACTCTGGCCTCACCAAACGCAGTGGTGATGACTGCCATGCAAGATGCATCTCAGGAGGTAATACTGCACTTCCTTGGAACCCAGGTTTGCCAAGTGCAGGTCTTAGATCTCTCTCTCCTGAGAGCTGTTTTCTGCTCCTTCCAGAGAAGATCCCTGGCGAGTAGCAAAGATGGTGAAATCCTACCTCCAGCAGCACAACATCCCTCAGCGTGAGGTGGTGGACACTACTGGTCTGAACCAGTCTCACCTCTCACAACACCTCAACAAGGGCACTCCCATGAAGACCCAAAAAAGGGAAGCCCTCTACACCTGGTATGTCCGCAAGCAGCGAGAGGTGGCCCAGCGTAAGTATGGCAAAAACTGCTCTCCTGTCTCAGCTTCATAAAGGCCTCTGCTTTCCCTTGCTAATCCTTACTCCCTATTTTTGTCAAGGCAAAAAGGAAAGAAAAGCCACTTTTAGCAGGAAGATTAGAGAACCCTAGGTCAGTGTTCAGTGGTGGGGTGAACCAAAAGCACTCCCTCATGAAGCAGCCTGCCATCACCCACCCCAGCCACCATTTGGCTAAAGAGAAGCAAACTAATACTCTCCATTTGCCATTAGAGTTCTACACCCATCCTCAGACTAAAGCAGTGCAGTAGACAAATGAGAGAATTTCTGCTCAAGAACTAAGCTTCTGCAATTTCAGCTACAGCAACAGTTGCTCTAGCTGCAAAAGCAGCAGGCTGCTATATTCACTGTGAAAATCCACTGTGGGCCATCACCTCATGCCTTCTAAGCCCCTTCCTTACAGGCACCCACTGGGACCCATCCCTGCAGCATGCATTTCTATACTCATGAGCCTGTCTGGAATGTGTCTTTCTTAATTTTGTAGTGGTGGGTTGCAAATAAACTTGAGACATTTGGCTTTTGGATGGTTTTGGAAGCAGGACTACAGTCATGGGTCATGACAACCCAATGCCAACACTACATGGGGTTGGGGAAGAGTGGCTGGAAAGCTGTCAGGAGGAAAAAGACCTGGGGGTATTGGTCAACAGCCATCTGAATGTGAGCCAGCTTGTGCCCAGGTGGCCAAAAAGGCCAAACAGCATTCTGGTTTGTATCAGAAACAAGTGTGTCCAGCAGGGCCAGGGAGGTGACCCTGTACTGGTGATGCTGCACCTCAAATACTCTGTTTTGGGCCCCTTACTACAAGGACGTTGAGCTGCTGGAGCGTGTCCAAAGAAGGGCAGCAAAGCTGGTGAAAGGTCTAGAGGACAAGTCCTCTTATGAGGACTGGCTGAGAGAACTGGGGTTGTTTAGCCTGGAGAAAAGGACATGTAGATGTGGCACTTAGGGACATGGTTTAGTGGTGGACTTAGCAGTGCTGGGTTAATGGCTGGCCTCGATCTTAAAGGTCTTTGCCAACCTAAACAATTCTACAACTATGCTTACTCTAAACTCAGCTGCATTTGCCTTCACTACTCCAAGGTGTGAGCAGAAACACAATGCATGCAAGAGAAAGGATGGGTAAATGGCCTGCTAGGAACATCTTACCAGTTTTAGCAGATTATGGAACTTTATTTCCACCCTATTTCAATTTAACCCTCCATCTTGAATGAGATGTTTTTCAAGGGTAAGCTTCATTGGGCCTGACAGGTACTCAAATAGATGGAACTATTGGAAACACTTCCAGAAAGCAAATTCCCTTGTCCCTTTGTGCCTGCAGAATTCACACACGCTGGGCAGGGTATCCTGACAGAGGAGCCCATGGGAGATGACCTGCCCACCAAGAAGGGAAGAAGAAATCGCTTTAAATGGGGTCCTGCTTCACAACAGATCCTGTTCCAAGCCTACGAGAGGCAGAAAAACCCCAGCAAAGAAGAGAGAGAGGCACTGGTGGAAGAATGCAACAGGTAAAGATGGGTGTCTGGCTTTGAGAAGGAGAGGCACAGCAGGCCCTCTCCCATCTTAGCATTTGCTAGTGCCTATGAGAGGCAGGCTAATGGTACAGCCATGGATTTCACCACTGACACCAGCCACATCTGAATGAAATGCTAAAGCTGAGCATTCACTGCCCACAAAGGACCAGTAATGCCTCATTGTGCTGCTATACCTGGCAGGCTCCTTCCACACAGAGTGCCAGACCACAGCCACTTTGGTGCTGCGCACTTACTCTGTCTCTCTGACTAAGCCTGGCTCAGCAAGGCTCTTCTTGTGCTTTTCCCCAACAGAGCAGAGTGTATTCAGAGAGGTGTTTCCCCTTCTCAGGCCCAGGGACTGGGCTCAAACCTGGTGACAGAGGTCAGAGTTTACAACTGGTTTGCCAACCGCAGGAAGGAGGAGGCTTTCCGGCACAAGCTGGCCATGGACACCTTCAGTGGACCACAGCCCACCTCTGCTCCCCCTCTAACTCCTCACAACTCTTCTTCCCTCCAGCCACCATCAGCTCTCTCACCCAGCAAGGTTCACGGTAAGAACCAACCAGAAGATGTGAAAGAGGAATGGGTGAACCTACCCAAACTCAAGTCACCAAAACTATCTCCCAAGTCCACCCTATTAGGAGGTGAATCGACAGAAAAAGCAGACTTGCTACAAAGGAAGAGCACTGGTGATAGAGAGGTCACGTCTCTGAGTGAGAAGAGCAGCTAGATTAGCAAGGGTGACAAAGTTCAGTAACAAAACTCAACCAAATCTCCTCACTCTGTGCCATCCTGCACTGACCTGGCAGGCAGTAATCCCTTTTCAAGGGGTCATCCACTGGCTGCAGTCTCAAGTCAGCTCTGTATTCTTTCACTCATGCGTGGACCCCTTATTCTTTCCCATACATACAAAGCACCATCAGACTGTGACCGAGTTCTCAGGCATCAGGAAAGATTGTTCTCCATCCAAAACGATCAGAGCTTTTTCAGCTTCTTAGGCCAGAGCTGGCAATTGCTCTCACTCTGGGAAGAGGTACCTCACTGAGGCTCTCCTCCCTATGCCTGCATCCAGAAGGGTGTTTTCTAGTTAACCCTACTTGTTCCCTGCACCACACACAGCCATACCTTAAAGTCAGTATTTCAGGAAGCAGTTGTGCCAAATTACAGAGAAAAGCCAGGGCATAGAGCAAGAATGCCCAATCTCCTGGTTCCCCGGTAATAACCCACCTTGTCTCTGCCTCAAGCATCTAAAAACAAAAGCCTGCAAAAGAAACTGGATTCAGCACTTGCCAATGTTTCTCGGTTTCTCATTTGTGACAACCACTTTCCCTCCTGTTGTGATGCAGGAGTGAGGTACAACCAGCAGCCAGCCAGTGAAGCAGAGTCCTCCAGCAGCAACCACCATGCCAACAGCTCCATGGTGACCACCCAAACCATCCTTCATCAGGTTTCTCCCCCTGGACTGGAGCCCAGCCAGAACCTACTGAGCACAGACACTAAGCTGGTAAGTGATGCATACTTAAGTTCTGTTGACTGGAGGACCTCAGGTCCTCTGCCTGTGGTCACAATATGGAATATTCAGATGTAGTTTTTCCTAGAATACTCTTAAAACCACCTTTATACAGAGAACATTTTACGTAGCCACTTTGCACTGACCATGTAACACTAGCAGGCCTGAGATGCAGGTGCCCTCTAGACTGCTGGTGAGGGCAGGCATTAGAGCACAGGACAAGTGTAGCCGTTTCCTTATGATCAATCAGAACAGTCTATTCTCAAAAAAGAGAGCTCAAGGTAGGATGTAATTTCCTTCTTCCCAGGAGACCCTGTTCTCCTTTCCCCAGTGAGATTCTCATCTCCAACTCTCATTTGAACTCTACACATCTCAAGATAGTCGACCAAACACCAATGGAATTAACAAAACAGAGACCTGTACTTACGTCTATCTTACCTGCAAAGATTAAGCCAAACAGCCTGTACACAGCACATGTACTGGATATCTAGACTGTAGCAATCTGTCTTCCCACAGCAAGTTTCCTTTTGAGATTTGACTACACCTTTTCCCACATAATTAGCAATGAAGCACTAGAATCTACAGGAGTGATCATTTTCAGTTTGCACACATTCCCTTGCTTCCAGGGAAAGGGTAGAAGTCAGCATTACTGCATACTGGCCTGAGGTAAAGTTAAGTTCACTACAAATTAATATGATTTAAGTCTCATCAGTCACTCACTTTGATGGCTTTCTGGTCTCTTCCTGAAGACAACAAAAGTAAAAAGTCTTTCATGAGATCCTGAAAATCTTCTACAGCTGTCTTCCAACATTGGTATCAAGGTGACTTGGTCCACTGTTTAACCTGTTGGTCCTCACTCTTACTAAAGATTTCTTACAGCTTTTTATCTGAGAGGAGAAAAAAAAAGTATAAAATAAAGCACTGACCTTTCTCCATCAACCAAATTATCAGAATGTTTTCTGCTGTTCCACAGAACAACAACTGCAGGTCTCTCAAAGGCCTTGAAAACTCAAAATCCCATTAAAGCGCAGACACAGGTTACATGGTTCATTTTGGAGGCTGAGAAAACCGTCAAGTTAAATTACTCAGTGACTCAAGGACAGACTGAATCAGCAAAACACACAAGCACAGAACAGTCCTGTTGTGTCTAACAGGTACTCTTCCTCTGTAACGGCAGGGAGCTGCCAGGTAATGTGGCCTGAAGAACTTCCTGCATGCCAAAAAAGTCCAAGGAAACTTTTCAGCAACTCCTTTCAGATCTCAACCTGGAAGCTCCCTGCCAAGTGAAACCCTTGTTGTGTGAAAGGAAAATTACAGGCATTTCTCAGAGGAAAAGATGAACAAGAAAAGAACTCCTGGATTCTGTGCTGAACTCTGCACAGAGTTACAAGTTACCATGGAAAATTACCTGAGCCTTTTCATTTGAGCATCATCCTCTACCCTCAGTTACAAAACAGAGGATAAATGTACCCCATAGAGAATGCAGAGGGACAAATCTAGTTCTTGTTTGTAAAACCCTTCCCATTCTTAACCGTGAAAGAACTACACCAGCAAGGACTTACCCTTAGTATTCCGTCAGCTGACCTTTGCTAGTTAACTGATGAGTACAGGGAAACTGCACGCAAGGAAATGTGAAGTCTTTCTAATTCACAAGGGCCCAGGGCAGGCAGGCAGCAGGAGAAGGACATTTACCCCAGCTTTGGGACCCAGCCTGCTGCTGATGGCATTTCCATGCTTCCCCTTTCACACAGGTCTCAGCTCCCGGAGGAACTCTCCCTCCTGTCAGCACCCTGACTGCCCTGCACAGCCTAGAGCAAAATCCACATCCTCTGAGCCAGCAAACTCAGAACCTGATCATGGCATCGCTGCCAGGTGTTATGGCAATTGGAGCTGGCGAGACCTCATCCCTAGCACCAGCGTTCACCAACACAGGTGCCTCAACCCTGGTGATAGGTGAGTAGTGTTCTGCAATGCCTCTGCTTATCAGGGTTCAAGTAAAGAGCTACCTGTAATTTATAGAATTACCTGCCTCATTTTCAGAGACAAAGCCACTAAGCTGGCATTGATGCACACCTTGAGTAATTGTCACAAACACCAAGGCTCTTCAGCAGGACTACTTGCAAGTACCAATGGAATTAAGGGACAGATGTTCCTTATTCATGTTAGAATTAAGTTACACACAAACCCATGTGGGACTTTTGCAGTTTATTCCTATGTCAATGTTCTGTTTTGCTGCTCTGCATCTTCCCAAATATAAATGTAATACTTCCTTAGAACTACGAGAATTGAAGCATGTTCATCGTGCTTGAAAGACAAAGCATCCTGTTGTACTTCCTCCAAGGAGCAGCGCATGCCTTTGGAATCCACAGCATTAATTACTCTTAATTCTGTTCTTCACTATGACAACTTTTCTGAACCTGTAGGAGATTTCTTTTCATTCCAAGACAAGTCTACTGCCAAAGCACATCTCGTTAGATAAAGCCAAATAAAATGTATACTCTCCTCTTACACTTTCTTCCCAGGAAGAAAGAGGCCTTCTTTGATTCCAAGGTGGCAGCTGTGAACTAACATCCGTTTCCTCATTTATACCCAAAATTATGATATAGATTCTAATTCTGTGCAAAAAAGGAAAAACTGGAGATTCCCACAGGGTGGAAATGCCTCAGTGCTGGAGGGATTTGCTGATTTACAGGAACAGGGTCTGGACAGTTGTGGGAAATAAGCAGTAATGTGTGAAACCTTCTACCTCTTTCTCACTGGTCCAAATTCCATAATTGGGCAGACCAAATAAAAAGAGTTTAAACTCCATTCCATGTGCCAGGACAGCTACAGCATAGTATTCTCTGTTGCCAACAGCTTCATAAAGAGAATAAAATGAACTGGACATTGAGATGATGCTATCAGGTTACTTCTGAGTGAGGTATCCCCAATGGAACTCCCTATCAGGTTATCACTGAACTGGTAAAAGTGACCTATACTGGTACACAAGGATGTGTACAGGAACAAACACTGGAAATCAGAGGTGGTTTTATCGTACCTGTCTGCACTGTACATTTTGCACACTCCCACTTTGTTTTCAGACGCATGAAATCTGTTCTCAATCACAGATAACAAACAGAACACCTGAAAAGCAGGATCTGAAATCATCCTGTGACAATAGGCCTGCCACAGTGACTACTTCAGATCACCCACCCTTGCCACGCTCCTCCCACAGTGTGTGATGCTATTGTCATCAGTCTTTGTTTTTCAGGCCTGGCCTCAACCCAGCCCCAGAGTGTACCTGTAATAAACAGCATGGGGAGCAGCCTCACTACCCTGCAGCCTGTCCAGTTCTCCCAGCAGCTGCACCCATCCTACCAGCAGCCCCTCATGCAGCAAGTCCAGAGCCACATCAACCAGAGCCCCTTCATGGCTACCATGGCCCAGATACAGAACCCCCACGGTAAGAATGTGAGCTCATCTGCTCAAGCAAGCAACAAAATGCTCTGTTCTGGAGCATTTGCTGGGTCCTTGGGCTTGCAGCACTCTACTTTTCTATTATTGTTGCTCTAATGATGACATTTTTCTATTGCATTCATCTCCCTGCCCCTCCACTCCCTCTGTTTCGGAGACAAAAGAGCAGGTCCACATGGATGAGGAGAACAACTCAGCCAAACTAGCCTCATGAAAAGCTCCAGCATCCACATGATCTTGTTTTCTTTCATGCACAGCTCTCTATGGCCCCAAGTCTGAAGTGGCCCAGTACACACATACAGGCCTCTTGCCACAAACCATGGTGATAACAGATACAGCCAATCTCAGCGCCCTGACTAACCTGACACCAACCAAACAGGTAACGGCCTTCAGCACATGCCTTTGCTCTCCCACCTTAGAATTGTACCAGTCTGCAGGTAGCTCCTTGCTTGTCAGAGATGTTTTGGGGGTGTGGTCAATGCGATCCCAGTGGGATAATCTTTCTTATCTCCTCATCTTACTGGTACCAGCAGCGATACTGGAGGCATTAGAGTAAGCCCTTCACTGCATCACCAAGGAGGATTTAATCTCCTTGGAAACAGCACCTGCTCACTCTCCTCTCCTGCTTGTTAGAACAGATGTAGAAACCGGGCACTTAACTTCCTTTTCTCTAGGCATTCACACCCGAGTCGGAGACCCACACAGAGTCTGGGATGCACACACCAGTGTCACAGGCTCCAACAATACATTTACAGAACCAAGACACAACCATCCAGCACCTTCAGCCAGGCCCTCGCCTCACCTCAAGCCCTGCTGGTAAGAGCAGCAGCCACTATCTTAACCCTCGTATTGCCCAGTTTCTTTTGCCAACACTGTAAAAATCCAGTAAAAAAAAAGTAACCTGGGCTCATGATTCTCTTAGAGGGCTCTAACAGTGTCTTGGGGGGGGTGTGAATGCTGGTACAAGGAAAAGATTCAGAGTGCAGTCTGTGTAAGGCCAGAGTGGAAATGGGACCCTTCTTCAAAATCTAGAGAGGAAACTAACCTCAAATATATTGACAAAATCGGTGTCCATGAATACCCAGTCTTGTGGGCCTATTTTAGGGCTGAAAAGCCCAAGAACCCCTCATAAAGAGACTCCAGTTGGAGCTTCCCAGTTCTAGGAGAAGAACTAGGACATGAGCAATTATCTACAACCCTCAAAACTGAGCTCCCTGAAGCATATTGCCCTTAGTATTTTCAGGCTAGCTGTGGACTGAAGCTAGGTACATAACAGCACACAAAATAGCAGTTATGTCCCTATGACAGGGGAGTTCAATCATGCTGGAAACGCGAGTGTGCACACATAAGGGGACTGCAGTGAGAATCTGAATTTAACCTCTCCCTGTGCCTTTGACAGTGTCCTCCAGCAGCCTGGTGCTGTACCAAAGCTCTGACTCCACCAACAGCCACAGTCAGTTGCTGCCATCCACTCACAATGTCATCGAGACCTTCATCTCCACGCAGATGGCATCCTCCACTCAGTAATCATGACAGCTAGCTCAAGGGTGACTGCCATGACCAGCCTGTCAGGTCCAGCTCCAACTGTGTTTGCCATCACTGTCATCACTGCCTTCCACGGGAAGGAAAGACTGCTGCACTCAGCCGACCTCCAGCCTGTACTGCCTCATACAAATCACTTACTCAGCTGCCTCCATAAGAGAAGATGTCTCAGGCTCAAGACAGAAGCCATGGAAAGATGATGCTGGCACTAAAATCCAGTGCCTCCCAAAAAAACAAGCAAACCCAAACCCCAACAGCCAACCTAAAATGACCAGACATCCTGCCCCAGAAGATTCAAGACAGGGATCTGAATGCAATATGGCAAAAATGCCAAAGCACAGATGGGACTTTCATTGTCCCCAGCCTCCATCAAGCTGGATCTGTACAAACCTGCCAAGACCACCCTAAGCCATGCAGGAAAGAGCAAAGCTGAGCTGCCAAAGAAGGGATGCTCTAAGGAAGCACCAATGGGAACTATGAGAAACAACAGTATCTTGGAGGCAAGAGTGAGAGAACCTGGTTCCTGACACTGCAATGAAAATCATCATGAAACAAGTTCAGGAATGGCTTGGCACAAACCTGTCAGTATTGGATCACTGAGTACAAGCTATGAATCCTTTAATTAACTACAGAAATACCAAACATTCTCAGTTAAAAATGACCTGCTCTAAAATCATGCTATCCTAGTGGAAATGGCTTGGTTATTTTTGATATAGCTCTGCTTTGTTTTAAATGCAGAAATTAAAGTTTAACAGCAGCAAGGAGATTCCAGTTCTTTGCATTACCCATATGGGCTCTCGTGTGTCTTGCTGAATGAGCCGAGGGTGGCATTCTCCACTGATCCCTGATACTGCATACATGTCCCAATGCTCCACAAAGGGCAGTGATCCCTTCAGTTGTTCTCTATAGAGATGTCAGCTTCACTTTAAAGAACACAGCTCATTCTTAGCTTCTCTGTAGGCTGTATTCTGTAGTTCTTGATATGCAAATAATTACCACGGGTTTTAAGAGTCTTACTCGCACCGAGTTAAGGTTTTTAGCCCTATGGACCTACTTGTATAATTCCTCTTCTAATTATTATTCTCTATTTACTCCCAGTGTACACATCACTAACACGTGACCAGCCAGACATGAACAAAAACCTCACTTAATGTTTTTGTCTTTGTGACCAAACCGGAGTTTCAAATGTAAAATGGATGAAAACCTCTCACGATGGGGCTCAAGACTCTTAAAAGGTTAAGAGAATTTCCAAACAAAAAGCCCAGCAGTGAACTCTTCAGGTATCATACCTGGAAATTTCAACATTGCAGCTGTCCATTACAGTTATTACTGATACAAGCCTCTTCTAGATATCACCAGCCATCACACACTCCTTTCAGTAACTACAGTATGACAAATTTCATCCTAGAATATCGTTTCCTAGTCTCCCATGTGTGTCAGTTGCAAATACATAAAACTTCCAGTTAGCTTAAAAATAATCATCATAAAGCAAGTCAAAAGACAATGTTTAGACCACTATGCATTGAAAACCCAGGTGGTAGCTTCAGTATACTGATGTTTTAACTGCCCATAAGGCAAGTGACTTCTGCTGGCACATTCAGTTAGATTACAAGCCAATTTTCTACTTAGCTTTGCCATTTTTGGATGCCAACTGTGTTTTCTTGAATAAAAAAAACAGGAAGAATCTTACAGTAGGAAAGAAAACATCTTGGGTTTTCCTGTGCTCAAAGAGCAACTTCTATTTCAATTTCTCTAATCTGGCTTTCTGGTCTCCTGAATAGGGCCAGAAAGTTAGAGCTACTGAAACCCAAAAATCTTAAAAGCAGAAGTGTATTTATCCAATAGCAGGTCATTTCCTGAAATACCAGAACTGAAGTATAAACAGACTATAAACCATACTCAACACTACCAAACCCCATTGTATTTCAGACACACAGAAGTCATAATCAGCTAAAATAATGACTGAAACACAGTGACTTTTAACTTAGGTTTAAATCCTTCCTATAGCACTTTCATAGCATTGATCACCAAGCAACTACAGAGACATCTTCAGCCACCTTTGTCTCCACTAGGGGAGCCATCTGAACACAGCAAGAAAGCCACTATTGTACAAAACCTGCCAAATTAAGTAATAATGTATTAGAATTTAATAACAACAAATGCCATGAAAACCTATAAATGAAAAGACATTTCAACAGACACAACCGGAACAGAACTACTTCTATAGGTGAAATAAGTTCACTGCACACTCTGCTCATAGGCAGGGCACCCTGGAGAGGTGCAGATTACAGAAGGATTAGTGAGGTGGCAGGTTTCAACAACAGATTGTTATGATGATCACAGGAAAAAAAATAAGGGGGCCCTGATACGTGACAGGATGTTTTTGATTAATGAGTCTCCCACAGGCTGGAGCTACTCTTAGCAGGCATCTAGGAGGAGGCAAAGAGAAAAAGGAGTTGATCACCTGTTGCCATGTAAACCAAATTCAATTCATCATTTGATTTCTCCAGGACACAAGGTTTGATTTCATAATGTGAAGGAACACACCAGGAGGGATGCAGCTATGATCATAGCTCTCTGTCACACAAGTCTGTGCACAGTACCGAATCCTTTTACACTAGTTCTGCAGAAGCAGCAGCATAGATAACTGCTGTGCAAAGAGAACAATATTCCCTTCTCCAAGGGATACCAACCACATAGGAGGTTACTCAATTAGACTCTCAGGCCACTGAACTTTTAGAACAGAACCTTTGCCAACTCTTGTTGTCAGGGCTTTTTCCCAGCATCCTTCATCCATCACATTCACCTGCCGCTTCCAGAGCAAAAGCCTCACTCTTTCTTTCTCTTCTTTTTCTTCTTCACAGCTCCTGGCAACACTGAGTTCTCTGGGTGACTGCAGTCCTGTCTCTCATGCTGTCCATTTGCAGACACCAACTGTGGCAAATCTTTGCAGAGCTCATCACACTCTGCTGGGTCTGTTATTGTCTCCTGAATATTGTTCTCTCCCCTAATTTTCTTTTTTTTCTTCTTCTTCTTCTTTTTTTTCTGGCTGTGCTCTACATAACCCCGACTCTGATCCTGGCTGGAATCCTGGCACAGTGCAGGAAAAGCACTTTGCTTCATAATGTCTGTGGCTGACACAGCAGCCTCTTGGTACCTTTGCCACTCTTGGTCACTGTCCATCTCACTGGAAAGGCAGCAAAATGAAAGGAAGTTACATTAAACTTTTGCCTTGAATTCAACCAAAACAGACAGAATAATCTGAGAACACCTGATAAACACACAGTGCCTCTGGGACTCCGATAGCTACAGTTATCATTGAACCAGTTTGAAGGCTGACATGTTCTTTACGCATACTAGGAGGGGAAAGGACATACCCCACAAACACTTCTAATTCCCCAGCACTAAAAAAACAAACAAAAAGAATCTGCCCTAGTCAAATGGAGGAGTCAAAGAGACACTTCTCAAGCTTTTCAGCTTCCTATTCCCTTGTGAGAGTCCCAGCTGCCTCTGAAATGTGGGCTGCAAATGTACTTCAAGAGCAAAGGAGCTGACACCACCTCACCTGGAGCTAGATGGCTGCCTCCTCCTTGCTGCAGGGCAAGGCTCTGATTTCCCACAGTCTCCTGGGACAGATGAGGAGAAGAGGCGAAATCCTAGAATATGTAAAGGGGAATTTCAGCCATGACATAAAACAGAAGTGAAAGCAATCATCAGCAATCTCCCTGGGAAGCCTCACTGCTGCTATTGTAATGCTATAGCATTTGACAGCAACTACTTGGGACTATCTGGGAGGACGCAGGGCACAGAGATCAGAGCTTCAAAGTAACACAAACATCAACAGGAATTCTTCTACTGCAAATGCTTATTAGGCAGATGTGTGTACAACCACCAATGGACAGGATCTGTCTCACTTATTTAACTAACAAGGTCACAAAACAGCCACAATGGCTGTGACTAAACTCACCATCATCTGCAGAGTCAGACTGTTGCCCAGAAGTTTGTGAGGGTCCTGATGAGTCCTTCAGGACAGTGATGAAACTAAACAGAAAACCCCAGTCAGGCCTTGGACAGGTTTGTGCAAACTGAGCTAAAGCTGGGTATTTCCAGGAAACAGGCCTACAGGGAGATGTTACACAGCATCTTACTTTTTAATTAGGAAGTGAAGCTGACCCACCTCCCCGCTTTCAGGGCAGATCATTCCTTCTCTCCTGAGCGACACATGCCACAGGAATGACTTAAGAGCAGTGTTTCTAAAACCAACATTAAACACCAGGAATTCTAGTTCTCCAGGCCCATGCTGACACAGTAAAGACAGTGGCAGCCCAGTCTGAGGCATAGTGCCAGCACAACCCTCACTGAGGGACTGGTTTAGGTCATAAGAATAAATTGGAGATTCTCACACCAGCCTTTACATGATGCAAACGCTAAAGCACCCAAATTCTTCCTTTTCCTCCCTACAACACACTCACTGCAGAGGCAGAGACAGGCAGTGGGAGTCTTCTACCAGGGGGGCACAGCATATGGGCCAGGTTAGTGTACAGAATATTGGAAATCTGCATTAAATACAAGCATTAAGAAGACAGTAAGAGAGTTTCTCCTCAATATCCAGGCTGCACTCAGATCTTTAATTTCCTGGGTTAAGCACACAAAACCATCAGCGTAGTTGGCCCACAGATCATGGTCGCTCAGTGTCACATGCCAATACCTGTCTAGCATTGCTCCCAGTTTCTTTGCTACATGTGCTCTGAACTCTGGTGTTGTCTGTAGCTCGTTTCCATCCTCTTCATGACCGTTGAACTCATGCCTGTTTAAAGTAAGAATAATGATTATCTCTTTCAAGGCAAAGAACATCTGGTGCTCTCACCCAAACAGGAGATAAGGGATGGAAAATTTCCTGCGCTCTAGCAGTTAATTCATATGTAATAGAGGAGACTGCTAAGAAAGATGGGAAGTAGCTCAGTAGTAACAGTTCAGTTTCCAGGAGAGCTAAACATTATTTACCCATCTCTATCACAGTTAGATGACTTTTCTCATTGAAAGAGCCAACAAAAGCAAATAAATCATATCAGGACATCCCTTCTCTTGCATGTAGTTCCTGTGTATGTTGCCATAATTCATACAACTATGAACCGTCTCCTGGGTTTTGTTTAGCTGCCTGGGCGACAGCCTTTGAAACTGAGCTTACAGAGGTGCTGCAGACTTAGACAGGACAGCACCACCTTCCGCTCCAAGGCTCCTGGTTCAGCGGCTGCTTTCCCGCCGATGAGTATTTGCCTTTGCAAGTGCAATGTTTCACAAAGAAAAGCCTTTTTTGTATCTGTAACTGTTCTAATTCCTCCATGGGATGCTTGCGGAGTTGGGAGATTTCGGACAGCTGGAACTAATGCTGTTAACTGACAGCAGATCTATATTCCCTTGCTATTAACAACTATTAGGTTCAAGCATAATTTCAGATTCTGGTTGGACTAATTCCCAAAACAGCACTATGTATCCTAAGGTGTTACCTGTAAAAAGCACAAATACAACACAAGTTAACCTTTTCTGCAGTGAAACATAAGCCTGAAAGCAGGAGTAAAAATACCTTAGGCTAGGCTGAGCAGGCTGCTGCTGTAACCGATCCCTTTTAAAGCCACCTGGCAAAGGAAGAAGTAAAGGCAAGTTTAAAAGACCAGGGGCCAAGACCTCTTCAAACCCCTTTCTGGCACATGTGACTTTATAGCACAGGAATCACGGTGGTAAAACACTGTGGTAAATCAGTTACGATGGCAAGGGAAACTTCCCACCGGCCGCGCTGTAGCAGACATCTTCCAGGGAAGGGGCTGGGGCTCTGCCCCGGCAGGAGGCCGCGCATCGCCGGGCCGGGCAGGGCCCCCTTTTGAGGGCCCCTCTCGGCTCCCTTGTGCGCTGGCGGTTTCGGCACCGCAGCAGAGGTGCCCCGCTTGACCACTGCTCCCCCGGGACAACCCCGGGGCAGGAGGAGCTGCGAAGGTGCCCGGCCCTGACAGGCGGGGAAGGAAAGGAGGGGCAGGACACGCCGGCGGGACAGCAGAGCTCCGCTGGCCGACAGCCCTCACCACCGCGCGGCTCCGCCCGCACCGACGCCGCCGCCTGCGCAGCGCAGTCCCAGGCGGCCTCCCGGAACCGCGCCGCCGCCTCGCCGCTGCTGTCCGAGTCCGAATCCGTATCCAGGCCCGAGCCACGCCTGGGCGCCGCCATCTTGAAGGCGCGACGGGCGCGGGGCACGCTGGGTGCCGTAGTCTGGGCGCGGGGCATGCTGGGGGCTGTAGTCCATCGGGGCAGGCTCCAACAAGATGTCTGCGGCCCCGGGGGGAGCGGGTTCTGCACTTGCTTGTAAAGCAGGCGGCGGGAAGGCTGCGCTCACAGGACAGCTCTGTGCGCTGCAGGCCAGGCCTTCCCAAACCCCAGGAACCTGGGAACGGAAGGCAGCGCCAGCAGCTGCGGGTCGCCCGCAGGAGCGTGGGATTCCGTGACAAAGCAGTACGAACGCTCAGTGTCGGTGCCACCGGAGGGGGCAAGCGGGGCTGAGAAACCCCAGCACGGCGAGGAGACCCGGGATGGCTGGGCTTGTGCTACTGGGAAGAGCGGAGCTGGCGATGTGGAAGCGCCGCAAGCAGCCGCGGCTCGTTGACAGATCCATCCGGTGCTGAGCAGCCGGCTTCCACGTGTGGCGCACGGGAGAACAGCTCCGTGTTTCTCAGCTGTAACAGCTCACACACAGACGGTGAAATACACACCAATGACAGCGCTTTTGTGTGCGCAGAGAAAGAAGGCTTGGCGTTAAAAGACTCGGGATGTAGAAAGATCGAGCAACTGTAATAAAATTCTCAGCACTTTTTGTGACATCTCTCAGATTTCACTGCTCCAGAAATGCTGTCAGCCCTCAAACTGACATTCTGATGTCGGGGACAGCACACAGATCTTCTAAGCATAAGGCAGGATGGGACCCATCGGCTGTAGCAAGTGAGAAAACATACCAGACACACAAGATTCATTAAATATGTAAAATGTATTAGACAAAAAGCATCAAATTCCCTCACCTCTGGCAGGGGAAAGAAAACGTGCATCTCCTCTGCCTGTGCCTTTTGCAACTGCTTCATACGTACATTTGGAATGACAAGTTCCAAGGATAACAAATTGGCATTACCCAATCCAAAAAGGCATTACATGTTTAAAACCTGAAGGCTGCATGGAGGATATTCTCTTCAGCGCTCTTAGCCAGCTTGCCTCGGTGGATCTTGCCTCTTGCTTTGACTCTTCCAGCCACCTCCTTCTAACTGGCTGTCAGAGGCACGGGGATTTCTGCAGCAGACTGTGACCATGTTTCAGTTTGACAATTTGCCTTCACAGATGTCAAGCACCAGATGCTTCAAAGCTTGCTCTACTCGAGCAGATCAGGCAAAGTTCAGTGTGGGCCTGCTCTGAAGTATGGCAGCTCCCAGAAATAGGATCCAGAAAGGAGCAGATGAATACATGTCACCTACCAGAAATAGCTGTATGGTCTCCCACCTTTCTGGTGTGGTACTGAAAACAGAGCAGGGAAATGAGCAGAAGCACTTGGAAATGGCTCTTGCTGAACAAAGGCAAAAGGCCAGATAGGAACTCTGTCATGTAGAAATTCCAAGGGTTTTCCCAGATGTAATTTAATCCTGAATTAAGATACCATTGTATCCAAGATACAAGTAAATCCAGGAGTATTGATGAGAAAAATAGTGATAAGAGGATCAAGGACTTGGATTCCTGATATATGTATGGCTTCTGTAATTAAGGATTTTAGGAGAGGGGTTGTGTGTACCATAAATATCAACATTATGTTCGACAATTGTATGACTAGATGATGAGAAAGTGAATAAATCAAAGTGATTTACCCTCATGCACACAATGAGAATGAACTGGCAACCAGGGCACCAGGTCCTTCTAACTCTAAGCAGTTCTAGGCTACCATCTACACTTTAGGAATAAATATTACAATTGTCACTGGGCAGTGCCAATATTCCCTGGCTATGTTGTCATGGCAGTAACTGTGTCTCTTTTCAGATTGCTTTGGTTATCCTATGACACCCAGACAATAGTGTTCTGAGCATTTCTTGCTCTGTTATAATACCAAAAATCAACTTTTTTTTACTTTATATACTGAAATTCTTCTGACTCCAGACATACGTGGTCACTAGTCCAAGCCAGTCCAAATTTCACAAGCTCATCTTGGTTTTAACCAGCATCTGGAGGATACCGCTTGTACCTCTGGGGCCTTGTTAACTTCTGATTAATCGGATACTACACTGAGATGCCAAATTTTTGCTTGCATGCTGAAACTGTGCCAAACTGTGCTGCTTTACTGCCTTGGGACAAATCAGAGAGCAAATACACTGCCTGTTGGGTAGGACACCTTTACACCATGTGTCCTAATGTTATACCATAATCATAGAATCACAGAATGGTTTAGGTTGGAAAGAACCTTAAGATCATCCAGTTCCAACCCCCCTGCCATGGGCAGGGACACCTCCCCACTAGACCATGTCACCCAAGGCCTCGTACAACCTGGCCTTGAACACCACCAGGGATGGAGCATTCACAACCTCCCTGGGCAACCCATTCCAGTGCCTCATCACCCTTACAGTAAAGAATTTCCTCCTTATATCCAATCTAAATTTCCCCTGTTTAAGTTTTAACCCGTTACCCCTTGTCCTGTCACTACAGTCCCTAATGAAGAGTCCCTCCCCAGCATCCCTATAGGCCCCCTTCAGATACTGGAAGGCTGCTATGAGGTCTCCATGCAGCCTTCTCTTCTCAGATACTATCTTCATCTTCACCTCAGCTACAAATTTGCCAGTGTGATACATCAACATGGATAGCAATTTCAGCTGGGCTGCTGGATGACCACTTTGAGATGGGTTCTGCCAAGCCTATGTGCTATTGAAAGCAGTATGAAGGCTCAGAATAGCTGGGTTTATGTTGTTTATCATTTCCTGGCACACGTTCAACCTTCACACTAGAACTCTGGAGTCTCAGGTCACCTGTGAGCAGACAGGCCTCAGCCCTTGGTCTCTTTCTGATAGGCACTAACCTCCCTCTACTGCTTAGCTTAACTATTCACTTGTAAGGCTCACATTTAGTGGGAGACCTTGGTTTAGGATACACCAAGTCTCCACTGTGTAAAACAACAAGGAATTTTCTGCTGGTTTCTGCCTTGGTGTCCAAGAGGTGCCTTCTTGGTCACCTCTCTCAGCTCTGACCCACTCCTGCAGACACCAAGTCCCCTCCTCTCCCTCCCTTTTGTCCCTCTCCCCATCTGTGGTTTCTGACAGCTGTGTAAATACCTTGGATTGAGCTCTCTGTTCCCATCCTGGGAATGCTCCTCTGTTCAGATCCTAGCGCTCTGCACACACATTTGCACAATTCATTCCCCTCAAAGCTGCTGCCTTCCCTCCTTCCTTGGGTCGAGCCCTTGTCGTTGGCAATACGAAGCTCCCGCGTCTCTCAGAGGCAGCCGCTCGGGCACGGCCCCCGCACCACCTCACGACGAGCAGCACAAAACTGCAATAGAAACAGAGCAAGCGGGGGTTACGGTGGCGGGGACCGAGCCTGGCCCGAACGCATCGCGGTTCGCACCGCACCGCATCACTTCTCTCGGTGAGGTCACAACGGGCCCGGGGAGTCGGGTCGGGGGGCTCGGGGCCAGGGCGGGCAGCCCGGCAGCTCTGACCGGACCTTGCCCGGGAGCCGCGCTGCCACCCGGGGCACCCCGCGCAGGGCCCAGCCGCCGCGGCCCCGTTTCCAAGGCACCGCCCCACAGGGTAGCCCCTGGCAGGCGGAACGCGGCCCCACGGCCCGGCGCGGCGGCGGGGAGCCCGGTCCCTTCCGCCAGGGCCGGGCTTCCGGGTGATCAGGTGACGGCGGCCGCTGGCAGAGGAGCGGCTCCGCGGCTCGGGGCTGCTGCGGGGGAGCAGCGAGACCCGCCGGTGAGCCCAGCCGAGCGGAGCGGGTCCGGCTGGCGGGGAGGGTGCGGGGAGCCGAAGCCGGGCGGCGGTGTGAGGGGAGCGGGCCGGGGCCGTGCCGTGCCCTGCCCCGGGGCCGCTGGAAGGCCGGAGCCGCCTGCGCTCGGTCGAGACGAGCGAGCCCGGTGTGCGCAGCCTCGCTGCCGGAGCTCCGGCCGGGGCTGGCAGCGGCAAGCAGGGCCCGGCGCCGCCTGCGAGGGGTTTCCCCCCGGAATCCCGCGTTCAGCGGCCTGCAGGCGCCGGAGCCCCGGCCCGGGGCAGCGCCCGGCTGGATTAGGGACACGTCGGGCTCTAGGTGCGGCCGCAAAGCGAGAGCTTCGGGTACGTGCCATTATTGTGCTTTTTTCCTTCTTAAACCATACCGTAACTGCTGTATCTCCGCGTTGTGCTGCTAGGCGGGTTAGCCCACTGGAGGGGTGTTTAATGTTTTACATAACGCCCAAACCAGGAAAACGCTCCGGCAGTATTACCCAACTGGTTGTATCAGGTTTTTTTTCTTTCCTTTGGACTTTATGAGGTAAGAGGATAAAATCTTTGTCTAAAGATTAGTGCAGCATTTTCTTGCAGTCTATAGTGTACCGAATGGCTAAACCAAAGAATTCCTTCAATCGCTTGGGGGGTTTGGTAGTTTGTAACAATGTCTCGCATTGGTGCTGTGTATTGAATCCTCTGAGCTGCCATAAGGGCCTTTCAGCAGGGCTCTTATCCTGGAAGCAGTAACTGTAACACACGTAGGTTGTAGAATCCCAGGTAATGAAATGAGGCCAAGCAAGGGCACGCTGGTCTGTAGGACAAATGGCTGGTTTGGCAAGTGCCGGTGATCACAGGAACGTGTACACTGGGACCACTTGATGGCAATACTGAAAAGTGGGCAGGTGATGTGGCACAGGTTATAGGAGGTGGAAAGATGGACTCAGAAACTGCTTCTGAAGCGTTAAAATGTAATATGCTTGGGGGGCAGAATAGAGTGAAAAGGCAGTGAGAGATAAATGTGTATTTAATGATTAACAGGTTGGCTTCAGTCCTGTATTTGCTAAGAATGTCAAAAAATGACTGTCAAGGAGTAAATGTAATTTCTTCTAGGCACTGTCAACAACTGTCAGCTAAGGTTACCTGTTCATTTTACTTGAAGTCCAGATAATAGTTTAAGGGTGAGATTGTTGTTAAACTTACGAGAGGGTGTATTTATATAAACTCTTGAGTAATGTTTTTAGATTTAGATGGAATTTCTGATGTTAATATTCCTTTGATAAAATTTGTCCTGTGTCTGACAATGACACTGGTACTGTAGCAATAAGAAACATAACCTATTGAGTTTTCCTTTTGATTAAAATGGCAAAAGTTCAGAACCTAAATCAGCCCTTGGGACAGAAATAGATTAGTTTTAGATTATTTCCATTTCAGTAATCCTAGATAGTAAGATTCATTAGGAAAGAAACATGGAAGTGTCTTTCTAGTGCAATTTTACATCCAGTAATGCTCTTTTTTATTTCATTGTTATGTATTAGAACACCTATCCTACAATGGCTTCATAAATTAGAAGTTAATGTCATCTGTGTATTCCCTTTCTGTCTTTCTGGGGTTGATCTATTGTTCACCTGCTTTGTTTCCAGTGGGGTTTTTGTATGCTTTAAAGGTGGTGGAAACTCCCCCATTGTGTCTTCAAGTGTTTCTCTTGTGTTTTTAGTCAGGTCAAGTGTACTTTGGCAAATACAGTCATTTCTCATTTGCCAAGTTTAGGAATGTGATCTTTTACAGGAGCCACTCAGCTCATTTTCCTGGTGTGCAGTTTCTCCCACTGGATTTATAGATTCAATTTTTAAAGTATTTGAGTAAAATTTCACTTTTACTGCCTGTTATCTATACACAGCACATAGACTTTCCTGCACTTACTTCTTTCATGGACCTCCTGTGCTCTCAGTTGTGAAACTTTCAGGTCCCAATGTGCCATCTGCTTCTCAGAGCTCCAGTTTCACCACCTCTTTCATCCATGCTTATTCTTTACGCGACTTGGTGGGATTTGTGCTGGTTCCCTTAACAAGTATCTTCACTTCCATGTCTTCTTCATGCTCCACAAGGCTTCTTTTATTTAGGAAGACCACTTCAAAATGGGTTCTTTGTTGTTTAACTCTTCATCTGTTGCCACTCTTGATTCTCAAATGCAGTAAATGTCAGTGATTCAGTCACTGTCAGAACAACCTGTTGGGATAGCATAGGGGTCATGATTTGAAGGAAATAGCTAACATAAATGGGTTTTAAATAACAAAGATACTGTTTCCTTGTAAATTTCTAAAGAGCAAAAAAGCAAGAAATAAAAAAAGAGAAGATTTTTCCATGCTTGCATTTAGATCACGGCTGATTTTTATATATTTTCGCTTGTTTTGTTTGCTACTCATCATGTGTCTAGGGTTGATTTGGAGACCTGATGTAAAGGATGAAGGTTTACAAACCTCAACTGGCATCTCTAAATTCTGTTTACTTAACACCAAAATTTATGATATATCCTGGTGTACTCACACTCTCCTTCTGAACTCTAAATCAGAATGAAAATGGGGTTAGTTTGGCTTGTTGCGTTGGTTGTTGGTTTTCTTTTTAGTTTGTGGCTTGTTGGGGGCGAGGAGGGGGTTCCTCCTCTAAAAGGTTTTGTCTCAGAGCTTAAGTGTAGTTCAAGTGACATTTCAACAATTTTGAGCTTGTTCTCCACTCAGAACAAGTTGAATTTGCAGCTGAACTTCAGGATTCACAGACTATGCTCACAAGTGACACAAAATATGATTACCAAGTGTAGGTTTAGTCATTGATGCTGTTTCATGCTTGCTGCTTTGTATATGTGCAGCGTGATTTGCAGCTGAACAGCCCCCAGCAGCATGTGTTATGTTAAACAGTTTTCCACGGAGCTAATGTCTGAGAGGGCTTTTCAGAAGTTTCAGAATAAGGTTATTTTTATTGTTGTGGTTTGATACATTTTCGCTATTGTAAATTGCTTATATCCTAATAGGTCTTTGGGCCCAGTCAGCCTATGAAGAAATAATTAGGAGAGGATCCCAGTACAGCCTAAGGAATGGCCTGCTTCCGGGACAGTAGATTCATTATGATCTATGTTCATTATGCCTATTATGATTCTTCTGTCTCAGCCATCTGTATTCCACTACATTACTATATTCCTATGGATTTCTCTATCATCTGTCTTCAAAACTTAATGATTTATTAATATTTTTTTAAAGTTACTAAAAGACAAGGAATTTATAAGTAGAAGTTTGTGAAGGTACAGATTTTATCTTTGTTGATGAGTCTCCACATTTCTGGTGTTAAATACATGGAATTTAATTAGGAAAAAAGGCCTTCTTTCCACATTGGTTTTAAGGACAGAAATTCATTCATTTGCCTCTTTTATATACTTCTCTTGCATTAATGTCAAGATACAAAAGCCAGACATTTCTTGTGCCCATTCTATAAGAAGATGCTAGGGTTTTTTTACAATGTGTTGAACTCCTGAGTTTCAATTTTGATATTAATTCCCAGCAAATATACATAGGTCCAAGTTGGTAAGTTTTCAAGCATTAAACTACTAAGCAAGACAGGCTGAAGATTCTGGTAGTAAGGATGTGTGAAAATTCCAAGTCTCTTTAGCTTATAGTTTGTGGGTTGGCAGCACTCCCATCTGCCTTGAACTAACATGAGGTGTAATTTTATACAATGAACTGCTACTGGGTATAAAATAAGTCACACTGTGAAATGCTAAGAGCAATGTGTGTACAGCATCTGTGAATACAAAGTCACCCTTCTGGGACACTGTGCAAAATGATGTAACTGAGTGAAAAAGCTCTGCAAAAATACATTTCACTGTTGTTGTTGAGCATCTCCGCTGCAATACCGTAATGAGGCTCGAGTATGATTCTTTTTCTTGACCACACAGTGGGATTGTACTGTATGAAACAAGCTGTTGACACTAATAGCTAGAGTTGCTGAGGTTTTATTTTGCTGCCCTGCACCTGTGCTTCAGCACTGCTACAAAGAGGGGACACTAAGGAAAGCCTTTAATGCTTTGGGGGTAAGTTTGCCAAGAAATTCGCTTCTGAAAAATTCAGGTCACCCTTTTAAAATGCTTAACTGTTTGTGTGCTTGCTAAAAGTTGAGATAATCACCGTTTCTTTCTTTCAACCTTATCTAAGTATTCATATCCCTGCAGCAGCAACGTGATGTCAGGTTCATGAAATGCACAGTGGAGTATTCTAATCTGTTTTGGTGAATTAACTTCTGAAACTACTGAAACCTCTTAGTTCCTGGATTAAAAATCTTGTACTGGTAAAAGTATTCGTTTCTGGAAGTGGAAATGCCTTGGGCTGAGCCTCAGAGGTTTAGGTACTGTGGAGTTTGCATTTCAAGGAATTAGAGTGTGGAGGTTGTTCTTTGATAAAGATGATGATGTTAGTGAGAACCCAAAGCATGTAAGTAAAATTAAAGCACACTTAAGTAAATTTTTACTACTTCTGAATTACTTCCAGATTAGAAATGTTTGATAGTCATATCAACACACTGCTGTGATAGCAGCTGTATACTGCTGATGAGACAAATCATGTACTAGGCCACCTTTGCTTGCCATTATTATCACTGTTATTCCAGATTAATGAACATTGAACTTAAAACTGCTTGAAGTCAGTCTGTCCAGATTGTGAATGGCTTTATGATTAAATCCTGTTTCAGACTGCATCCTCCTTTGTGACTGGCATTGAATTTTTGGAGGAGTTATGACCACATGAGCTCATTTATGAGAAAACACAATGGGTTTGTTTTGTCTGTGGATCTCAGTTGCTTATCAGTAACTTTAAAACAGAGGTCACGTATCAGCCAGGTCATACTACAGGGCTTTAAAGTAGCTTAGTTTGTCAAAATACGTCTCTCTTGGCTATGTTAAACTAAGCCCATCAACAACAGGCTTCAAGTGCTTCTTAGATAAATCACTCCCAGTTTGGAACAGGATGAGAATGCAATGTTATAATCAAGAAGTTGTTTGGTTGTTGGGTTTTTTTTCAGCCCCTTCCTACTGCTTGGATTCCAGCAGGAGAATTTTCTTGACCTTGTGTCTGGGTAGTTCTTGAAGATGGCCAGCAAAGGACCCACGACTTCTACATCAACAAAGAGCTCCAGTACTGGAGGGACCAGTGGCAGCAGTAGCAGTAATGGTGCTGGGGACAGTACTAATCAGGACAACACTTTTGAGTGTAACATCTGTTTAGACACTGCCAAGGATGCAGTTATCAGCTTGTGTGGACATCTCTTCTGGTAAGTACTCATCCCCCTCAGATAAACCAGAACACTATCTGATCATGTAAAAGCCTATGATTTTTATAAATCTAAGACATCAAATAAAATGGCTTGTATAAAATTAGTAAGGACCATAGGTTTGGTTTAGGAGGGGCCTGGGTTTGCTTCTCAACTGTTTTTCTTTGCTTGTGTTCCAGGGAGTGGGTTTCTTGCGTCTTCAACTTCTTCAACTTCCTGTACTTCTGGGTTATTTTGTAAAACAAACAAACAAGCCCCACATAAGACAGTGTTCACTGACACTGCTTGGTTATGCGTGCTATTTTGTGCTGTCTGGTCTAGCACAGATATCTTGTTCAGACCTAAATTCCTTTCTAAGCTGTGCATACCTAAACCTGCACCTGACATTAGGTTGTAGAGGCCAAATTGTAGTTCTCATGCTTCCTATAAGATTGCTCTTTTTCCCTTTGAAACTATAAAAAAAAAGATAAAAAGCTTTTTACCTGTGGGTTTCTCTTTTCCCATGGTCCTGCAGTTGTAACACTGCCTATTCAGTTCTTTGGTCTGACGTTGGAATGTATCACACAAACACAAGAAGTGTGCAGCATTTCTTACGTGGGTAACTTGGGCTAGAACATACTCTTTCTTGAATGTTAAGAAGGCATTAAGGATTGACATGGCCAAATGGGGTTTTGGGGGGGTTGTTTTACAGAGTAGGCTAAATTGTGGCCTTTTTTATACAAGAGGCCTAAAAGAGCATTTCTGTATAAATGTATGTAATATCTGATAAATAAGGTTCTTACTGTAGGAGATGGAAAATCACTTGATGATGGTATGTTAAGATAAATTATTGTACAAAAGGATGTGAAAGAATGGAACTTTAAAAATCAGCAAGTGTCTGTCTGAATAGTGTTGTCAAGACTGCTTGTTGCCATATTAATTTAATCTTAAGAGTAGTTCTGTGTAAAGGGAATTTCTCTGCCCTGAGCCACTGGGTCTGATCTCAATACTTGACCCTGCTCTGAGCATTGGGTTGGACTGGAGGCCACCTGGGGTACCATCCACCTGGAGGTATTCCATGATTTAGTGAACATGGCTGATGTTTTACCTAAATCTCTCTTATTTACTTTAAGATCCTGAAGGATCTTTACTGATCCCTTCCTCATTTGCATCTTAGCTCAGGGATGTCTTTTCATGGTATTAGAAGAGAAAATTGTACAGTAAACACCAAGATTAATTAAGCCTCTGTATGGGCCTTTGGTATGGAAGAGGGCCCAGGAATCAAAGGAGATATATAGAAAATCACATTAGCAACTTAGTTAGATTGCATAACCTGAAAAGACCAGTGGAGATCCGTCTTGGGCTGTGCTTTCAATTATTTTAATGGGAGGTTATGGAACTAGCCCAGCTGGATTCCAGGATTTTGTTGTCTCCAAGCTGTGCTATCTGTGGTACACTATACGTCTGTCAGATCCACTTGTCAGTAACTAATTCTGTTTTCCCCTCTCTTTCTGCTCTGTGAACAAATTGTCCTGGGAATGCTCACAGTTGGCCTTGTTTACACCAGGTAAGACAGGTTTCCTTTTACTTTGTCTTTCATCAGCTCCTGTTACTCAATAAAGCCCTCGGTTCTCTGGAGTATGCCCCTCTTTTCAAATGCTCTGTCTCTCCAGGGCAATCACAACCTGCTAATGCAGTTTCATACACAACACCTTGCAATCTGCTCTTTTCAGCATTGCATCCCACTTTTGAGTTTCTTAAATACTGGGTATTCCCAATTTTGCAGGAGAATTACTGTAGGCAGTTCACAGGGGTTTACTTTGCAGGCTTAAGTGCTGAATGTGCTTCTCTTGGAATATGTAGTGTTTTACATTCTGGCATCATTACAGAAAAGATAGATGAAAGGAGGGTATCTACACTTGGCCTATGCAGGATTGTTGGTTCTGTTTATTTCTTCATATTTTACTTCAGTGCAGTTCTGAATGTGTACACATCAGCAAGTGGTTCGTACCAGAACGACAGCCAAAATGCCAGCTCCAATCTGGAGAGTACTTGGCACTTAGTAAAATGTTTTGCTCCATGGCTTTCTGAGAAATTGCTGAAGTGTCTCTGCCTGGCTGCAGATGAGGTTTGCATGTTGTTATTTACATGGTCCTTTACTGGGTTTCTTATAATGTACTTTCTTTTAGTGGCTAGAGACCAGGCCAAACAGACAAGTGTGTCCTGTATGCAAAGCAGGAATCAGTCGAGATAAAGTTATTCCTCTGTATGGAAGGGGTAGCACTGGGCAGCAGGACCCCAGGTAAGAAACCTAAATACAACTATTTTTGTGTGAAAACTAAAGATGAAACTTTAGTTTAAGGTCTTAAGATGAGATTGTCAAAATAATGGATTCACAATGTGAAATACTTTGTTAAAAGACAGATAGAACTGCCATTTCTGCCTGATATTTCTGGCCTGGGTTTGCACACCTTATTTCTTGTTCAGCTGGCAACTTGTTCTAATTGGGTATTAATTATAAGTTACAAGTGTCAGGTTGCAATGAATGTTATCTGACTGGACAAACTTACCTAAAATGTTCATTTCCTCAGTTTCTAGCCTTTGCAATGGGACTTTGTTATTCAAAATGCAGTATCTTGATTCAGTGATATGATTCATAAGCTGGGTGATCTATTCACTCACACACTGCCTCCAGCTCTGCTGCAGCATGGCCCTATGTTTGTTCTGGTTTATTAGCCAGGCTAGTGCAGATACTCTTGGCACATATTAGCACTTGAGCTAATTTCACAACTTCCTGCAGAGAGAAAACTCCGCCACGACCCCAAGGACAGAGACCGGAACCAGAGAACAGAGGGGTACGTGAAAAAACAAGCTCGAGCAGATAAGTTGGTTTTATTGGTGGTGGGATTTATTCATCTTGGAGGATTTAGTCATCCTGTGTGAGGATCCTAAGCCTCACAGCCCTTGCTCATCCCTAGCTTGTTCACAAATAATTGCTAGCTGCAGTGTGGCAGAAAGCTCCATTCCCATAGTACTCTAGCATCCCAAAGAATGGGCTAACTTGAATTGTGCTTCAGAAGAACAGACCTGTGTGGCATCACTGGAAATGCTCTTCATCCCTGATTGCTCTCCATACACAAATACAAGGAACACTTTGCTTTGAAAATTCTGTGTGGAAATGAATTTCCATCAGACTATACCTGCCTTGGAAATGTGTAATCTATGTGTGAACACAGGCTTTTGGCACTGACACCTGCTTCTAGCATTTCTATGGGATGTTATTGTACCATGGCATTACAAGCATAAGAATTCAGCTATCTGTTGGATACATGTTAATACAAAGAGGGCTCTGTGGTTTTGTTGAGGAGATTACATAGAGTGAATGTGAACAGCAGCTGGCATAGGTTGAACAGACATTGGAGTAGCCAGCAGGACAGACCACGGTGTTCTTCAGCACAATGGCAGTGAGCATGACCTGATGAAACAATTGCATATTTCTGTGTAACTCAGCCCGGGATCCTCGGGGAACATTTGTATACCTCATGCTTCAAGCAAACAACTGCTGGGAATGATTAAGGAGCATTTCTGTACTGAATGCATTGGGAGCTCAGTTGTTCTTTCTCGCTGGGGAGTTGCCTTCTTATTAAATCACCTGCTATACCTTGTTTGAACCTTTTAGCTGCTGCTACCATAAGTCAAAGTAATCTGGCATGAAGACAGTGATGCTGCCCTCCTGTTTTCTGAAGGCAAAGCACCTGCCATGCAGAGTGCTTTGCTGTCCCTGAGAGTTAATGGCAAAATGCTTGAGGAGAGTCATAGTCAAAAGACTAACTCAAGTCAAAGATCAACCCAGAAATGTCTGGCTTTTATTATGATCTCAAAGGTCTCTTCCAACCTAGTTGATTCTGTGATTCTGTATGAGTGAAATCACATTTGTCCTCCCACTGTTTGGAGGTGATAGACCAGAGGGTTTTTCAGAATTGCTATCACTGTTTTAATTCTGTGAGGAGACGACAGTGTGCTTTACACACTGTGGATTACAGAATGTGGCAACTCTGAGCTCTCCACAGTTTTTGAACATGATGTGACTGCTTAGACTGTTATAGTTTGCTCTCAAATAGTACACTGCTTGTATATGGTAGGATTCATCTTGATTCAGAAGACTTACCTTTTGACTTGATGGGGTATCTTAATCTGGATCCCATAGGGGTCAATGTTGTTGCATTGTAACTCTTCCTTTTTTCCTCCTTTCCTTATGGCTGGCATTCCTGCCCCAGATGACTTTATCTGCCACCTTAATTAGAGTGCCCCCGGTAATTTTTTTTTTATGGTTACTGTTCCTCTCTATAATGCTCTTTGCATCCCACTGGCAATTTATCACCTCACTGAATGCTTGAATTATACACGTGTATTGTGAGAATCAATGCAGCTCATTTTTTTACAATGCCTTTCTTGCAGCTATAGGGCTCATACCTATTAATACAGATTAATATATTGTTAAGACATTCTAGATAGAATTGTTAATGTTGATTTTGATACAGTGTCAGATATCTGTTATTTTAAGTTGAGAAACATTAGAGAAACGCTTTTGTTAATTTGTGGCCTTCAGGAAAGAACTGTAGTCCCTGGTTTTCTCAAACTTTTGGGTTGCTCTGGCAAGTTTGATACTGTGTGAAACACTTTAAGCTGAGGAGAACTAAGGAGGTATCTAACAGTAGTGTGGCAGACTAGTTGCCAGACAGAATGATACTGCCTCAGCTGCAGGAAAGCCAGGGAGAGAATCTCTGCACTTCTACAAAACACTCTGAAATAGGCTTTAAATGATTGGTACCTTTTTTCTCTCTGTGCTTTGTCTCTGCAGGGATTCCAGGGCTTTGGCTTTGGCGATGGTGGCTTCCAAATGTCATTCGGAATTGGGGCGTTTCCCTTTGGTATATTTGCAACAGCATTCAATATAAACGATGGGCGACCTCCTCCAGGTACCACGCAGCCATCTTCTCCCAGAGGCCTGTCACAAACAGATGTTTGTTACAAACTCCTTTGTAACTTTTAAACAAACAGCTTTCTAAATGACAAAACTTTCTGAATAGTAGAGTAAATCGGTGCTGTAAATAGAAACACAAAATGGTTTGCTGAAGGCCTTCCTGGGAGGACAGTAGAACTGGAGAGGGAGAGTGGCACTGGGTAATTCTCCCCTTTAATTCAAATGCCTCCTCTGGTACTCCCTCTGAAAAATGAGACAAATTGGACTAGAGTTTCTAATAATAGTACTAAAAAGGAGTCAGCAGGGGTGAATGAAGGAGACCCATATTTTGAAAACAGCAGGAAAGGACCATTTCCTGAAAGATGAGAAGGAAAAATTTAAACTGGTTTCAACCCCTTTGTACCACAAAATAATGACAGCAGGGATTGTTCCTTTTCCAGAAATTTATGAGAGTCACCTGTATTCCACAAGAAGTAACTTTTCTGGTGAAATGATTTCACTGATTTTAATTAAGAAAAAACAGTTGGCTTACTCCAAGTAGTGGCCTTGCTCTCTAAAAATGAAGCAATCCCCAGAAAACCGCCTCCCCATCTACAGTGTAGACAAACCAAGTCTGCCTGTTTTGAACAAGAACCTACTTTTCTGTACAGGATTTTCTTCCTCTAGCAAATTTTCTTCACCATGTCATATGGCATCAGAACTATGAGAACATTCTTCGTGTCACACCTGTGTTGCCAAGGACCTGTGCTGTCCCAGGGTCAAATTAACTTACCTATTAACTATACTTGAGTGTCCACTGAAAATGTGTGTGGGGGTGTGACTGAGCTAAGGAGTATGTAAATATATCCTGTTGTACCAGCCATCATTTAACCACCTCCTTTATCTGCTTTTCAGATGTGAATTCAGTGCAGCAGTTCTCGAAATGCACAGCTTGAGCTTTAGAGCTTGTGTGCTTTACATTAGTTCTCTTTGTCAAGGCACCACATGCAGCTTTGACTGTTTTACCATTCCCTTATTCAGAGATGTTTCACCTTGATGGGGAGGAGCACTCAAGTAGAGGTAGTAAAGCTCCTCAGGCTGGAAACAGTGAACTTGGCTAGCTGTGAGCAGTGAACTGAGCAGTGAATTTCACTCAGCACTGTCCCCAGAAGTACTCTGAGCAGAGCTCCATGTACTGGAGCACTGGGAGCTGCCTGCTGCTATTAGTCACAAGCAGGTTTACCACAAGTCTGCTTCAGGGAGCTGATGTTTATCTTCCCTCTGATCTTCCAGTATGGCTTGCCAGTCTGAAATAGCAACAGTTTCTCACCAAGTAGATTCCTTGCATATCTTTCAGTTTATGTTCAGAATATATACTATGTTCAGAATATACACAAAGAAGAGGAAGGAGCTGAACTGTTCTGTTTTCCTTTCTGTTTTCCAGCTGTTCCAGGGACTCCTCAATATGTGGATGAGCAGTTCCTATCCCGCCTCTTCCTGTTTGTGGCTCTGGTGATAATGTTCTGGCTGTTGATTGCGTAATTTTTTTTCATTATTCTATATATTCATGGCCAACAAGGCACCTGAAACAGTTACAAACTGCATCCCCATCCCATTTTAAATCTCTTGGTGTCTGGTTCCATAGCTAACTGTGGGCTTCAGGAATTGGTGGTACTACAGGACAATGAGGAATCCCGCATTTTGCACCAGAGTTGGAAATTAAACATTAAAAAGCATATTTCAGCTCAGCTGTTGTGTACAACAGGTAACTGCCACAAACCACGGGCCTAGCTTTGAGCTCCACTCCTAAAAGGAGTGCTGCTTTGAAATCCTGTGCCAATCAGTGACACCAGGTTTATGTGAAAGACAGTTGCCTCAGAGGTAGACTGGGCAGGTAAGGAAACCTCTGCAGTGTGACCAGTATCTCATGCTTGGATCTGCCTGAGCTGTGGATGTTATTTAATGTCTTCACATCAACATCCAGCCTTCTTCAGGAAATCATCTGCAGCACTGCTAAGACTCTTTGGGCACAGCACGTGATGCAAATAGAACCAGGCCTGGAACCTGGTTTCTTTGCTTGCTGTTATTTCCCAGTGTGATGGGAAACCCCTCCTGAAGAGGTTCTGATGGCTGTTAGAAGGGATACAAATTTATGCTGCAATTTCTTAAAGCCTGAATTTGCTGGAGCCAGACACTGGAAGATTCTCTCATCGTGGAGCTGGGTGGGGTTGCAGAACAGTCCAAGGAACTGCCTCACCCAGCCCAGTTCCTCACTGACAAAACAGTGTTGTCTTCCTTGGTTCTGCGCAGCAGCCTGTGGCTGCACTGCTGGATGATCCCCTCACAACCCTGTCACTGTAACTACGTTTATTCTTCCCAAGTCTTTGAGACTTTCTGCTCAAGGTTGTGTACTCCAAATAAAATCCTATTACAGATCTGAGATCAGCGTGTTTGGGGAGAGGAACAAAAGGCATCTTTATGTGAGTTTTGAGGTTAAACTTGTCATACTGTAAAATCAGACAAGAGGAAGAATGAGATCCTGCCTTTGCTAGCACATGCTGCAGTAGAGAACATTTGGAAGAGCTTTTCTCTACAGGTGTGTACAGCTGCTCCATGCCACAGCAGAATGGCTGTACCGCACGAGTCTCTGCAGTACCTACCAAAGAAACTAACCTGAAGTGCTGGAGGAGACCACAACTATTTATGTGCTGAGGGGAAAATACTTCAGAAGGTGAGCACTTGGTAGCTGTTTTGGAATCTTGTTGGGGACACAGCTTTAGGGACTACTCCTGATGTATATGTGTAGATTCTTTCAGAACAGCAGCTAGGAGAGATTCCCTGGCAAGATGAACAGCTTTCCTATTCCTCTGAAAAATGTCAATTTTTTTCTCTTCTTTTTAGGTTGTTTTGATTCAGATTCCTCATAGTCATAATTATTTCCTGCAGGATGAATATTGTGACATTCCTGGCAATAGACAGCCAACTGACAGAACAAGTCAACTCATAGAAACTCTGTTTTAATTGCTAGGGTTTTTCTAGTGGATGGATGAGGTTCCTCGGCAGGACCCCTTAATTGTTGTAGAAGCTTATTTATGTCATTATAAACTGTTCACTTTTAGTATTGAGACACAGGATGTCTGCAGTTTAACTTGCCTACCTCCGGAATTCCATCTGGCAAGTGGAATGTTGCAAAGCCTCCGCGGTGTTTTGCCACGTCTTGTCGAATTCATACCTGACCGATAGTCGGGCAGCATACACTGCTCAGCTATAACTGTTGAAGCAGCGCCTCAGCTTCGGTGGTGCGGCACTTTCGAGAAGGTTCACTGCTTGTGCATAGGGTTCTTCTCAAGTGCGGCACTTGGTAACGGGCACCCTTTCGAGGAGAAAGGCTGGGTTGCTTCTGGCTGGCGGTAGTACGGAGCCGCGGCTTTGACCGCCTTTCCTGAGCAGGCAGCACCCCCTGCTGATGAAAAGGGGAACTTCAGGTGCAGTAAAGGATGGTTTTCCTTTCCCATTGAGGAACGATGCTAACGGCAGAGGTTGGCCGGGGAGGAGCAGCCACTTAAAGCCTTTCTCCGAGAAAGTGGACAGAAAAGCGACTGTAACAGGTTCAAGCGGTACTGAAACTGATTTAACTAACCTTATGTTTAATAATACAGAATTTTAATGGTTTGTTGTTTTTTTTTCCATCTACTGGTGAGAGACAGAGGTGGCTACAGAAATATGACTGAGTCCTTATTTTCTGGCAATCCAATAATGAAATAGTCTGAAAGTGTTAACGCTTTTGTTCCTACCTTTTCCCTGGCGTGCTTTTTGTATTGTACCACTTCCCTCCTCGTACTCAGACTGCACACAGCCCGTAATGGCTCGTTTAGTGCATTACCATTACTGTTCACTAATTTTCACTGTTGTGAAAGTGATTTAGAATTAAAAAATGGTTTTACATTGACCGTACTGCGCCGCCGTTCCTTTGTGCTTTGCGGACGGACTGAGGTGAGGCGCTGCCCTCATCCCTACCTCGCGGACGGGGTGGGGGAGTCGCAGAGCCCGTTGCTGGTCGTTGCCTCAGGAAACGGAAGGGCTGGGGCCTCACTTCTCCCTCGCCGGGGCAACGGGGCTGTTCCGCCGGCGGCAGCAGTACCGAGGGGCCCGCGGGCCGTGGCCGGTGAGGCCGCGCTGGGCTCGGGGAGGGTGTAGGCCCCGCAGAGCGGCCCAGCCACCGGAGCGGCCGCGCCCGCCCGTCCACAGCCCGCCACGGCACGTGGTGGGAGGGGCCGGGGTGTGCGGTCGCGCTGTCATTGGTCCTCGCCGCGGATGGGGTGGGACGGTCACCGCCGGAGTAGTGTGGGGATTGGCCCGTGGCCGTGAGGGGGGCGGAGTGCCGATTGGCCTGCGGCGAGGAAAGGGGCGGGGCGATAGCTGCCTTCGGGGCGGGGTACGGCGCGGAGGTAGCAGAGAGGGGAAGAGAGGTGGGGGCCGCGCGTGGGAGCGCGCTGCCGGTGCAGGTGCGCAGTGACGTGACGTGACCTGCGGCGCGCTCCGTAGAGGCTGACGTCAGGCGCGGTCTAGCCCCGGGGCGCGGCGGGGCCGGCGCGGGATGGAGGAGCCAGGTGAGGCGGAGCGGCGGGAGCGCGGCCTCTCCCGGCCGTGTGCGGGGCGGCAGGTGCCGGGCTCGGGGGGTCCCGCCCGGTGCTCCTGTGCTGCGGTGGCGGCGGGCGGCTGCCCGGCACCGGCCCGTTAGCGCGGGAGCCTGCTGGGGTGGGGCGGTCCCGCTGGCCCTGTCCCCGTTGTTGTCCCGCGTTCCCCGCCGGCTCTCGGTGCCTCTCTCGGGCCGGTGCCTGCCGGGGCTGCTGGTGCCGCCGGGGGATGCGCTGCAGCTCCCCGCTGGCCGCCCTGCGACATTCCTCCTGCCCTGGGGGACCTGCAGACCTGTTACATTGATCGTGTCCGTTCGCCTTTCCCTCGCGCTGTTTCCTGCTCTGCTTTTTTCATTTCCGTCACTTCTCCTGGATACTCCAGCGATTCCGTGGATACAGAGCTGTTCATTTCCGTTTGGGACCTAATCGGTCTCTCCGGGCGCAGCCGAACTGATGCTGCGCTGCAGCTGGAAGTAGGGCGACTGCTACCTGGAGTTCAGAAGCCAATGGGTGAAGCTCTGAATGATCCTTGTGGAGTTAGAGCCGTTGCTTGTAGCCAGCTGTGGTGTAGTCATTAGCCTTTAAATTCCTTTAAATAGAATCCGCTGCCTGTATTCACATTTGCATCTGGTGCTCGTGGCACAGAGCCGGAGGAGATGGAGCTGCAGGAGATGGTGCTTGGCTTTCCCAAAGTCCGGCTGACTTCCAGCGTTTGCACTGTTCCAAGAGGAGCGTGTTGGATGCCTGCACGTTGAGGCACAGGCACACGTGGCTTTGCCTGTTATTCCAAGCCTGTTTGGTGTGCTGAAGAGCAGGTTGCTTTAGAGAAGAACATGGGTAGCAACAGCTTCTTCCAAGTTTCTCCTAACCCTTGTTCGACTGTGCAGATCTGAGCTCAGGGCAGTTCTCGGTGTCCCAGATAGCAGGAGAGCACAGACACATTCCCAGGTGTGGAGCTATGAACTGCAGTAGCTGCTTACACTGACTGTCCAGTTTGAATGACTCCTGTCCAGCCACAGAGGCTTGCAGGGAGGTCTCTAGCTGGGTACAGCTGATCTGCTCATGAGGGCAATGTTTTCTCTAACACAGCTATTTGTGCAAAGCATTACAAGGAGATCTTCACCTTGGCTGGTTTTAAACATTGTCACTGACCTACACAGTGAGGTAAAAGTGCATGGAAGGCTGCTGGCTTCTGTTTTGTGTAACTTCCAGGGACTTAACCTTGGTATCAGCTTGCCTGAACAGCTACTGAGTTTTAACGTCCTTTGGGAAATGGAAGTCCGCGGTTAGTGGTTTTCCTTCTCCAAATACACTCTTTCCTGATGCAGGCTTACTGCAGCAACCTTTTGGTAGCAGGAAGGAACGGGTTTGAGAAATGCCCAGCTATGTGATGTGTTCCTTGTGCCATCCTGCTCTCATCCAGGCCCTTGACTCTTTCTTTAACATGCCTGTACAGCTGTTTGGATTTTGGATGGTATTTATGTGTGTGCCAGATGCTCTTTGTGAGCAAGTTTTCATACAGTTTTTCCTAGCTTACATGCATCTAAATAACTTCTAAAGAACTAAATAGCTCTCTGGGGCCTTATGGCAGAAACTATTACTGCATTATAACAATTATAAGTATGTTCTGAAAGTGCAGTAGGCCAGTGGCATCAACCTCTCTTCCTGAGTGTGCTGCTAGTCTGGTGTTGACTGCACAGTCTCTACAGAACTATTCATTCAAGTGTGTAATTCCTTCCTGGTAGTCAAGTTGTCTCTATGAATAAAGCTCGCCTTTCCTTTCTTTCAGTTCTGGGAAATCCAGTTAATTACACAAATGAGTGCAAACGTTATGTGTTGAGTCAGTAGCATGGGGGAAATAGTAATGTGGCTTCCTGCCCTAGTGCTGTGGATCTAGACCAACCTGCCTTCCCGAATTCTCCGCTCTGAATACAGCGCAGCTGTAACTCGGCTGTTTTCTGTGAGAACTCATGTTGCTTGCTCCTGCAGAATGTGAAGGAGCAGATGGCGATGTTACATCTGGAGGAAACAAAAGATATGTCAAAGTTCAGTCTGGGAGCATTCTGGGGTTACAGACTGCCTGGTATTGGCTTAACTTTCCTTGTGGAGGCTTTCCTGTCAATTATGTGGTTCAAGGTTGTTCTTCATCAGGGGTGCAGCAATCCTTGTTTTTCTCTGATGTAAACTCTTTGCTGTATGTTGCTTTATACCCAGGTGAAGAAGTCTGGAGGTGTCTAGGATGTGGGGACAGCATTGCTGCTGGTCAGCGCCTCTACAAGACTGTCAATGAAGCTTGGCACGTTTCCTGTTTCCGGTAGGTAAAACTTTAGCCCATTAAACTCTCCCTGTGGTTCAGCTGGCTCGGGACCTGGTGGGTGCAGCACCAGCATTAACCATGAGTTCCTGCTGTCACCTCTATCACCTGTTCCAAGCCTCTTGCTGAGCGATAGCGTGCTCTTGTTTGCTGCCCTTCAGTGCTTGCAGGAGTGCTCTGGAGCTTTCAGTCCCAGTAAGAGCCTGACACTGCCTGGCAAAGTGCTGCCATGCTGATGCAAACAGGAATACAGATAAAGTCGAGATGAAAGCTCTGATTTACTGGTGGTGGCAGAAGCCATAGGTTGCATATTTGTCTTCAGCTGCATTCCAAAGTAGTGCCCAGGCAATTTGGATAGCCTGTTGCCACTTCCATATGTGGTAGGTACAAGGAAGATATCCCAGTGTTGGGGAAAAGCTTGCTTTGCTTTCTCTCCCTTTCAGACTCTTAACATATAGAAACTTATGAAACCTGTTGGATAACATTGCTTTCAGCAAGGACACAAAGGGATCTCTGAGGTGCTTTTCTTCCTGGTGGTAAGAGGAGTGCCTCTTGTTGGTGTTTTATGAAAACTCAATTCAGTTTTCATGCTCCAGAATCACATTTCTGAAGGGGCCTTTATTATTGAGAGGGGTTGAGTACCTGCAGCTTCTACTGGCTTCTGTGTTGGCCTGAATCTGAAGAGGCTGATGTTTTGGCTACTGTCAAAGGAAATGGGGAAAGAGGGAGCCCAAGTGTGGCTTGGAGGGATGTTTGCTGTGCCAAGATAGACATCTACTGTCCTGGTTTAGAGAACTAAAAATCTCCAACAAAGTACCCCAACTTTGTTGAAGAGTATGGTTATTGGTGTATTAAAGAAAAAAGGCTTGTCGTGCTGCCAAAGCTGTTGCCTTGCAGAATGCTGTTAATTACATGTTGATAATCACAATTACAGCTTTATATCAATACAAACCCCAGTCTCTTGGGTTTCTACTGGTTTGAGTATTCATGTTTAGCTATGTTGAGTCAGCTTGTCTTAATTCTGTTTTTCTCTTATCCCTAAAGAGCTAGTATCCTATTGTTGAGCTTCCCTAGATTGTGTCAGTAGCCAAACCCAAAGCTGTGTATCCTTGTAAGTCTGTCTTGCCTTTGAATGTATTTCTGTTGTAGGTCTTGATTTGCCAATGTCTTGGTGCATCTTGCTTTTGGGGCTGTTGAGGTAAATTACAGCAGACCTGGAGGCAAATCCTTATGACACTTCACAGAGGATTTGCTATCACGGTTTATATCAGATAATGGAAGTTTGGTGGGTTGTTTGCTTGTTTGTTCTTTACAAGTGAAGACACCAGCTCTTCCCCTGAGTTGTGTAATGACTTTGCGTTTCCTGATGGGCTTCTCTTGCGCTCTGTGCTTTTGGCCAGCTCTAGCACCCAGCTACGCTGCCATGCTGAAGGAACAATCGGAGCCTGCAGTGAAGGAAGCTGCCCTTCCCTTTTTCCTAGTTCCAGAGTAGGGCTGTGCATGAAAACAAATATCCAGTTTGCACTCTGTTCTGTTTTCTTCTGTTACCCCTAAACCACGCTGAGCAGCACTCTTGTGCTTGATATCCCAAAGCCAAACTTTAAAAAGCCTTCAAGGGTAGGAGCCTTTGGCAGCTGGGAGCTGTGAGTTCCGGCAGCTCTTGTGGAGTGTTTTTTACAGTCTTCCTGTGGATTAGCTGACTCCCTGGCCTGGCACACATAATTTCTCTAATGCTGGTTGGCACTGCTCCAGGCTTGTTAGCTCTGTTTATTCTTGGTCAGGCTAGGCTGCTGATCATGCTTGGCTCTGGCAGTAGCTGACGTACATGCATGTCCCTGAGGATTTAGATTTTTTTGTCACTTCCCTCCTTCCTCAAGCTGCATGTACAGGAGCTTTGTCTCTGAAACCTGTGAGTTTTCTCTGCTGTGGCTGGAGGGACGAGCAAATCCCTATTCGTGTGTCTTGGATGTTTTAAACTGTTCTTTGGCCAGCTGGTCGTTAGGCTCAAATCCGATGGGTTGGATCTGGCTCAGGAAGTTTCTTAGATGTTTCTGTTGCAATATCTGTTGTGAATTAACTCTGAATGTACTTTTGTGCCTCTGAATTCTGTTGAGACAGCATACACTTTCAAAGGTCGTTACTTTTCACTGATAACACAGTTCCACTGGCTTTGGGACTTACTGCACAGAACTTCAAACACTGCACCAAGAAAGGGAAAGAGAGAAGTGGAGTGGTATCTTTTTCCTAGGTCTGGATCACTTTTACCTAAGGGGATTATTGGAAGAGCTTATTTTCACCTAGAGCATACTGTCCTTACTGCTTTCGGTCCAACTTTTTTCCCTATTACAAAATAGAAGACACTGCCTTGAATTATACCTTTGAATAAACTATTGATACCTGGTATTTTGATGTCTATTTTGCATTTTGTGTTGTTTGATTTGTTTTCTGCTCCTGCCCAAGACAAATGAAATTAAAACCAGTTCCCTCTTTCTGTAGGGATAATCCATATTTGAACTGGAGTAGGATGGTTTGAGAAGACCCAGATACGGTTGCATGGTTTAATCTTAAGGACAGAGTATTTGTTAAAAATCCAGTTTTGATTATTTGAAACCATGCATGCAGATCAAGCCTCTTGAATAGGTCCAGGTGGAAAATGCTTTTGGATCCAGATGAAGGAAATCATTGGAAATGGTGGCAGGAATTCCTACTGTAGCAGGGTGCTTAAAAACTTTTTAGGAAGGAAGAAAGCTAAGGTTCAGTTCCTTCCTAACCATGAAATAGCAAGAGGATGTATATGAGTATGGTCTATAAAATAAATCTGATTGAAGTGGCCAAGTAACACAGGCTTGCTGCAGGAATGTCAAACAAAAGCCAAACCCACTACATCAGAGAGAAACTGCTCACAGTAAATCTCCAACAGAAGTTACTGAAGGTGATAGATTACTGATGATTTCACAGTTGCAGATTTTAAAATATACTCTTATTTTATACCAAAATCAACCAATTAAAAGCTGAAAAATCACCAGGGATTCGAAGAGCAGGAAAGTTCATCTTCCTTTTTCTGGGAGAGGAAAGGAGAGCAGAGAAATTCTGTAAGAATCCAAGGTTTTTCATTAGTAGGTCTAAAGCACTGGAGATGATGGTGACCAAAAGCAATAAATTCAGTTTGGACAAGTATCTCCTTTTTGCTTCATACATTACGTTTTTATGCATATGCAATGCTGCTGGACCTCAGGAAACATGCTCATGGCTTTCTGTATTTTTTAAATTATATTATGAAATAGTTTGATACTAACTTAATAGTCTAAACCACTGTATGACTGAAAATGTAGGCTTTTGATATCTGTCGGTATTAAATATATATATATATAAATATCGATTGAATAACAGAAAAATATAAATATATATTGAATCTTTTTATACTGATGAGGGATTACATTATTATATTTAAGTAATTGTAAGTAGTAAATTGACTTTCCAGAGATGATATTGGCTAAAATGAAAGAAAGTCTTGAAATAGTTAAGAAACTGTTTGCACTTGTAAAGAAACCCCTGAAGTAATAAAACAAAATTGATCATTTAAATCACAATAGAAATTGCTTTATTACCTAGAGTTAAATCAGTCCACCTGACAGATTGCTAAGGGTTCGGGTATTTGCACTCTTTTTGAGTGTATTACTTCATTTCCATTTGTGTTAACCTCTGCTGGAGCTAGAAGCTGAATCACGAGGAGCACTGTAACCACCAGAAGGCTGTTTTCTGTAAATGAATACTTGGAAAACTGGAAGGGCTTTGGCAGAGCGCAGGAGAGCTCCTGGCTCTGTCCCCTGCCAGTATTCTGAAGTGAATTTGAAATAAATCCTCCTTCTGACTGTTTCTCAGGAGTGGAACAAGGTTGAAAGTAGATTCTTCCCAGAATCCCTCGTCTCCCACCCGCTGTGTGCTCTCTGCAGCAGGACAATTGTCTGTGGACAGAAACCAGAACCGGATTAGCTACCCGTGCATCGAGGGGATGCCTCAGCTCCAGGCTACTGAGCAGAAAGAGAACCACTATTAATTTGCCAAGTCTAGTGGTTTGATTGTCTTACAAAGCCGTGATTTTTCTATACTGAATGGCATAGTTTGTGTGCTATAGAAATATCTTTTGCTCAGCAAAACTTAGTGAATCACTTTGATTCTTTTTCCATTTGGGGGGCAGGGGAAGGCAAGAAAGCAAATTTGTAGTAAGAATGTATATAGTTATTGCTGGTTTGGGGGTTGCAGGATAAACTAGATGACTTCTGTGGGTATCTTCTAAATCTATTTTCTGTGGTTCTGACGATATCTACTGAGCTTCAACTTACGTTTGAAGCAAGTAACTTCTATGGCTTAGAATTGATCATTCCTAACAAGCTCCCATCACTGGAGGTTTTTGGTCTCCCAGGCCAAATGGAAAACAAAGCTTTTTTCCCTTCTGTTATTGCAATAACCTATTCCTGTTTGAAAGCAGCAATCTCCCATCAGCCTGTCCTAGACTGAAGAAGCCCTGGACCAAGCTTTTTCTTATAGACTCTATTTTCTAGACCTATTTTCTGGGGGGGGGGGGCTCAAACGTTGATAACTAAAGGTGTGTATTGAGATGAATTTGAAATGTGGGGATGTTTGATGCTTTGAATCTTCTTTTAGCTTTTCAGCTGTGAACAGTCAGGTTTGTACACACAGCAGCTGAATTTGGGGGAGATGGGAGAGGAGATCAGTAACAAAAGTCAGTTTTGCTATAGTAAAAGAAGGAAGACAAGAATCTCCTCTGTCTTCTCCAGTTTCTGGCAGTTACAGAAAGCTAATGATAGGGCCTCAAAGGTGAGAACCCTCCTCCACTAATCCTACAGACTCCTGGGAATGTCTCTTTGATGGTGTCTCCATCAGCATTGAAATTCAGCAGCTCACTATCAGATTTAAGGAGAAATAGTTGCCAACTGCCTGTTTGTACACAAATCACCCTGTCTGTTCAAGAGCCTAAAAATCCAAAGGAACAATGAAGCATTTTGCAGGTGAAAGCAGCCACATTCCTCAGGGCAGTATATCAGCCACAGGACACCAATGAGGAGCCTTTATATTTAAGGAGGAGTTGGACATTCCAGTCTGGGCTTTTTTTAGTTGACTTGTGCAGCTTGTCCTTTAGGGCACTGTTATCAGAGCATTATTATGTCAAGGTAACTGGAATTACTCACACAGCCCAGTATGTGGTAGGCTTTCCACATGAGTGAGACAGGATCCTTCCCTGAGGAGTTCCGCGGTCTGCACAGACAAAAGTAGCAGTGCATTACCAGATCAGAAGTCACTATTCCAAAACCATATATAACCTATGAAGTTTAGGTTGAATTTCTTTGCTTTGCTTCTCAGCCTACACACATTCAGGAGGTCTGCAGCCATTAGGCAAGTATGGTGGAGATTAAAATTCTGTCTCCATCCTAACGTTGTGCTTGGTGATGTTGGGTACCCAGAAGTTATCACTGTGTGGGTATGAAGTTCTGCTGCTGCTTATAAGTAAGATGCATCAATGAAGATGAGCTTCACTTCACTGTTCATTTTGATTTACTCGAGCTGTGTGCAGGAGCTTTCACTCGGAGCTATGTGCATATCAAACAGTATTAGTTTCAAAGCTCAAGTGAGGGGCTGACTTTCAACAGCAGCAAAGCACGTGTTATGTATAAGTGCCTTGGAAGTACAATGAGGTGTTGGGATTGTACTAAAGTATTTGGAACGCTTCCAGACTGCACCCATGCTGAAACAAAGACTTGCTGCAGACTTCAGGCCTCTTCCCCAGCTTATACCAGTCCCACACATACCTAAGTGCCTGTCTGTGCCAGGATAAATTTGTCTATCTTAGGGCTGGTAGATATGCTGAGCAATACATCTGTCTGTAGACATGCCTGAACCGTGTGGTAAAGAGGGTGTCTGGATGTGCAGCCTAACCCCAGCTGGTTTAAGAGGTTAATCACTGGAATATCACAATAGCTGTGGTGCATTTCTGTGGGGATAAAACTAACGGCTGCGACTTGGTTTGCAATAAATTTCACATTAAGTCATTGTCGAGGTTTTTCATTTGCTGGTTTTTATTTGCTAGGTACATTTTTCAGGCTTCTTACTGGCAAAAAGAATACTGTCCAGATCTAAACCATAGCAAGGAAACATCGCAACTCCGCTGTGATGGCTGCATGTTTGTAGTGGAAATGCTGTCAGCATTTGCAAGAGAGAAGATGCTGGTATCTGACTTTAGATGGTGTTAAATTTGCTGCAGTGCATTTTGGCCCCTGGAGATGGTATCAGTAAAATTACATAGAAGAGGTTCCCCCCCACGCACCTGTTTATCAGCATCTCTGAAGTACAGTCATTCTGGCAGGAATTCAGATCTAGGATGTATGAACACATTAACAGCTTTTCCAGAGCACTATTATCAGAGCTATTGTGTTCTCACACAATAAAGAGACAGAAAAAAAGGCAAGAGGTAACAAGAGAATTCAGTATAGGAAAAGGTAACTTACTGGGGCCTGCTGCAAAAGTAGAATCATTTTGATGTTTCCTGTTTAAATAGGCATTTGACTGTGTGTCCTTTGGCTTTAAGGAAGTCTCAGACAAAATCCCTTCCCAGTTGCTTAGCTGTCTGGGTGGTTTTTATTACTTTGAAGTCGGGCTTTATCTGCTGGCTTCATTCACAGACTAGCTGGCTGCTTATCACATCTGCGGATCAGCTCTTCAAAGGTTTCGTCTGCAGAGTTGGGATTTATGGGGTCACGTGGAATCCCCCTTGGAGGGAGTTCAGCCCATGGCAGCAGAATTGCGGGGAAGAGCCTTTGTCTGTAGGTGATAGCGGGCAGGGGAGGGGCTCTGCGATGCACGGGCGGTACGTGTGTGCTGTGCGGTGGTGCTGATAGCCAGGGCAGTGCTGGAGTGTGAGCGCTGGCGCGTTTTCAGCACGCAACATATAGAGAATGTGGGAGACCAGAGCGCATTCCTAGACACAGACTCACCGTGTTGCTGCTTCCAGTAGAGCTGTGTGAAATGTCAGAAGGAATTAGACCCGTGCTGGAACTGACAACCACATCGGGCTCTGCAGCACTAGGCTTCACTGCACGTTTACAGCCAAGGCCCAGAAACGGCACAGAATGGGTGGAAACGATGGTGGTTTGTTTGGGGTTTTGTTTTGGATGTGGTGTGGGGGTCTTGTTTTGTTTTCCAGAAAGGTGACTGCCTATGAAATGTCAAAAACCAAGGCAAAGCAACCCGAAAGGCTGCCTGGCTTTCTGCTTACTTCACCAGAGAGCAGCAGCTGTCAAATCTGGGGCCAAGACTGCCTCGTTGCAGCCCCAAGAGTCCCTTGAACAATACGCCAGCTGAACAAGCATCTCCAGTAAAAGCACATTGGAGTATTCTTGCCTCTGGAACACAGCATTACTTTCAGGCTGTGTTCAGGCATGCCAGGCTTTGCTGACTGTACAGAAATGGGAGGGCTCAGTGTAGCAACGTATGTTTGTTGCAGTTCTGAGTGTCTTGCAAACAGCTTTAGCTGTTAAGAGATCATGCTTGGCTTCAGAGCAAGCAAAATGTTAAAACTACATGTGCTGTGAGCAGGAGAGAGGTCTCGTCTGTGCTGATTTACTCTCAGCTTCCATTCAGGAGATTTAAGATTAGGTTAAATGACTGCAATGATCTCTGTTAGAAGAGTGCTGGAAAGAAAGTGATTTTTCTTTGGATGAAGCACACTGAGAGTGTGCTGCATGAGGATGAACATATTGTAGGTACTGTGAAGGCAGTCTAAGCCCAGTCACTGTGGGGGATTTAGGAAGGTATGTAGTGGTTGGAGGTGCGGCTAGTTGTCTGTCAGACTGCCTTCCTTGGCATTCCCCATCAGAATGTGCCCTGCTGCAAAGAGCAGTTTCCCGTTTATGCACTTGGCTCTTCCTTTGGCAAAAGCTGCTATCTTTCAGCACTTAACTAACACAGCCCGTCTTTGGATCAAAGCTCCACCCCTGGTATAGAAGTAGAGCTTATTCGGGCTCTGTAGCCACAGGCTGTGCTCCTGCCATGGCTCCTCCTCCCCTCCCACCCTTGGGTGGAACCAGAGAAGGGAAAACTTGACAATAGTTAGCAGGCAGCAGAGCTTGCAAGAACTATCCCAGAAGCATGTCCAACTAGCCCGGTCAGCCGCTATTGTATCCTTCCCAAGGGTGCTGCTGCCACTGGGTGCAGGAGAAGATGGTTATAGGCATGAGAGCCAGGAAGAGTCTGAAAAGGAATGAGCAGCCGAGAGACCTGGCATTCCTTGGGCAGCTTCAGAGAGAGGTGAAGTATCTGAATCAGCGCAAGATTAAATGAGCACAGGCTGCTGCCATGTTGGCAGAACAGAGCTGTTCAGAGGCAGTTGGACAAGTTTGTGGCTGAGCCGGTTTATCCAGTGTTGAAGATGGGAAGTTACTTGTCTGCCCCAGCTTACTTCGCTCCCAAGGATCCCTTTCGGTAAGTCTTGTGCAGGATTAGCAATCAACCTTCCAAGTGTTGCTTTACCCCCTGTAATGCTACCCTACCCTATCCTAAGCAGTCAGCACGTGAGGTGTGAAGAATGTGGGCCAGTGCTTGTGTGCAGGGAACAGCCGGCCTCAAACTGGAATCCTGTCTTGCTTGGAGGAGGCAATGGGAAAGATCCTTACTACCAGCCTCTGCAGCTCCCTGGTACAAGGGTATGGCACCTGTGTTGTGAGACGGTGTCTGTGCAGCCCAGCAAGCAGGCTCCCTTGCAGAGCAACACTACATGTGCCGCTTTACCCTGTGCCCCTGTGCTTTGCTCTGCCACCAGAGGAATGAGATTACTATGGCTGCTGCTGCGTACGTCTCTTCCAAAGCTACTTGTGCTTGGGTATCGTACAGGGTGAGGCGAGTTGCTGCTGTTGGAAGTTCGAGGTGATGTAATCTGCTGTGGGGCAGTGCATAATCTTTTTGAGAAAAGAAATAAGTACTTTGCACATAACTAGGGACAAGCAGCACACTTCCCTTATGTGGAAAAGATTCTTTTCCTGTGGTACTCTAGTTGTATTAACCAACCATGCTTGGTCCAGTTGAACAAATGAGGCTTGAGAAAGGTGACAGCTACAGAATAAGGCTTTGATTGCATTACATAGTGAAAACTGTTAGTAGGGCTGAGCTCAGTACCGTGACTGATGCTGATGTGCTGATAAGGTGAATGGATGGGGAAGGGCACAGCTTGCAGTTTCATTGTCTCCCTCCTATCCCCTCTGCTCCGATTTGCTCATTATTGATCCTGTTCCTGCAAACACTTTTGTACTGCTTTGGGAGTAAGGAACCTTTTGTTAAAACAGTCTAGTACAGGAGTAAATACCACTGTGCAATTACTAAGCTTCTTTAGGAGACTTTCTGAAACAGCATCAGCTTTCTGAAGAAGGAAAGTAAGAAGACTGCTGTTACTTATGTGTAGGGCATTACTGTAGGCCATAGGTACACCTTCTCCTAAGTGTCTCAAAATGGTTTTGCATTGCCAGAGTTTCAACACTCTGTCTTCTAGTACTGAATCTGTTTTCTAGCATCCATTCTTCCTTGTTTAGCATCTCTTGTGTAGCCAGCACACACACCTCTGCTAAACCTTTGGGTTAGCTACAAGCTGGGGTTACGTGTTACTCTGCAGCTTTCTGTCTGTGTGACTGTCCTCTCCCCTGCTCTGCTGCAGAATTGGCACCACAGCTCTTCTGAGCCTGTCTAGCGTTAACTGATCCAGCCTGACAGTATGTGTGAGGGCTGCATTTTGTTAATGAGCCCTTCTCAAAGGGATCTGTCTCTTCAGTGCCAGGGATGTCTTTGCTTCCATGAGGGTATTAGCTTTCATTTTAGATGTAAAAGAGATGCCACATCAATTGACTCTCCCATCTCACTGAAAACCAGGCTGGATACCTGTGTGACCTGATCCTCCTACCACCCCCCCCCCCCCCCAAAAACAAGAGGCCATCAAGGAGCTATTTGTGAACTCTTTCTGCACCTGCTGTGCTACAGAGCATCAGGGCTGAACACTGCACTCGGTGCTGTCTGGGATTCCTGGAGGATGGCTGTGGGATGCAGATTAACTTAATCTTTATAGCCACGGCTGGGAAGTGAAGAATCATAATGTATGGGACTGTATAATCAGAGCAGGGCTCTGCAGCTCTGGAAGTGGTGGCTGGACAGCAAGAGGGAACGCCTCAGGTATGGCTGTTACCAGTCTTCCAAGAAACATCATTACCCTGCTTTGTTACTCTGTAATAACAAATTATCTAGGAGAAGATAGTGATTTCTAATAAAAGACAGAGGAGCAAGAAATCTTCCTCTTCCTTTCCTTTGGTTGTGGTGACTGGCAAAGATTTGGTGTTTAATACCTGTGGAAGTAATTGTATTTCTGTCTCAGCTGATGCGAGCCCTGGCAATGGCAGTGCTGCAGTGCCACACACTCTGATTGAGGAGGCAAAGGAAGCAGTGATAACTCTTAGGACATATCTCTTCATGAGAGTCATGTGGAACAGTCATGTGGTACCTTTATCATTTCGGTGAAGGCACTGAAATAGTTGAAACAGGTCTTGAAGCTGTACCTGTGTGCTGTCAGCCAGTTCTCCACACCTGGCAAATCTAAAGCCTCTTCTCCATTGCAGAATGCATGGCCAGTAACAACAGAAGGTGCTGCTTGGCAATAGGGGCCATGGCCATGTCCTCTTGCTGCAGTCATTAATGAAGCAGCCACTTAGCTCCATTACCAGCATCTGCCCTCTCTGGGCTGGTTGCTTTGTTCCTATTGCCTCATTGCCCTGGGTGGGGTTCTGAGCCTTAAGCTGTAAACTTGTCCTGCCCAGATTTGTTTAATTGCATAGCAAAGAACTGACTGCTTGCTGGCTCCACCCCTTTACCTTCATTTTGCTATGGGTGTGTTGCAAATTAGATACCAGTGCTTATTTCTGGATGGAAGCAAACTAATCAAAGTGCTGTAAGGTTGGAATCAAACCATGAAGAAGTAGGGGAAAGGTAAAGAGAAGACCAACTGTATGTGACCCTCTGGAACCCATCTAAGCAGAGCTGCAGGTCTGTTGCTTTTGCAGTGATTTTAGATTTTTCTTAGGGAGAAAAAAGGAGCTGTTGAAGGTGAAATTGAAGAGGGGTGAGGAAGGGAGGGTGTTGTGCTTAAAACCAGCTAAATAAATAACCCACCTGCTTGGAGAGAACTTGGACAGGCAGCGAAGTCTTGTGGTCTTGGTGGAGCAGTCTCCAGTGTTGCTGTCTGCATCCCAAGTGCAGGTCTGGTCACAGCTCCCTGTTTGAAGATGTAATCACCCTCGAAGCACGCACTGGTACAGGCATGCACGCAGGAGTCGGATAAGTCTGAGGGATCCGATTTGTCCATGCTGAGCCAGATGTTCCTGCCACAAGGTGATAGAAATCTTTGCTGTTAGTCTCCACTTGCTCTTTTCTCCCTCCCACTCACCTACTTGATCACTCAGCGTGGGGTATTTACTGCAAATGAAAGCCAAAGGCTAGTGGGTGAAGGCAAAACGCTTTGCAATGCCTTCTAGGTCTCTTGCATACCATGAGCAGGGTGTAACTATGACAGTGCCCCAAGGCTGAGGCTGTAATGATGCTTGTACCATGTATAGTATAGCAGTGTCAAGTTAGTGCTCCCCCTGCCTCAGACAAAATTGGCAGGGCCTGTTGCACATGCTGGAGTTCCTTCCCATCACTGAAGAAAGGGGGGCTGAGGGGGAACAGGATTTGGAGTTCCTCAGCTGGGAGAATAAACACTGTCAGAGCCAAATCCATTAGAAGGAACAACTTTCCTGAGGGTAGGGAACAGCACTAAATACCTCATGAGGTATGTTTTTCCCTAAAACCATAGGCTGATTACAAGCAGCTTCACCTTGTTGCTTTACAGTCTCTTGAGATGGAGCAAATAACTCTCTCCATGTTGGAGCACGACCAGCTTCACAGATCACACTCATTACAAGCTGGTGGAGTTTCCAAGGAATGTCTCTGGCACAAATAAGCTTTCAGGCAGCTTGTGAAAGATGAAGTCTACAACATGGTAGACCTGGCAGCATGTAGAATGTGCACCTTCTCTGCCACTAGCTGACCTCAGTGCATTTGGTGCTTTCTAGGGGGGCACACACACACTGAAACCCCCACTGTGGTCGTAGGGGTCCCCCTCCAATACAGTACCTGAGACAGCTGTTGGGGTAAGGGACAGAGGAAGCTCTTCCTTCCTCCTTTGGGAAAGCATCTTGCTGACTGCAACGATCCTTGAGGTGTTCCTTTGAACCAGTTATTGGTGACTCACCCGCCTTGGATTCTGTACTCAGAAATTGAGATACCAGGTTAGTAATACCAGATACCAGATTACTAATATCGGATACCAACACCAGATTAATTTCCCTTTTAAAGTGTGAGAACATGCTGCCCAGGGCTAATGGAATACTCTTTAGTGATGCAACTGCTGTCTGTGCCTTATCTCTCCATTAAGTCACACCTTCACACTGCAGATGTTAAACTCCCTTGCCTGGTGCTGAGGCAGGATTATTCAGGAAGCCTGAAGATCTGGGTTCTGCTTGTGATTTGATAAAACAACGTCTGTAGTAGAATTGCTGCACCTTTTTCCTTGTTTTTTTTTGGGAAGGAAGGGAGGGTAGATAGAGGATTAATAATGGCTGCTTGTTGAACAGGAGCTACCACTGGTATCAGAAGGATTTTGAGACTCCCTTCATGAAATTAGACAACTAGTTTTGTTTTGGGGTTTGTGGTTGTTTTGGTTGGTTGGTTATGTTTGGTTTTGTCTCATGTACTGTCATCAGCAGAAGGAAAGGGAAAGCAATTGGTGGGGAGAGGTGGAAGACTTTCATCACTGTTAATTGGCGAATGCAGTAAGTATGTGGAGTTCAAAGGATGAACTGCTTTGAAAACTCTCCTTCAAATGGACAGTGCTGCAGTTTACCTTCTGGGAGAGGCCTACCTACAGAAGAATAGAAAAGCTTTCCACAAAGCAAAACTGGCTTTGCTTTGCATAGGAAAGTGGGTCCTGCCTCTGTCCTGCTTCCTAAACTGGCTGAGGAGATAGATGCTCTGGCACAAGAACAGCGTGATGCTATAGAAACACAGCAGAACCCTGTGTGCAGGGCAGCCCTGCAGCTGGAAGCTTGCTTCCAGGAAGAGGGAGAAAGCACAGGAGCAGAATCTGTCATGCAGAATTTATAAACTTACTGGTGCATTTTAATAAATGATGGGATTTGCTTTAAACTTTGGAAGCTTGTCTTTTCCTTTGCATTGGGTGATACCACCTCTCCTTACAAACCTTGTGTCTAGTTCAGTTGAAAAGGCTTTGGGAAATGGAGGGGTTCAGCACATCCATAACTGGAAGAGCTGATGGTGAGCTGCTGCTGAATGTTCTCTGCGTGCAGGAGAGGCCCGTTTTCATTGGTTAGTGACTTGTTGCCAACTGGAACTTTGTTCCTTTGTTTCCTTCAAGGTGCTCTGAATGTCAGGATCCCCTCACTAACTGGTACTATGAGAAAGATGGGAAGCTGTACTGTCACAAAGACTACTGGGGGAAGTTTGGGGAATTCTGCCATGGCTGCTCTCTGCTGATGACTGGACCTGTGATGGTAAGGACTCGGAAGGACTCTTGCCTGGAGGCAGGATATGCCTGCCTCCAGCTCCTCCAGCTTGTCTGGGAGTTGCCATAGCTGTTGAGATAACCAAATAAACTGAAGGTAATAGTCTCCTTACTATGCTAATCTCTAATCAGGGATTAGAAATGAGGCTTGTGTGTGCACCTTCTAGAGAAATATTACTTTTGAACAGGGGTAGCTCTTACAGGAGGGGGTTATGAGGATCTGAAGCATCAAAGACAGTAAGGTGCTGAAATGCACAAGCATGAGAAGTAGGAAGGTGATTAAGGGGACATCAGTTTCTTTAGCACAGTGGTTCAGTGTTTCCAGGGGTGATTTTCCACTGCACTGCAGAGTCAAATCTCTCAGCCCAGCATAAGCAGCAGGTTCTGGCTTTGGGGAAGGTTGCCATCCACATCCCACCTATACTGTGGCCAGAGTGGGTTTCTTGAAGTGTCTTGAAATAGTGCTAGCCCCAGTTGCGTTGAAGCATTGAACTCTGCCTGCACGATATGGAGCTCACTTAAATGTTCCCCTCCTTGCAAATAATTAACCTTTAAAACTGTCAATGAAATACAGCCATCATTTTTCTGAGGCCTAAATAAAAGCAGCATGGTACTCAGTAGTGATTGCTACCTCAAAGGGGAGTACTGAGAAAAGCACAGATGATTTCTCATTACCTGCAGAAGTCTTTGCAAAATACTGTCAATAAGAGAAGTTCTCATAAGGAACAGAGAAAAACAGATCAATGAATAAAAATACTCTTTAAAGGTATTTTGTTGTCTCAGTCTCAACTCGCCTGTTTTTCCCTGTCAGCTGGCTGGTAAAGTATCTGAATTTGTGCTCTGCCTGTCTGCCAAGAGAAAAAAAGCCCTTTCAGCCCTATGAATTCAGGCATAACGTTAGTTATCTTGCCAAGAGCAACTGAACAGGAAGGTTTAATAGGTTTAATAGCTTGTTTACTAGTCTGCAGCAGACTGTCAACTGGGGTTGATAGTTGCGCAGCTGCCAAATATAGCAGAGGTTCCTGACATAAGCTTTACTTTGCACGCTGACGTGTTTGTTTCAGGGAAGATTTGCAAACAGGGTGCCAAGGATGGTGTTCAGGAAAGGTGGAGTGGAGTAATATAATTCTGCAGTAAAAAGATGCCACTTGATTGGAGATCTGTATGAACATATTCAGGAGAGGAAAGCCATAGCTGCATCTGCTGATGGGTTTTGGCCCTGCTAAGCTACTCCCTTTTCTGTCTGTAGGTGGCTGGCGAATACAAGTATCACCCGGAGTGCTTTGCTTGTATGAGCTGCAAAGTGATCATTGAAGATGGGGACACTTACGCACTCGTGCAACATTCCAGTCTCTACTGGTAAGACGGGCTGCACGCTTTGCCACAGAGCTGCTCCCTGCTGGGAGTGTAAGCCATGTTTAGCTGGCTCAGTGTGGGCCAGCTCAATGCTACACTAAGGAATGCCAGGAAGCTGCCTTTTGGGGGAGGGAGGAATGGTGTATGCACTAAAAGCTAAAACTTATGTCAATGAAAGAAGTTACAAGTGCGAGTTGGGCAGGGGGGATAGGGCACTGCTATAATGACTTTCTTCACTTCTTTTAGTGGAAAATGCCATAACCAGATTGTGCTGACACCGATGATAGAAAAACACTCTACTGAGTCTTTGCGTGAGCAGCTGCCTTATACATTGACCCTCATCTCCATGCCAGCAGCTACCGATGGCAAGAGGGGGTTCTCTGTGTCTGTTGAAGGTGGCTGCTCCAGCTATGCCACTGGTGTCCAGGTGAAAGAGTGAGTATGACCATGCTGTGTGTAATGGACATGTCTGTGCTGAGGGAGCTGGTAATTCTGCAGCACTGCTGTCCTGCCGGCTGCTTTAACCGTGGAGGGGACCTGTCTCAGCCCAACAGGGACATATGTTTGTGTTTGGTCTCCATTTCACTCTTGTGATGTCCTTAAGTGATAACTTTATTTCTCAGAGCTGTATTCTTCACCAAACACAAAACATTCGGAGAATTGTTTTGGACTAACAATTTTTGTCATTGGGCAAATGAAGAGCAGCTCAGACCTACGCGCTTGGTCTAACAGTAGTTCCCTGTGTTGGTAGATTGGCATGGTTTTATTTCAAAACACCGATATGAAGGGAGCATCAGAGATCAAATGTTTTTTATCATTTTGGCTAAAGTGACTTCATACCCACGCTGTAATTCCCATGTTTAGAGTGAACAGGATGCACATCAGCCCAGATGTCCGGAACGCCATCCACCCTGCAGATCGTATCCTGGAGATTAATGGAGCTCCTATTCGTACATTACAGGTGGAGGAGGTGGGTAGAGTTCTGTTCTGAAGCCTCCTTCTCTTCTGCCTTCCTACAGCTTTTCTGTTTCTTGGCACTGTTCTCCCACCCTATATACAGTGTGTGTACACCCATAGTACTCATGCTGGAAGTAGGAATAAGCATGAAGACAAGCTTTGCTACCCCTTGCAGCTGAAGAGGAAAATGTACAGCTGGAAACACGATGCAGTTCTGATTTTGTGGCATTCAAACAAGAAGGGAGGTAATAAAAGTGTAGGGCTGTGACATCTCAGAGGACAGAGAGGCTGTGAAGCGTCTTCATATATAGCTAGTGAAGTCCACTGTTCTGATCATTTCAGAGGCAGCTGCTAATAGACAAAGCCTCAGCTGATCCTAGAGATGAGTTTCTCATTGCAAAAAAGGTATTTGATGTCTGTATTTACAAGTAAAAGTATTTGATGTCTGTATTTATGCAGATAACAGGTGATGCTGAAAGAGTGCAGTGAGAGTACCGTTGCCTTCACTATGCATGGGGTTTATTTACTGTCGGTGCTGAAGAGGAGCACAGTAGACACCTCTCAGACAAATCTCCATGTAGCTTTCGCAAAGCAGGTTTCTGCAGCCTGTTCAGGATGGAAGCTTGCATCGTTTAGCAACGCTTCTGAGATGGGTTGGAAAAAAACTGTTCTGTAGAACCACAGAACACCAGGTTGGAAGGGACCTGCAGGATCAACTGCTCCAGCCTTTCTTGGCAAACGTGTGGTCTAGACAAGACGGCCCAGCACCCTGTCCAGCCGAATCTGGAAAGTGTTCAGTGCTGGGGAATCCACCATTTCCCTGGGGAGATTATCCTAATGGCTTATTGTTCTTAATTGTCCTCTTGAGTTCAATCTGAATCTCCCGGGAGTAACTTGTACTCATTACCCCTCATCTTTTCCTTGTAATTCCTTGTAAAAAAGGGAGTCTCCATCTTGTAGCCACCTTTTAAATACTGGAACATGGTCATCAGCTCTCCCATAAGCCACCTTCTCTCCAGGCTGAAGAACCCCCCCTCTCTCAGCCTTTCCTCATATAGCAGGATGCCCAGTCCTTGGATCATCTTTGTGACCCTTTTCTGGACCTTCTCTACCCTGTCCACACCTTTTCTGTACAGGTCATTTGTAGTGACCAGAAAGGAGAGGATCTGAACAGCGTAACAACTTCTGTATTACTACCCTGATCTGCCTGCATGCAACTAAACCACAACTGTGGAGTGCTGTCACTGAACTCTCTACTCTGATTGCTGAGGGGCGTTCTGCTGCATCTCCTCTGTCGCCTGTCATTGTGTTCCTCCTGTGTGCTATCATCCTGTGCTTTGGCTTGATTTCAGGTGGAGGAGCTGATCCGCAAGACAAGCCAGACGCTTCAGCTGCTGATAGAGCACGACCCTGTCTCGCAGCGCTTGGACAGGCTTCGTCTGGACTCCCGTCTTCCCACACACATGAAGGCGCCCATTTCCCCACGCTCCCTCTCGCCACTGGACATCAAGGAGAACCTGGAAGGAACGCTCCGACGGCGCTCCCTCAGGTGAAGACCTGGAAGTGCTGCCTCTGACCTTGCTTGTCTTTGCCCTCTGCTCCCTGGCTGGGTTGCTCTGTGCCTTAGGATTGCACATCCCTGCGGAGACATGACTCATCTCTGATATGAGCCTTGGTATAAACCACTGGTGAAGCAGTGGAGAGCTTCAGATTGAGCTATTGACGTGTACTCTCTCCATTACCTTTCGGATGGCAAACTTTCTTTAATAAAAAATATGGAGCTCAACATTTAACATAGAAAAGCTGTTAAGTTTTGCAGTTAGCAAATGGAAAAATCTGATTTTTACCAGCCTTAAATGGCTGAGGAAGAATGTGTCCTTAAAGGGGATATGGCTGAGACGTGGGAGTTGGGGAAAACCTCGTCTTCCTAGTCTGGGGCACTGAGTTGCTCACGTAGTCATTTACCAGTATTTTAATCTTTGTTTAGAGATAGCAAGTGCTGTGTCTTCACAGCTTCCTCCTCCGCCTGTTCACAGAGCTCCACCTCTGACAGTCCAGGAGATGTGCTGCTGTTAGGCAGTTCTGACCTAGAAGCTGCTGTAGGTTTGTAAAGAGCTTCCATGGTTCTGAGAGAGCATCTGGCTTTTGAGGTACAAAGAGCACTGAAACACATCTAGAAATGACCTTTAGGAGCTAATGATGGGATATGTTGGACAAAAAGTTTCCTAGCAGCTTCCCTGATCTTTCTGTCTCCTTTGTTTTCTAGGCGAAGTAACAGCATTTCTAAGTCTCCTGGTCCCAGTTCTCCAAAGGAACCGCTCCTCCTGAGCCGTGACATCAGTCGTTCGGAATCCCTGCGATCCTCTTCTAGCTGCTCCCAGCAAATCTTCCGGCCCTGTGACCTGATTCATGGCGAAGTACTAGGAAAAGGATTTTTTGGACAAGCAATCAAGGTGAGGGAGGTCCCCAGGCATTCATCATTTACTTTGATTACAGCAGTATCTGCCTATCTCAGGATCCTTTACCACTGTCTCAGTGGCCTTTGTCTTGCTGATAGTGACTGGTGATGGAACTCACCTGGTTTGCTCAGTGAGATCCATTTCTCTTTCATTCCCTGACCGTGAGTGTCTCTGGCTGCAGGCAATCTTGAATTCCCCTTTGAATGCCAACCTTGGGCATACATACTGATCTCCTGACTCAGATTTACAACTGCAGAGTGCCTGTGTCACAGCACTCACCTGGGTAATGTGGCAGAATGGGGAGCAAGCTACACTTTCTCTTACAAGCATCTTTCCTATGAAGAGGTGCATTCAACTTCCCAGTACAGCATTTCTCACCCCCCCTTGGTGTGCCATGCTGGATGATTCGCCAGGCTGATGTAGTGACCACCTCTGAACCCCCAGCAGAGCCTAAATAACTTGTCAGTGTGCTGTTAGTGGTCAGGCCTTGCATGATTCTCACGGTTAAAAATCTCCATTAATAGCAGTTCTCTTGTATTTAAGCCCCAGTCTTGACTGAGGGTGCTTCAGCAGCTATTCACCATGGTGTGGGACTTCTCTCCTTACACCTGTATAAAGTTCGGGTGTCCAGCCACCATATTCATCTCATGCTTCCATGGGAGGTGGTGAGCCAGTACTACAGACCCAATGCTTTTGATCTATACTAATGAGCATTTCTCTTCTCCTCTGCTCATAGAGAAATAACAGGCCCAGGTAAGCAGAACCTTTCCTCTGTCGCATGCTTTTGTCATCTGTGTCCCCACAGTTAATGGCACAAAGACTTTTGTTTTTCTGCTCAAGTTACCCAATAGCCATCCTGTTCTGGTGCATGCTCTGGGAGTTAAAATTGCCCTCTTGGAGGTTCATGATGACACTTGTTTCAGTTTTGCTGGTATGTCAGCTTAAGAATTCCACATAGCCTTGTCTTGTCTTTGTCTCTTCACTTATCTTTATATTTGGGTATTAGATGTCCCTGGCTTTCATGTCCCTGGCTGAAATGTGTAGTGTTCCCTGGCTCGCTACTTGTTTATGGGTGCTTGATTTCAGGCGGGAGCAGAATATTGTACTCTTGCTTTTCTTGTGTTATTCCATGCGTTTGTATTCCACCTGTATCAGCCATGTTATGTCCCGTGGTTCTAAACAGAACTAGTGTGCCACAGTGTTTGCAAGAGCTTATAAACTTCCTCAGTACTGTAACTGGGTCTTGTGTTCTGGATTGCAGTTCTAGAGGTTTTCTGAAAGGCTTTTCATTTTAAGGGGTATGAGGCTTTTCTTGAGCTTCAGATTGACTGCTTCTGGTGCAACAAGTCCTGTATCTGGTCACAATAGTTCCCTTCTGTTCTTAGACAGAAGGTGGCAGTTTAGTTAGGTGCAGATCTTAGGGAGACAAAGCTGTCCAAGTTAAGCAAATGAAGGGGAGAGGATTTCCAGGACAACCTGTCTGTCAGAATTTGGACCCTTTCTGCTCACTCATGCACCTGGTGCAAGCAAGGCAGAGCAAGTTAAAAGAAACCTCTGGAATACAGCAAAATGCCAGGAACTAGTTGGATACAGGCAAACAGCTCTTGAGGAACTGCAAAGGCTTTCCATGTCCAGAGACAGAAAATGTATCACCTGATGTCCATAGTGGGTTTCTGTGTGTTTGAAACAATTCTAGGACATTCCCTGCAGGCAGCAATACACTGCTCCCTAGGAGCATGGTAAAATAACCTCTTTCTGCCTTAACTGAATAGCCTGTATATCCCAGTTCTGCTTGCACATAAGTAACTTCTTTAAGCTCATCAGAAACCATCAGGCTTCAGAGTCCCCATAAAACCGAAGCATGTAGTAATGTAGATTTGGGTTGTTTGGTTTGGTTTCTGATGCAAGTGAATGTGTGTTCCTTTGCTGATTCAGAATGTAGTTGTTAGGGTCTGGGTACAAAATGTGAGCATCATGCTGGGCAAATACTTTCTGGAATGGAACTTAAGGCATGCACAAGTATAGAACTGATGCCTTCAGAGGCTTTGACAGCCTGTATTCATGTTCAGCCCTGTGCTACCTAATGTGGAGACTTCAGCTCTGGTTCTTGGGATGTTGTTGTCTCCTGGCATGATCCTTTGTCAGTGTTAGGTAGTTTCTGTTTTACATACAGGATCTTTGCTGAATTCTGCAAGAAGATATTTTATGCTCTTTTCTGCAGATCCCCAGGCTCAGAATTTTCTCCCATCTATTTTCTGCTCTGTATGGAAGGGAATGCTACCCTCTCTTTCAGAAGAGTTGCAAGAGCATTGGAGCTATGTATTCTTGAGCCCTGCCTGTAGCTGTGGTTTCTGTTTCCACCAGGTGACTCACAAAGCAACAGGAAAGGTGATGGTGATGAAGGAGCTGATCCGCTGTGATGAGGAAACACAGAAGACTTTCTTGACAGAGGTAGGAGTAAGATTGCAGTGTGTGGAACTCTCTTCCATCTTACCCATAGAGTGATCGTGCCAGCATCCTGGCAGGAATCAAGGCACTGAGGAGGGAGACAGCACACAAGGAAAAGCTGACATGAGCTGAATGTTTGCTGCAACAAAGTGTGACTCACACTGAACACTAGACATGGCTTCAGTTCCCAGTTCATTAATTTTTCAGTGATAAAAATCAGCCTGAGGCAAGTGGAGCTGTGCACTACATAAAGGATTTATCTTTGAGCCTTGTGCATAAATACAAATGATGAGGGCCAGTATCTGTAAGATATTTAAGACTCCTGCTGTATATAAACTATTTTCTTGTTGACTGTCTACCATGCTTTTTAAAGTCAGATTTAGCTTAAAGGCAGCTCCCTAAACACCTAATGCTGCTATTCCAGCCCTGACACATACTGCACAGACCAGTTAGCTGCCCTGGAGAGCTCCTGCCTCTTAAAAGTTTGCCAAACTCAAGAGTGCTCTCCTTAAAGACTAAGATCACGTTAATTGCACAGCATGAAAATGAAGAGGCAACATTTAGTTGATTGCTTAAAGTTAGGGTTTGAGTGTACTCTGTGATCCCCAGGGGGGACCTCTAGCATTGTCAGCACAGAGCAGATCTGCCAGGACTTGTTTCATTATCTTCTTTGGGGTGGGATGTCTCTGCTTCCCAGGTGAAAGTCATGCGCAGCCTGGATCACCCCAATGTGCTGAAGTTCATTGGTGTACTGTACAAGGACAAGAAACTGAATCTCCTCACTGAGTACATCGAGGGAGGCACCCTGAAAGACTTCCTTCGTAATGCGGTGAGTATGGAAGCCTGGTAGACCTCTGCTCAATGAGGCTGACTGTGGTGTTGGTTGTACCAGCCTTATGGTACTTTGTTAGTCTTCTCCTATGGAGCTGTGTGGAAAAACTTCTTCACACCTGTGGGTAGCCCGAGGCAGAAATCGCTTTCTTCCTGGGGCTGTATCATCTTTCTGTGACTGCTGCAAGAGTCCCTGTTGCAGAAGAATTGCTGTCACTAACTGGCTGGGAAGACAGGCTCTGACCATTGAGGATTTGTCTTTCAGGACCCGTTTCCCTGGGAGCAGAAGGTCAGCTTTGCCAAAGGAATTGCCTCTGGAATGGTGAGTTGGACTGCTCCTTTATCAGAGAGTGACCTTCCAGGGTCAGGGTTAGGTACGTCAGTAGGGTGATGTATGAGGGGGTTTGGATGCTGTCTGGCTACTAGTATCTGACTGTTGAGGCCTTTTAAATGTGAAGGGACACATTTGCCTGGAAATCCCTAATGCCAAGTTTTCTTTCTCTGTTTCAGGCTTACTTGCACTCCATGTGCATCATTCACAGAGACCTGAATTCACACAATTGCCTAATCAAGTTGGTGAGCTACCTCTGTTCCCCACAGCATGCTGCTCCCCTCCTTGTCATTTTCCTCCCTTGGTTTTCTCCATGTGATTTTTCCTCTTTTGTCAGAATAGAACTGATTTCAGAGAGGCTTTTAGTGCCCTAAACAAGGGAGCTTCATTTTCACATAGGATTTCCCAGACTAATCTAGCTTTCCCTGTTTCTTCATTCTGTTCTCTCATCCCCTTTCCTGTCATAGCATCTCCTATTAACAGTGTTGTTAGGAGAGTTAGTTCAGCTCTGTTTCTTATCTCAACTAAGAAATGTTCTCTGCAGCTGCTTCTGTTCTTTCAACCACTTGATGACTTTTTTATTGGCACTCAGGATTCAGACAGGTGTGCAGGTGTGTGCACAGGTGTGTGCTCTCTCTTTTTGATATGTTAGGAAGCCACAAGATTTTTGTGTAGTTTCATTCCCTCAAGCCTTATCTTTGTTCACTGGCTGAAATATGAGATTGGCATGTGGGCTTCAAATGACCCAGGATGAAAGTCTGAACTAATTCCTGGCCAGGTAGAATAGGAAGGTCTGAAAAGAAAGGTCCAGCTTTGCCCTGGCAAAAGTAGCCAAATTGATGGCATTAGTGTAGTGACCACACAGAAAATAAGACAATGATGAGAAGAAACAATGTGTTGGGATTGTGAATTGGGTATCTAGGCAGCTTGCTGTGCTCACCTGGCTGCAGGAAATCTTGTTAGTTTCCCTTACAGTGTAGTTGACAGCGAAGAGGAATTGCAGGCTCTTTGCTCCTCAGAGTAGCTGAGCATAATCGGTGGCTTGTACTAAATCCCTTGTGCAGGATAAGACCGTGGTGGTGGCTGACTTCGGTCTGTCTCGGCTGATTGTGGAGGAAAGGAAAAAGCCCACTTTGGAGAAGCCATCGGCCAAGAAACGAACCCTACGCAAGAGTGACAGGAAGAAGCGCTACACAGTGGTTGGCAACCCATACTGGATGGCTCCAGAGATGCTCAATGGTAAGATACCGATACCAGGGTGCAGGTGAGGTGACAGCCTGTGACAAGGTACAGGGATGATAAGATTACTGAAAGCTTATGAGCCCTAGTAACAACCAAACCTATTAGGGTCTATGGTTTTAGACCTGCTAATATGCAAGCTTATTTATACACACAGGTACCCTAGCTGCACTGCTCTTGCAGTACCTGACCTGATAAGCCTTTGTACCAGCTGAGGTAATGCTTCTGGCTTGACAGGAGGATTCTTCAGGAGGGCAGCAGGCCTAAACTGCTCTGATCTAGATAACAGGCAAGACAAAAGAGGCCTGAAATAAGACTGAACCTGAGACCAATTTCTGTTATAGCCTCATGCTTTGGAACTGTCCCTTGAGACAGGGAATCATCAAACTCCAGGATGAGGCATACATGTGCTGTCATGTAGATCCAGGGAGAAACCGTCTGCTGCCACGTTTGCTGAAGCCTCAGGACTGGGGTGGGAGTGGTCCAAGTGAAGGGCAATCTGGTTTTGGCACACAGCCTTCCATTGCATTAAGGATGAACCCTTAGGGAAAAATCTGCCCCTGCAGGAGTCAAGGTAAGGGTGAAATGCAGTGGAGACAATTTCCTCCTAATAAGCAGGTCTGTCTGGCCAGTTTAGCTAGCTATGACATCAGATGTCTCCGCCAGGGAAGGGAGGACTGGGCTCCTCTCCCCAGCTTTCTTGTGTGCTGTTCTGTTTTCCTTCTCTCAAGGCCTCCAGGCCCTACAGGAGTCTGAGGCTGCTTCTCGGAGCCTGTCTCAGACCTGGCATTTGTCAAAGAGACCAGCAAGAGCATAATCTGACATCACCTCTGAAAGCAGGGTTGTTTACCAGATACTGGCTGGGGAGGGGTGCGTCTGTAAGCAGAGAATGGCCTGCTGGAGCCAGCCTGCTCTCCCAGGTTCAAAGTGCTGCCAGTGTGTCATTTATTATATCTGCGGTCACTGCAGCAGGGACTGGGCATTCCCTGGCTGCTGGGGAAGCTGAACAATGACTCTGCACTGTAGAGATGCACTAGAACAGCAATCAGTGGGAACGGGCAGAAGCTTTCCACAGTTAAAATTAGGATTTGCTCAGACCTCTGATACACACAGTTTCCCTCTGTTGTCCCTGTAATTCCCCACTAGAAGAAAGGAGTTAAAACAAGCAGTGGCAGTGTATAGGAGGATGCAGTCGGTATACATGTCTTGGGGCAGCTGGCCCTGCTCAGATTTAAACCCTGCTTTGTCTCCTGTTTTAGGGCCTTCCAGGGAATAGGCGAAGTAGCTTTGGACTGGCAGATGCTGAAATAGCTGGGTGGGGAACTGTCTCTCCCAAATCTGAATGTCTTATGTTTCCTGCAGGACAGAGCTACGATGAGACAGTGGACATCTTTTCATTTGGGATTGTTCTCTGTGAGGTAAGGCCAGGACATTACATGGCATCTTTAATAGACCTCTTCCCCACGGCCATCTTCTCACACACATTTTATCAGCTATTTCTCTGAGTCTGCAATCTCTGACCTAACAGCACAGAGACTGAGGCTGGGACTACAGGCTCACCCTGCTCTGCTTCCTCAGGGAAGGTAACTGTTTTGTTTCTTCCTGGACTGAGAGTAACTGTTAAGAAGTCCATCAAGTTCTGACTGAGCCCTGGTATCCATTTGAAAATAGATATATTCCCTAAAACTGTGATACTTTTTGCCTCTTCTACTGCCTCATTAAAAGACCAGTCAGCTGTATCTCAGCAAATTCAGGGCCTCCACTGAGGATGGCACTTCACTTCAAAGAATGGGGAACAGAAACCTCTTTGCAGGTCGATTAATGAAGCTTGCACCCTGAAGTCTGTTGGCTTAGTTTATCTCTGAGCCAGTGCACAGTCTTACCATTATAGCAGTCTTTTCTGTCTCCAGAGCAAAGAGCACAAGTCAAAAGCTGCAAGGTATTTTCAGTTTAAAAGGTAAGACGGTTGAAATAGAGATGAAAGGCAGAGTGTTACATGTACTGATAACACAGCAGTTACAGGGACACCAGGGAAGACCAGCACAGTTTCATCTTCAGTGTCTGAATGAAGAGGACAAATAAAATATCTGTGCATATGTCTCTGTGGCCTCATCTGGAGCTCTGTTTATGCTGGGCTCTCCTCTCAGAGAATGTTGTGGTTGTGAGTGATAAATTCAGGAACTTGAAAAATTTGTTTGTGGAATTATAACAATTGTTTCATCTAGAAAAAAAGACATAGTAGCAAAGAAAGCAGACAAATAGGGGTAGGATCACAGGCACATTTTGCTTGTCACCAAGATAAAGATGCTAAAAAAAGATGTTACACACTCAAACAGATAAGGAAATAATCCTGCCAAAATACATAATGGGCGTTCCACTGTCTAGTTACAGGATGTGGTTGTCCTGCTGAGCTGTTGGCACAGAAGAGCCTGGGTGGTTATAAATAACACCCTCTTTGTAATACCAGTGAGGCTTCAAACCCAAAATTCTTCCCCATGTGAGCATTTGTACTGACACTGACCTTGACTGCTCTGTGCTGTGGGTTCCTTCCCTCCTATTACACTTTGAGTCCTCTAGTGCTGGAGGTGGTGAGTGCTGGGGCAGGGCTTCCTTCTCTTCCACCCAGCCCTTTCCTCCAGCAGCTCTGCCTGCAACCTCCTGAGCTTTGGTTCTGGTGGTTCTCTCCACCCTTCCCATCTGGCTGTGGAGCTGAATCTGCCAGTAACAGAGGAAGTCAGAATATGTGGTACTGTTGACTTCACAGCATCACTTAGGACATGCTCCATAGAAAGGAGTTTTGCTGGTGGTGTGGTAAGATTGTGTGAGGGGAGAGATGGGATGGTGATGCAGGTTGTGTTGGTTACCTGTGATCAGGAGGGGCTGCATCACCCCCAGCAGCATACAGCAGTTGCTGACCCAGCAGGAAGACAGGGTTGAGCTCTCTGGGAGGTGCACATCACCCTGCATCTTCTAGCAAAGACCCTGCAGAGATGGAGAAGGCATCTGGGCCTTCCTTCACAACAGCAGCCACATCACCACGTCTCATAAAAGCTTAACATGCAGTTTGTCTGTATGCAGTACAGTGTGCAACTGGCCCCATTGGAAAGCAGGAACAGTGTTTCTGCTCTTTCCCTTTCACCCTGATATTTTGATGGGGCCCCTGCCTGGTGCTGATGTTCTCTATTTGTTTACACCCTGGAACTGTTGCTGTACTTAAGCTCTTCTCTCATTTTCCCCTAGATCATAGGCCAGGTTTATGCCGACCCGGACTGTCTCCCACGCACACTGGATTTTGGCCTTAATGTCAAGCTGTTCTGGGAGAAGTTTGTTCCTGCTGATTGTCCTCCAGCCTTCTTCCCTCTGGCTGCTATTTGCTGCAGACTGGAACCAGAGAGCCGGTAGGGCTGGGATTTGGAGGGCTGCTCTTTGTAAGCTTGGAGGATGTGTCTTTATCCCCTTAGTAGAAGAACTACTCTGCACAGAGGGTGGAAGAGGGCTCCTGTGGGAATGCTCAAAGGCTTACATGTGAGGAGAGACTAAAGACTTATTAGCTTGGGAAAGACTGCTGTATATGGTGGAGGTTTCTGAAACAGTTCCTGAGACAGAGGGTAGAGGAGGAGTGGTTGATCAGGGTTTCTCATGTACTAAAAGTAGGGGCAGACCTTGGCACCAGCTCTGGAGGTGAATGCTTCACCTCCAGAGTTGATGCCAAGTGGGTTCCAAAAGAGCCAGACCTCCCTGGTCATCAGCTGTAAAAACAGGTAGCCAGACAGATGGGATCTTTGCAGTCTCAGAAGCTGAATGGGGAGGGATCACGTCCCTGCTCACACCTCTGTGCGTGGGACAGTGGCTGGATGGACAAGTGCCTCAACCTTTTCAGATGCTGCTGTGCTTCCTCCTTCCCACTCACATTTCCTCACTGCTGCTTCTAGGCCCCCTTTTTCCAAGCTGGAAGATTCATTTGAAGCTCTCTCCCTCTACCTGGGAGAACTTGCCATCCCCCTTCCATCTGAGCTGGAGGAGCTGGACCACAACGTGAGTGTGCAGTATGGACTGAACCGTGACAAGCTACCTGACAACACAACCTAGTCAGCTCATCCTGCTGCCTGCCCCGCTTCATTGGAGCTGAGTGACAGGGAGGGAGATGCACTTCAGCCACTTCCAGGGCATTAATGGAGCACCACGCTGTGCATTTGCTGCATTGCCTCTCTCTCCCCACCCAACACCCCTCCTCTTGGACATATGATTCACTGTGGATTTTTGGCATGTTTCAGAAGCAAAATGGGCTGTTTCCTGCCAACTGCACCTAGGAAAGCTGCTCAACACTACTTTTATGGCTTGAGAAGTGTTTCTCTGGCCTTTCCAGGCTTCTTAACTGTGGTGCCTTAGAACTTGGCTGCAAGCTGTGAAGCCACCCTGGCCTGTCTGCCAGGGAGGGATTTGCTATAGGAGACTCTCCTGGGTAAGGACCAGCACTTCTGGAACTGCTTCTCCCACTGACTACCCTGCACAGACAGCAGGGGAAATTGGACATCCAGCAAAAGGCCCCACCAGGACAGTGTGTGTGTGTGTGTGTGTGTTTGTGCATGTGCTTTCCAGAATAACCCACTGAGATTTTGGCCTCCAGGTGCATCACAGGGGAGGAATTGAAAAGCCCCAGGAATTGGGCAGCTCTCCTGAAATACCTTGTCTGTGGGGAAGCGTGTATGAATTCTTGTTTTAGTTTGGTTTTGTGGGTTTTTTCCTGCCTCTGTCTCTGAATACCTCCAAAAGCCTGCCTAGAAACACTAAGACTGAGCTCTGCTTGCCCCTCCTAATGGTGATCAAGGCAGGTGAGCTGCTTGAGCATCTTCAGACCCTGAGCCTGCACCGTGAGTCTGCCTGCCCAAGAACCTTAACCTAGGTGAAAGTATTTGAACCCGAATGTGTAAAACTGTGCTAAGCACTGACTGTGGACATCCCTGGAGTGCTGAAGCTGCCTGAGCTCTCGGCCTGTGGACATGAGGTGACAGAAAGGGTGGCAGAAGATTCTCTTCAGCAAACCAAGGGTTTGAAGTGGCTCAGACTTTGTGCATGGACAATGACAAAGGGGGATAACCCCAGAGTTACTTAAAGGATGGACTTGTCATGAACAGAAAAGTGCTGGAGAATGTCCCATTCTCCCAGGAGTGGCAGCTGGAGAACTAATAATTCAGTTGCCATTACCTCATCCTTTCCTGCAGTTGCTCCCTTTGAAGGTCCTTCTTGCCTCTGCTGCTGCAGCACCTGAGCTGATTCTCCAAGCAGAAACTTTCCTCAGGGTCATTCCCTGCTTTGGGGGAGAAAAAAGGGCTTGGAGTCATTGGGAGGGGTGTGTTTGGGGGGATGTTCTCTTCCAGCACTTCTCTACTTCCTCCCTTGGAGGGAGAAGGAAGAAAGCTACTGCTGCAGTAGCTTACATGGTTGGCAGAACAGAACAAAATGTGGCTCAAGTCCTGCTCTCAAGTTTCACAGACACCTTGGTTTAACCTGATTTTTAGTGTGATCTTTTCTCTCCCCACTCCCTTCAGTATTGAATGGTGGGGAATGGGTGTTAGTCTTTGCTGTTACTTTGATTTCCTCCCCTACCCATGAGTTTAAAGTATTATATAACATAACATGGGACCAGCCATCACCTGACAAAAGGTGTGAGTGTGGGGGTGTGATTTTAGTCTGTGTAGTGGTGTTTTAGAAACACTGGGGGACTCCCTGTGCTGTGAGTCGGTGGAGGAGCCTCTCTAAACTGGGTCCAGTGGACTCAGGATTGTTAATAGGATTTGCCCTTTCTTTTCCCCTTCCAGGTTGGTTTGTGAGGGGACCCCTGAAGGGGAGAGTCCTGGGTGATGTGTGGGTGGGGGTTATGAACTGTGATTTGCACAGCTCCATGTTCTAACTAAATTAAAAAGCATTAAACATGCTACAAAAACAACATCTGGTTGCCTCTGTTACATCAAGCAGGAAGCTGTAACTTGCTTGGGTTTCTATTGTCACAAAATGGGAACAGCAAAACTGCAGAGATCTGGTATCATCTAGAACATCCTTCCCTGAGCCCAAGGGCTCTGCCACATCTACAGAATTCTAGAGATGCAGTGCAAGTACTCTACAGTACTATTTACCTGGAATGATGGAAGAACTTGCCAAGGTTTTTTTAAGAGTGGACAGGAGTCAGCAGAAAATGAAGCCTCTATTTTCCTTTTCTGATCCAGGGATAAAAATACAGCCTGTTCTTGGAAACATCTTATTCTGAAATACGTAGTTCAAGGGGCATTTGTGAAGGCAACAACTGAACGAGAATGCTAGCTATATCAGTGCCTCCCGCAACCTGCTGTGCTCTGTCCCTGTCATGCTTTCCACTGCAAGGCCCTGGGGAATGGAGCTGCTGCTGAGCAGCACCAGAGCAGAACTGACCTGTGTCAGGGCAAGAAGGGGCTGTAACTGAGAGCATCTTCCCACGGGCCAGCCCATTTAGTCAGCACAGCTCACAGACCCACAGCTGCTCTTCAGGAACAGCGTCCCAGCCCAAGACCAGCTGCTGGCAGCAAGGACATAAGCTCCATGCCTCTTGTCAGTGGTGGTGAGTGGAGGCACTGCTTGTAGGGATTTACCTGGGGCCTGGCAAACTGACATGACATCTTACCTTCTTCTCAATTCAAAGTCTGCAATAAGCAAAAGGATGCTGCTCTGGCAGGAGGAATGTACGGATGAGCCACAGTCCACACAGGTCCACTACATTGCAGTTTTCTTTTAAGCTTTAATCCAAGGTAGCACAATCTGCACCTTCTCATAATGAGGTATTTAAAACATTTTACAAAGAAATGGTATTCAAAGGCATTTAAAAATAAAACGTTTCCCTTTTCTGAATCAAACGCTAAAACCCCTGCTGACAAGTGCTGCTCCCTGTTAGGCCCACAGCTATAAAGCAGATGGCTAGAAAACTTACTTGAATGGCTTGAATCCCCTGAGGTGGGGATGGGTGTTTCCCTGAACTGGCCTTGCCTTGGTGCCTTTTGGGAGACACTGCAGCAACCATCCCTTCCAAACCCCCTGAAATGCTAATAAAAGTTGTTACAAAATGCCAGGCTCTGTAAGCAAGTGGTCTCGCTGCACAAGCTGAGTGCGTGTGAAGGAGGCTGAGCCAGGAGCCATGCTCTAACTTCAGGATCTTGCAAGAGCAGCTGCTGTATCCTGCCCTTAGAGCAAGAGCTGCTGTGTCATGGTCAGTGACCTCCATAGCTGCTTGGCCACTCTGTCCAGAGCTGGCTCTGTGGAAAGCCAAGGGAATTCAGAAGAGGCTGTTATTTATCCACAGTGCTCTACCTGCTGTAGGTAACTGAAGGGCAGTTTGCTTTCCTCACAACTGTCTACTGCTGGCCTTTGGTCTCCTGCTCTAAGTGAGCAGGAGGCACAGACCACCTGGATACCTGCAACTGTGGCTGTTCATGTAGCACCACAGGGGAATGGAGATCTGGCCTCAGCCCTGGAAGACCTGGATTTATCAATAGCTTGAGAAGAGCTTTTCCAAACTGAAACTAGGCTAAACATACAGCTCCTGGCCAAAGTCAACCCCCAGATAAACTGTTTCTTGGAAAAAGAAACCGATCCAGTAGCAGGATTCTGGACAGCGTCTCCAGCTCTCAGCCACTAAAGCAAAAAGGCAGGAACTATAATCAGTGTAATTACCAAGCTAAGCCTGACACGAAGCTCCCCTCAGTCCCTGTAGTACTGCTCCCTCCTGGGGTTCCAGGCTGAAACTTAAGTAACAGTGCACACCGTTAAATAGGAAAGGAACAGAAAAAGCCAAGACCACGCTCCAGGCTGTGGGATCTGCGACCACATGAGAGCCTGGCCCATCATCCCCCCCAGCTCCCTGGCACTCCATGGAGATAGGTGGGAGGAAGCAGCAGGGTCCACCGCACCAGTCCCCAGCTGGTCATGCACTGAATGGTGCCCCTCAAACAGATCGTGATGAATAGCCCATTGTTCTCTCCCTCTGCATCACCTTCATCTGGCTTTCATCAAAAAGAAAACAAAATAGAAATGAACACACGCACCCCCGCACTCACAGTGGGAAGCTGGAGGCTTTGCTCAGCCTGTATTGCTCCTGCCCGAGCTGCTCAGGCACCAGGAGTACCCGCCTGCCCCATGAGTGGGCCACCACCATCCTGCGTGTCCTCCACAGGTGTCTGGTTAGTGTGCACCACGATTGTGCTCTCATCTACAAGCTCGCAGGCAGGATTGCTGAATGCGGACAGTGGCAGTGTGATACGCTGCATTTCACGCTCATAAACTTTCTGTTCATGCTTTTCCTTCAGGTCTTTCCCCCTAGATTCAAAACAAAACAAAACAAAACAGATGTACATGGGTGCCACTGCTTGGAGGCAGTCTCAGTAAACATAATACAATAGAAAACAAGGAACTCTGTAGGAAACATTTTCAGCTACACACAAAGGGCCAGAAACATTCCCTACTGTAAGCAGAGGACCCCATCTGACCCCATTCAACTAGCAGCCAGGTGAAGTTTGTTCCTCCCTCAAACTGTCATATTCACTGACATTGCAACTGCTAAATCATGATGGTAAAGCCAGGGTTCTTCAAACTATGGGTCTGACAAGTGTTTCTTTATACCTTATAGTCCTACAGAACTGCCCAGTGCAGGCCCAGAGGAGCAGTGAGACAGCAGAGAGCCCACTGCTGTGGAACAGAGCTTCTATAACCTGCTTCATCTGATAGAAACAGGTATCAGAAGCGGTGACAGGTTCTGCATTTTGCTGCAGCAAACGAATGTGTGTAACAAAATGAAGCCATTCCTGAAAGTAGTAAAGCTTACTTCAGAGCTGGCCCTGCCTTCTGCCACTGCAACTCTCAGCTTAGTACCACAATCAGTTCCTCAAACTTGCCTCAGTCTTCAGCCTGTTGCTAAGGGAGGCAAAACCTCTGTAATTTGTACTGAGGAAGACTGTCTTGCTTTAAAAATGGCTGGCATTAATAGCATGTTGTCTCCAGAAAAGCTATGTATATCAGAAGCTACTAAACCCATTAAAGGTTTCTCACCACACCTACCCAAACCTGCCAGCTTGCACATGCAATTTTTAGAGCAAGGCAAGAAGAGAGACAGCAAACCCGCACTGCAGCGCTGCTCTGAGCTCTCTGGGATTGAGGAAGCAAAGCTGCATTTGGACAAAGCCCAACACTGGTCTATTGCTTCTTCCCACCAAAGACAGGAGTGCGACGGGACAGAACTGCTCGCTTCTCCTGGAGCTTGTGATCCCAACCAGGCAGAGCTGCTGGGGTTTCCTGTCAGCACATGAGCAGTTTGGCTGCTTCTCAAAGCTGCCTACAAGCGTGCAGCAGTGGCTGCATTCCTGCCAGCATACGAGACAGCGTTCTCTGAAGTGACACCTCACATCAGATTCCTCGACAAGCAGCGCTGTGTTTTGCCCCTTATGTAACACTCCTCCCTCTTTTTTCTGTCGGCATTTATTATAAACACTTACATAAGGACATGTCCCAGCTTGGGAAAGAGCTCCTTCTGCTTGGCTGTGTCAGACTGCTGTCAAGCAGCCAAAATACAGAGCAAACCCTCCCAGAGGAGGCAGCCTGGCCCTTCACTTGCGGCAGGGACATTCACTGCTGTTTGTTAATCCTGCCCTGTCTCTTACAACTAAGCTGCTTGCTATTACCACTAACCTCAAACTGCTGAGCTACAGAAGCATTTCTACCCAACACAGCGAACTGGATGAACAACTAATAACTTAAGTGTGAATCAAAACTGACCTTAAAGTATACGATAGCTTCAGCAAAATGAACCTGGACCAAAAAAAAAGTGCTACTTGATACGCAGCTTCATAGGATACAATGCATGAGTGGCAAGGAATTTGCCAATTGTTTTTCTTCTAAAGCTAGCTAGACTAGAGAAACCAGGGGAACAGGTGGCCTGCTAAAAGGACTGTTCTTTCTCTGCTCGCAAAAGAAACTTCCTGTGAGGGCACGTGGGATCTGTTCTCTGCAACTCTTACGTAAAATCAGCTCCTCTGGATGCATGTGAGAAAACCACATCAAAGCACACGTGCACGCACACGCACAAAGCCAAAAAATAAGAGGGCAGAGTTTGAAACTTTACATGGGACAGAAGAGCATGCTGATGGGTGACATGGAGAAGAACGGGATTAACTCTTAAGTAGTTCTTCCCTCAGTGCAACAAGCGAAACTCTTGCACAACATGCTGTATCGCAACATATGCTACTGCCTGCCTTTTCACTGGGATCTGGTAATCTGGAGGTGCTCGGACATTCCTGCTCTACACTGCTTCATGCTTCCAGCTTTTGAATAAAGGACTAGCTACTGACCTCTTATAGATGTATCCCAGGACAATGCCAGCTCCAATGGCAATGATTATCACCATCATGATCAGCCCCAGCACATACCCTGTAAAGAGAGAAAGGAAAAGACAAAATTAGAGACAGTAGATCCAGCTATAGCATTGCCTCAAAATAAATCTGTCCTGCCAGAATTAGAGGAATGGATCCATCACATGATCCTGAGTTTGTACCTAGTGTCCCTAAGTCCTTCTTTTCTTTGGAGTTCATCTGCACTCTCTGACTGATCCCAATGACGGGTTGCACAGCTGCTGCCTCACTCCGGGAGGGCAAGGTATCAGCCGGTTCAAACACCTGATCCACCTCCTCGGAAGTACCAGCTTCTTCTGTAGAGACTGGGGCTGTGGCAGCTGTGGCAGCTGTAGCATCTGTTGAGAGGAAAAGGAGCTATACAGTATAACCAAGCATTGGTGAGTACTTCAAAATAACACACGCCTTGTGAGTGGGACAGATCTAGACTGGTATTACTGAACCGCCTTCAAAGTACACTGACAAACTTGTTCCCTCTTAAGTTCTTGCCAGAAATCCTACCAAAGCAGAGCAGAAATGTCCACCTCCCCCCACTTCGCTTTCACACAAACCTATTTAGCTAAGAGTGCAAAGCACCACCAGAGATGAGACAAATCAGACACAGCATAACAAACCCTGGGTTCAGGGCATGAGTCCAGGGGATGCACAATGACTTCATTTAGTGTATAATCAATATACAGGCTGCAGCTTCAATCATGCTGAACAGACGTGAACAAGATTATGAGAATCTCCATCCTGAATCTCCCAGGAGCCTATTTATCTCTCTTCTGCCTCAATCTTCCTGACACGGGAAGGTTTGACAGGAGACTCCAGCTGGGAGTCTCTCTCCCCTGTAAGAAGACATTCTTCTTACCCAGCCCCTCTTTGCAGCCTTGTAGCAAACTCCTCTAGCAAGATGGACAGGCTAAATCAGAGCAGCACAGCCACTGACTAGTGTTAAGTACAGCAAGTTCCTCCTCAGCCAGAGCCCAAAGTTGCAAAAGGGTGGATGCTCATAGCACAGACTCCTTCCAAGTCCTGTGGATTCTTTATCTACAGCATTGGCAGATTTTCAAGGTAGTTCCTTCTTTCATGACATAGTTAAAATGGAAGCTATAGCACAGTCAAAGCTATGACAGTGGAAAGTAGGTACCTAGGACCTGTCCTGAACAAAAATCCCTTCTTTTGGGAAATGCCATGCACGGTATGCACCCACACCTGAAAAATCCCTCCACCTGGATCTCACCCCACAGCTGGCAGTAACTCCATGTGGATTTTCTATCTGCAGCCATTTTGAATCCTCAGTGGAATGTGAAATGGAAGTACAGAAGGGGAGTTAGGAAGTCAGGGTCTCCTGCACTGCACAGCCACAGAAGCTGAACTAAGGGGAGCTGCAGGACATGACTACAATAAAAAGGTGCCCACTCCTGATAAAAAGCCAGATCCCTTCAACATGCAAATGGTGTACTGGCTGAAAGGTCAGGTAACTCTCCTGAACCCAAAGCTGCAGGACTGTTTTGTGCAAGGGTCTTGGCAGCAGCACATTTGTTTTGCTTCATTTGTAGGGAAAACCAGGCAAAAACCAAGCAAAGTGAAGAAAAGGGGAGAGTGTATGTGTGGGGAGAAGTGTTTACATGCAAATGATAGCAATCCTGAGGGACAGTGGAGTGTGTACATCTTGAGGAACTCAGAAATAAGTAAACAGTTAAAAAACCCCAAGTGGTTACTTTGGCCTCAGTCAGTACTGACATCTCCTCTCCATGAAACAGGCTTCAGCTACAGTTCTTCTCATGCCAAAGTGTTTCCCATCCTGATTATCCATGAGGAATCCAGCATCAGGGGGATTGTTTCTTACTGTCCTCCTTTCAACTCCCATTTTCTCCGAGTTGTGTATGTGCCCTATGCCCCATATCCAAATTCACCCTGGGACCCGTTTAGCAGCAAGACGCTTGTTTAGACAGCAGTAACATGCCCCACAGTAACAGCCTACCAATGTCTCTGCAGTTCCTAAATGCCCAGAGCTCAGCTTTCTCAATACAGCTAAAGAGCCCTACAGTGACCAGTGACAAGATAGGGCAGGGGGGCTCAAAGATTTGCACAGACCTTTTCTGGCACCAACGGAAAAGCTCTGGGGGTGGAGCGAGGCAGGGCTGGGAAGCAGATGTGCAAGCAGAAGGGACAGCTGGAAGGGGATCCTCGGGTACGCTCCGTTCCCGGGGAGGGTCAGGGGCTGTTTGTGCGCAGGGGGGTCCCCCACCCTAGTGACAAAGGCAGTGCCCAGCGGCAGGAGACGGGGGGAGGGAAGTGCCCTAAGGATGGCCAGAGGGGAAGGGGGCCGACGGGGTCCGTTCCTACCTGAGCACGGGGCGATGTCGCAGGGTCGCCGCTCGGGGACCCCGGCAGCGCCTCGGACGTAACACCAGGGCGCGGCGTCGCCGTCCGGGTTCCTGCAGCTGTTGTGGTCCTCGGCGGCTGCTGGAGGGCGGCGGGTGGTCAGCGCGGGGACCCCGCGGCCCCGGCATCCCGCTCCCTCGACATCCCCCCCCACCACCACCACCACCACCGCCGAGCCCCCGCCCCGCTGCCCGGACCCACCTGCCGGGAGCGCGGCGCCGGGGCCGCTCCGCACCGCCAGCCAGTTGAGGCACGGGGCACCACCGGAGGCCACTCGCTGGCTTCCTCGGTAGGACGCGCCGTTGCCGCGGAGGCACTCTGCGGAGAGACGAGGCCAAGCCATGCGGGTGGGCCGGGCAGCCCCCGCCGCCCCGGGCCGCTATCCGCACACCTCCCCTCCCGAGACCGGCCTTTGTCCCCCACACAAAGCCAGGCCGGTTCCCCCGGGCTGCACTTACCTTCAGCGCCGCGGGCCGCCAGCACCAGCGAGCCCAGCAGCACAACGCCCAGCGCCGCCGCCGCCCGCCGCGGACCCCCGCGCAGCATCCTCGGCGCAGCGGAGGAGGCGAGGAGCCGCCGCCAGCCCGGGCGCGCAGCTCGGCTCCGCGGCGAGACCTGCCCCGCCGCTCCCCTCCCCGGTAAACAACCGCCGGGCTGCGCTTCCCCCCCCCCGCCCCGCAGCGGCCGCCGGGTCCTAACGCTGCCGCCGCCCGCCCCCGGGCAACACCCGGCCCCGTCGGGGAAGCCCCGGGAGGGGAAAGGGGCGGCCGGGAATGCGCCGCTGCTCCTTCACCTCCGCAGGGGCTTCCCCGTCCCGCCGGGACCGGGCGCAGCGATGGGTGCTCGGTACCGCGGGGCCCTTTGGCTCGGGGGAAACACGGGGAAAGGCTCCCCAAGCCCTGTCCCCGATAGCCACAGGAGATTCGTGGGCCAGGAGACGAGGCTCCCGACACAGAGCTGGGCTTGAACCGCCGACTGTGGCGGGGCGTTTGTCTTCAGGGACCTAAAATCGCTGTCTTGTTTCCCCTAGAGAGCCACCCCGAAGAACCAGACTCTCCTGCCCTGATTCTCCCTTTTGGTTTTCTCAGCCCTATAGAGAGAGGCCGTGAGTGGGGGGTACATGCTACCACGGAAGCCACGCATCTCCACATTTAAGGTTTACAGCCTTACCTCTGCTGATCGATTGATTTCCTCTGACTCCACATAATCTTAAGAGCTGTGCCTGCTTATAGAAAAACAAAGCAAACAGCCCCAAAATGCTTTACAGTGATTATATTGCAGACATCCAGCTACCGTGATAAAGACTCTCTGCAGACATTTCAAAGTGTTAACAACAGATAGTTTTGTCTCCAAGCAGGCAGAGGTGTTTAGAAGTGGCTGTACACATCTGGAGTCACCAGCAATGTTTCTGGTTTACACCAGTGCAAAACAAGCCGCTGAATGCTTGGCCCTGTTGGACCACAAGCTCTTAAAAGTGGCCTGGGCCAACTGATAGGCTTGTAGACAAGTCACAGGCCTGCAGCATGGTGCTATTTCTGGCTTTCCCACAGAATTCCTGCTGACCTTGGCCGATGTGCCAGCCTCCCTTCTTTGCGCTTTCCCTTCCTGTTTCGTGAAGTACAACCCAAGCCTTCTTCCTCAGAAGAAGACAGGGCAGCCCCCTTCTTCTAAAGTGCTTTGAAATCACATAGAAACCACTGAACACATAAAAAGTGATTAAATGCCAAAAAGCTGCATGTTGTATTCAGTGTATGATGAACCGCTTTGCAGGGCAGGAGCAGCAGTCCTTTCTTTCCACTCCCAGATGTTTCCATGCTGGCAGTGCTCTCTGTCAGGCTGCTACAGGTCTCACAAGCAAGCTCAAGATGCTGATCCAACCCAGCTTTTGCCCTTTTCTTCCCAGGTCACATTTACTTTAACCCTGCTGCATCCAGTCCACAAGAGAGCCACAAAAAAGACAGATGTACCAGCGTGACAGAGGGGGAACGAGGAAAACAGGTCAATTAAGCAGCACTACCACTGAACATGAAACCATAAGCCTTCAGCCTTTTGCGTGGTTCATGCTTTAACAATATTACTTATGACTAGAGTAAATTTAGTTTAATAATGTCAGATTTAAAACCCCTCCAGCCAGGTTGTAGAACAAAACCACAGACAAACAAAAACACAGTTGTGTGTGTCAGTCCTGACTGACATCCCCAGCTAAGATGTCTGCTTTATGGCGTCATGCTCATTGTCTGCACAGACACTGAGCTCTACATTCCTTATGCTCTCCAGTTACACCCTGTGAAAGCAAGGCTAGCTGGAGTAAGCAAGAATTTTTAATAAGGGCTATTGAATCAGGCCTTCTGTTTGTAATAGCTCTTCATAAGAGATTTTATGGGTTAAATTCCTTGCAGTCAGAAACTGCAGGGCCACAGATGCATCCAGAGGCACAGTCTGTCCAAAACAACGGTTTGCAGAGGGCTGCCAGCCTGTACAATTAATTTCTTTTAGCTCATTTCATGAGACTAACCAATGCTTCCATGTCATCATGCACAGAAAGCACCTCCTCCTGCACATACTGATCCAAGATCTGCACGCTGGGCAGTAATCTCTGTGGAAACAAACCTCAGACCTTCCCAGCTCTCTCTCCTGCTATGTAACAAGTGAAATTTGCGCTTCTCATTACACCCAGCCAAGTTTCAGCAAACAATCTGAGTTTCTAGTGTGCAGAAGGACAATAGGGAATCTGGGTGAAATGCAAAAACCTCCATAATCATGCTAAAGATAAAAGCCTTTTCCACCACTGACTTCTAAGCAGAATCATTTCTCTTTCATCTCTGGCTTTCTCCAGGATGAGGGAAGATTCATGCTTGCCAGTTTCACAGAGTTAAGTTTAATAAGATGCCAGGTGGCAGCTGTCAAAGGCAGGCTCAATTGCTCTTTCTGCTGTTTGGGAATGGGTTTGCTCTTCTTGCTACACTTTTAGAGATTAAACCTGACATTACTTCCTAGGACTTGATTTTAAAATAACTATCTAAACTATAAGTAAGCTAATAGCTCTGCAGCTATAACCTCAGATATTTACATGTAAAATTCTGTGGGTATGTACACATACATGTGCCACAACACATCCACAAACACTTCAGGGGGGAATATATATGCTATTTTTAAGAATAAAAACCATTAAGCATCCTCCCTAAACTCAGTGTGAACCAGTTTCAGCTGTGAGCTGGTACCTTTGTGCTGTTTATACAGGTTCCGTAATGAACAGTGTCTGCTTTTTCTCTCTCCTGTCTGCCAACTGCTCTTTCTTGTTTGTTTGCTCTACTTTTTCACCTGTGGAAAAATTCAAAGTGTATTGAGAGTTTTCTTAAGAAGAAGCAGGGAGCTAACATACAGCACACTATGCTGTGCAAAGAGAAGCAACCACAGCCCTGCAGCTTTAGAAGGGCTCGAAGCATCAAACCCTCCACCCTCCTCTAGCCACAACAAAGTACATTCAGATCTTTCAGGGCAAAAGTTCATCTATCTTCCTATGAAAGAATTATAACACTTTGTTACTTAATCTTACTAAATAAGATACTGAGAAGAGTAAGCAAAATACTTTTTCTAATCTACGTATTCTTTCCTAGCCAAATTAACATGGATTGCTTAAAATGGAAAAACTTGACCATTGCCCTCTTTGTAATAGGGCATATGTCATGTTCCCATAACTTCCTCTTTTTTCTTTCTAGGCAAATCAAAACAATTCTTCCAGTCTCCCCTCAAAACTAGTTTTTCTGAACCATTTTCTGCTTCCTTCATAAATTATGGTGTCTGAGAATAAAGATGGTACACTCTGAGACTATGAACAGAATATTAGACCAATTTGTGCTTAAAGCTTAAAAAACTATAAGCATCAAGTATTACTACTTGCATCTCCCCAAAAAGCAGGTTTTGTTACTCCTTTGTTGCCTCTGGATCTTGAAAATAACTGTGGGTCTCACCTGTAAGAAAGCTTCTGTAAGCAATGATGTAGGAGTCTGGAAGAAATACGCTTTATTCCTAACCTAGAAACAATCTGAATAGAAGGAAAAAACCCACATCAAAGCTGCAACAAAAGGATCAGATATTGGTTTATGAAACTAAGCCGAGTATAACCAAAAATGAAGACAGTCACTACAAAGGGGTCTGTGGAGCGATAGAGAAATCTCTGATTGCACTCTTGCATCCCCCTGCTGACGTGCTCAAGGAAAGGCTTTCCCCTCCCCCTTCAATCTGACAGCATGAGCTATTGCTAAGTAAATGCCAGCCACAGCCTCCAAGGACTAACAAGGAAGTCTGCAGAAGCAAAACAACCATATGTGATATTTGAACTGGTTCAGACTGGTTCAGAGTTTGCTCTGCTCACTCAAAGTGCCTTCTCAGATGAGCGTTCTGTGTGGGCTGTAAGAAAAGGACAGAGGCCTCAGGAGGGCAATCGGGGCTCTATTGTTTACCGGGGGAGCAGCACTGCAGCTATGCTTTCCTCCCATTAAGAGATTAGCACTAAATACTCTTGGCAATCACTGATTTGAGAAGTTTCACACGCTGAGGCCTCTAACAGCAACATTTCTGTGTTCTTTGGGTCACAAACTGCCCAGTGCGTTTCCACCATTCCCTGCAGTAAGGGGCTCAGCTTGGATCCTAGCCCATAGCTGTCTCCACTGCCTTCTGAACTTGGTATCTGGACTGGACACTGCTTTTCCCTGCTATCAGGGAGTGTGTCTCCTAGCAAGGTATCATAAAACTGTAACAATAATGTTAGGAATGAGGTACAAAGATGTGTCAGCTCCCACTTGCCTTGTTGATGTATTTTTGCTACACATGCAGGCCGCTCTTGACAAAAACCAGCGTGCGTTTTTTACATGTGGAGGAAGGGAAGCTATTGTGGAAGATACACAGGTCTCTGCATCAAGAACAGGAGCCTCACTCTGAATTATTTTACTGATTTGTTGCTTGACCTTAGGTAAGCTTCTGCCTCAGTTTTCCATGTTAATATTAGTTATGTCACAAAGACAGGATTAAATGTCTGCAAAGTGCTTTGTAAGCTTCAGACATGCAATACATACCTTATGAAATATAGTTTTTCAAGGGGAGGAAATCATGCACGGAAGGTCTTGAGTTCTACATGTGTAGTGCTCACTTACATGAAAAGTACAAATAAGCATCAATCCATGAAGAAAACCAGGAGAAAGTGTTACGTTGTTGGGTTTTTTTTTAAGGTAGAAAAGTACATTTGTAGCTTTCTTGTTCCTCACTTCACTGTTGTGCACAGGAGTAGCTAACAAAGCTGAGCACTCAGATAAACCATGTGTTCTTGTTAGGAAATGCTGATCTAAAAATAATGTTTATCTGCACACAAGAAACATGAAAAAGGCAGCACCAAAACATCTGGAGATCTGAGTCAAAGGAAGTAAAGTTTCTCTTCTGATATCTGTTCAAAATTAATGTCCAGGGAGTTGGATGGGATTATTAAATATGCTTCAATCCCTCACTCACTATGGAAGCTGACTGCACAACCAAAAGGGACAGACCAAAACTCTGGGCTAATAATCATGGAATATTATCAAAGTAAGAGTTAGATTCTGTTGTGGAAAGCATGAGGTTAGAGTTGCACTTAAATACGCAAAATGTCCCATTCCTGATGAAAATGCATGTCTAAATAGTACAACCATTCATTGTAAGCAAGTGAACCATATCCCATGACAACAGGAAGGCAGTGAGATTGTAAACATAAAAAAAACCCACCAAATTAATTTTCTTATCTATTTAAGGGTTTGGGACTAGGCCTCAAATGAGGGTAAGAGCAGAGCCCCATTTAGTAATGGGTCTCTTTGTAATTCAGCATGTGAGCAGAGAAGCAGAGACCAAACCTTTTCAGTAGAGCTACTAGTGTTTCCTCACAAGAGCGCTGGATTCACGGACATTTACAATGCAGAGCTCTCCTCTCCAGATTTTATTTTCTTAGCTGACCTGAAAGCAGATAAAACCATTGGCACATGGCTTCTGTAAAAGACCTCTCTCCACAGGTGTTTGCCTGGCGGCTATGGGAGGAGCTGTTTATTTTGGGAAGCTGCCTTTTCTTTCCTGTGTAGAAAGGCTTTTTGGGTTGCACATATGCCATAGGCATGCAGAGATAGCCCTTTTCATTAATCTTATATATGCACATGGGCTTTTTTTACATCTATTTACAAATTAAAGACTTTGTTCCTTAAGTATGTTTACAGAATAGGGTAAATCTCTGTTGTTATTTTGGTCTTGAGTTTGCCATTCTTTCAGAAAGTCAGGGCTCAAACTGGTACCACCACTAGGAAGCAAAAAGACCAGGAAGGAACAAAGGTATAATAAAGGTTTTCCCCATTACTTCACTTACCTCTTTAGAATATAATGGCGTTGAGTTAGAACACAGTGCATTTAACTAATGACCTAGCACTTGATGTAGGTAGGCCAGAAGCAAAACCACATGTTTATATGTACTCTCTCATTTTTATTTTCACTGCCTTCCAGGTATTCGGGGAGGACAGTATCAAATTTCACATAAATCCTTGTTACTCCATCCCCTTATGCTAGAAAGATGTTAAGAGATCTTATAGCACAGAGCCTTATAAAGGATTTTCTAGTCAAAATAAGGCCATCCTGAAACACAGTGTTGCAACCTGCCCATCGCACTATGGGTTTTCATAGGGCTGAGTGGAGCTGGACAAAGGCAGGAACTGTCTCTGAAAAAAAGGAAGAGTTTGAGATATGAGAAATTCAAGCTGTCTCTCTGTGCACTCGAGGTCTCAACTCTCCATCTCCAGGAAATGAATGCATGCAGCCTGCAGAGTTTAATTCTCTTTTGGTTTATTACTATTTAAAAATCAGTTTTTGTATCCCCTTCTACAGAGGCTTCACCTTCCAACAGAACATACAAAAAATACACACAATAGAAAAAAAAAAGATAGGTAGGTAAGTTGCTTTATACAAACAGGTCCCTAAGAACCCAAAAAGGCTAAAACAGGCTCGGTTTCAATAGAAGCAGGCCCATAAATAAGCAAGAGACTTCATTCAAGTAGGGAAAGAGTCATCCATCCTCACCTAAGATCCTTTCTTGCTCACACTGAAGATAATGGGAGGATTCCCAACAACTTCAGTAGAAGCAGGATTGGGATTCATCAGAGCCAATGGCAAACTTTCCTGCTCCTTCCCTTCCAAGGCACTGTCTCTTCCATACAGTGTGCAGCCAGGGAAAAATGCCAGTTTTAGTGGGTCATCCCAAACTCAGTTTCAGTTGCTCACTCTACAGGACATCTGAGAATAGCCTTTTATTTTCTCTCTTACACTGTGTATTTGCACTAATTGTAGCAAACTTTCAGGTGACAACAGTACTGAAGAGAAATTCTGAGCCCAAGAGCAAGGCTTAGATTGATTCTTTCAAGAGCCAGCAGTCAGTCTGACAACTTTGCAGAGGGCATGTAAAAATTGCCTGGAGAAGGCACCAGTTTGTAGACACAGCAGCCAAAAAGCTATTAGCAAGCATGAGACTGATTTATTATAAAACCACTTACCCAAGCTCACTATGTGACTACAGGAAGCTCAAGAGCATTTATGGCTGCCAGTGGCTGTATGAAGTGCCCCATGGTCCACATGGAACCCAGGAGCTTGGAGGGGGGCACTGGAACATCAGTGAGACACCAGTTACCTCCTTCCTTCAGTACAGCTCAGTTCAGAGCACCTCCAGGTCTCCAAGTTGCAGTACAATTAGAGAGGCCACCTAGGAAAAGCTTTGTTCACATAAACCCTGAGAGCAGATCAACAGTGCCAGGCAGTCTTTAAATTAAGTATCTCACTTTTCAGGAAAAATGTGGCCAAATGTTTGTTCAACTTTGCATTACACTTGAAGTCAGCGAGGCCAAACGCTTGCAGAAGAGCTCACAGCACAACTGTGCAGCACAGTCTGGCACATCAACCAAGTCTTGAAACAGTCTTACCCAAGGGTTATCATCATCTCATTTTATAGATGGGAACAAAACACAGGAAGAGGCTAGAGATGACACAAGGTGTTAATTGTTTACAAACAGGCTGCCTTACTGCTACCATAGAGCAAACAACTGTGGTTTTTCATTAACATGCTTTAAACATTCCAGCTATCACCACAACCCTTTACAGCCAGGGTTCCTCCTCTTGTTCTGCACCACTTTGCAGTTACGTCATTTAACTGTTTTTATAAGGTTGGTGGTTTGGGGGTTTTTCCCCCTTTTTTATCTTTTTTAGGCAAAGTTCTCTGTTTTACAGCTAACACAGGTATTTGCAGAGCTGTACACATCTGAGTAGTGTACACATCTGAGGGTGAAGGCGGCAAGGAAGCAGGCAGGAAGACATTATGCCAATGTTTTTGCTGCTGACTCTGCCACTGCAGATGTGTCAGGGATCACTGCCTCCCTCCGGGTCCCAGGCTCAGTGCTCCAGAACACGCTGCCTTCTGACAGGGACAAGGAGCAGCAGTTTGGGCTAAAAGCCAAGTCTGTTCCCAAAGGCTCATTCACAACAGCTGAAGGATCTTGTTTTGAAAAGGATGTTCAGGATAAAAAATGGGACTCTCTCAGGAGACATGGGAATCTTCCAGAAACTGTTTTCCCTTTTAAATTTTCCTGTTGGGATTTTTTCCCCTCTTTGCTCATTTGTTTTGTCTCCCAGGGTTGGACTGAGAGCATAAGCTCAGAGATTCCCTGTGAGCTTATGTTCTGTTCAATTAAAACTCAGATACTGTACCCAGGCAAAAGGTGAACGGTACAAAGCTGGCTTAATATACATTAAAATATTCATAATGCTGTTAAGGTATGTTCATAATGCTGAAAAAAGCCAACACATTCCAGGGTTTTGTTTGGCACTTGCTCTCAGAGTTTCTGCCATGCTGAACAATTGAAAATATCTGGTTATTTTGGGGGTGATAAAGAAAAGCCTTGCCCATTTCATTACTGGAAATTTTGGTAGCTGTTTTTTTTACTTTGTCCATTTATCTCTCATGAAACCCAAAGAGAGCTCTAGCCCTCCGTTCATTCTTTCAACACTGAAGTCTGGAATTCCTTTGAAGTTTACTTTGGCATCTACTTCCTCAAGCAAGCACCTTAAAAAAAATTAAAGCTGAAAGTGGTACCCCACTCCAGACTCAAGACATAAGTTCAGATATTGATTTCTAGGAACAAAGATTTAGTGAAAAAACAAGACACTAAAGTTACAACAGAGCCTACAAAATCTAGGTTAGCTTTCATACTATCGATTCAGTTAGTTGAGTTAGATAGACATTCAATTACACAGCTCTTCTATTCAAGTCATTCCTTACTGCCGACAGCAGTTGAGGGAGGAACAATAATTTCAGGGAATACATGGGAAATAACAAATATTCCCTAAGTCACTGGCACTCAAACAGGTCTAAAACTGTGACTGGGCATTTGCAGTTCTTCAAAAGATTGGTAGGAAGACCAAGTCCACACCATCTTAGATTTCTAGGCTTTAAAACCCAAACAAATCAATCACACACACCCCCCCGACATATAATACTTTGCCCTACTATAGTTAAGGCACTGGATTGAGAGAAGGAAAAATCTGTGTTCAATTTCTGGTTCTGCTATCAATTTCCCACGTCATCATGGGCAAATCACTTCACATTGAGAGCTCACACGCACCACATTACCATGCATCAGGTGAGCCACACTAAGAAGCCTGCACACATTTAACACATAACAAATGCAAGGAAATTTAACTCAGTATGGAATAAATTCACATTAAATCACTTTACCTTGCATTTGTTGTAGATTAACAGTACATAAAGATAAAATCAGGCAACAAAAGAAGCCTAATGATAAGTCTGTGTCCCTACATTCAACACAACACTTAAGCATGCATGCAAGCGGTTTGTAGTCCTTCAGTTTTATTTCACTCATTCACCTATAAGCATCTACTCTTTTCTTGTCTACCTTTAATGTTTAGATTATAAATGGTTGAAGATTTTCATCATACCTAATACACAAGGGTCTAATCCTCAGTTGAGGGGTTTAGGGAGTCCTATAATACAAAGAAATACTACAACTCTGCTTATCTAAATTTGTATGAACTGAAGTTCTCTTCTTGGCAGAAAAGTGCACTGACTTCAACATTGGACTGCAGTCCCACCAAAGATGATGATAAGGAAAGAGGGCTGGCCCAAAATGAGAACTATCATCTATACATTGATAATCCAATTAAAAATGTAATATAAACAAGTGAGGTTACAGCTCAGGGTATGTTAAGTACTTCCATTTGAACTCTGAACTTCTGAAGATGAGTTTCTGTTTGGATCTGTTTTCTGTTCTCTGAGAAGCAGGCATTTCCCAAAGCACACAATATAAAGAATGCGCATGTAGATTAAATTACTAACCAGAATGGAACAATATGCCCCCAAAGAAGCAAAAAAGCTCTGAAAACACACCACTGCTAAAGATCTGCCCAAACTACTGCTGGCACTGGTCTGCATCAGTCTCTTGTGTTGGTGCAAATCCCTCCTGTTTACACTAGAATGATCTAGAACTGTCATTTCAGGATTGTTCACTTCCTGCCCAATTGTTTCCCTGTCCACTAGACTGAGAAGTAAGTAGCTTTCAACCGATGGATTCATGACAACTTAGTAAGCATTTTCTTTGACAAACAAAATGCACAGTTAGTGTTTTACAAGGCTTCCTATTTAGTTCAAGGCTTTTCATTTGTTTCATCAGGTCAAATTCTGTAGCATTCAAAATTACATTCTGATACACATGGCTAAATTCAACCCACTAGTAACACTGGAGTCAGTGGAGCTATATGTAGGATGAAAATACCCTATATTCTTTTGGAGTTGAATTGTATGGCTACTGCACCCTCTTTAACTACACATAGGAACACAAACTCCTTAAATATTTCAGAACACAACCTCAATTCAACAGAAATTTGCCTGGTGGCTTAAACGCGAGCTATTAGTAAATACGAGTGACTGCAGTTGCATTTGCTAATCCCAATAAATTGTTCTGCTGACTGGAAAGCCTGCTCTATCTCCACTGGCGTGGCAGTTCACAAGGTTGTCTCAGTATCGTCTGCATTATTAAGGTATTTGAAAATGTTCTGTTACCTTTCTGAAATTCCATTTTCTACTTGTCACCTAAGCTTACCAGTACAGCAATAGCAATTCCATAAAGCTTTAGTTTTAAGGTGGGTTGGTTTGTTTTTGTTTTTGTTTGTCTTCCCTTGAAATGAAACTCATACCTATTTTCCAGGGATTCTGGGAGAAGATAAATGGAGAGGAACATGTCCTTCAGTCTCCCAACACAGATTAATAGCAAAACCTCAAGTCTGCTGCAACATGCTCTCAATTTAGAAAGTGCTGGTGCTATAGAGAAAGCCATTGATTATTAATCCTTGGTTTGTAACACTTGAGAACAAGTACAAAAAGTGTAGCTTCTTAGAAAAGAGAAGCTAGGGCTTCTGAAGTCTGTAGAATTTAGAACATCATTTCAAAATCCATATACTGATACAAAAGGCTGTATAATTCCAACATTAAAAAAATCAGGAATGTATCTTATTTCAGTTATGCATTAACTGCAGGGTTTGGATTAGGAGCACCTGGGCAATGCAAGTTGTGGTGCAACAGCAGTTTGTGGCTATGTTCACATTTAATATATACATGTTTCCTGCAGAGGATGTAGGTCCTGGTCTGAGGTGGTCTATCCTGCTCCAGCACTGTATTAGTGATGGAGAAAGCTATTGCTTCATAGAATGCATGGTTGGTGTGGGACTTGGGCTTTTCAGAGTGGTCTTTCCAGACCAAATCACTGCTTAAACCTTTGCTTATTAACCCTCACAACTGTGATGTGGAGAAAACTCTTCACAGATGGGAAATTAAGGAATAAATTCAGGGAGCTATCCTATGTGACCTTGAGCATCAACAGCAGAACCATAATTATAACTCAGAGTATTCCTAACTCCTAACCCTGTGTTAAACAACATTTATACCTGGATTTGGTACATAACACCTTGACAAGTTACATGGGAGGAAAGGGAGAGACAAGACAGGACATTATCTCTGCACAAGTGGTATCTTCAGATTAAATGGAACCTCCAACAGCCTAGAGCCCAGCTTCTTTGCATTTTGTAATCAATTCTTTCTGCAAGATCTGCTGTTTGCAATTCCCATCTCTTCCTATAAAAACCTTTCTTATTTGGAAAAGAAAGGATTAAGACTGGCTTTTGCAAACCTGACTAGAGGCAGATCAGGAGAGCATTACTGGCTCTCATTTGCACACCTTTAGGACAGGTGGCTAAACTGCTCAAAAACCAGACAAAACGAGGGGATGCAAAGTAACATACTAACTTCTTTAATAGAGTCCAATCCAATTAAACCAAAATCACTCTGTGAACCCCTGGGTTTATTCACACTAAACAAGTCAGTGGTACATAGTGTTAACCCGATAGCTCATTGTGTTTATACCCTAGGTCCCCACATGAAAAATGAGCACCAGTCAACCAGACTGCAATGGTATTTTTCCTTCTTTTTTTTTATCTTTTTTTTTTTCATAAAACTATTTCTTTCATAGACTTAAAACAACCAACTAGCCAAGTTATTCATTATGGTACATCTAAAAAAAAAATTAATACTAACCCTAATGTGACTGCTGCTTTAAGAGTGCTCTGTGTCTCGCCTTAGACTGGCTTTTCAGTAGCAATTCACTACAACAGGTCCTAAAATAATAATAATAGAGAATTAAAAAACTGACAGCAAGTTTAATGGTCAAAAGTAACAAAAACAACCTGTTCCAAATGGGGATTCTTCTCAGCAGTTCAGTTCTGCTGCAGCACTCACAGCCTCACAAACGGCAGAAGGGGTTCAAATTCTTGCACCTTCTTTAAGATTTTCTGTTTTTTCAAAGGACAACTGCGTTGTACCCTGATAGGTACCACGGGCATTTTACTTACTGTTATATTCAATAATGGGGCAATAATGGGTCTGGTTTTAAAACTTACTGTTTTTCTGGGGTAGGTTAGGGAAGGTGGGGAATAGAGAGAGAACAAAAGCATAGCTCCCTGTAGCTGTAGCTCCCCAGGTGCCTCGGTCACTAGGACTGTCTAAGTCTCAGACCAGTGCTGGTAACATTTACTCTAGAAGATCACAACTAAACACCAGCAGCAGCCTCTAAAGCTCCATTTGGTGTTTTAGGTCATGTCCTCTGTTCAAGGTCACCATCTTCTGTATTTTATCAGCTAAGAAGCATTTTCTTCCTCTCCCCAGTGAAGGTTTAAAGGTGGGGCAGGGCATGAGATAAAAGGGGAAGCTAAAATGAATAAAAAATTCTCAGCTATAGAACCAAATTTCATTATTTCATCTTTCATTCACAGCATCTTATCATTATAGCCAGACTGCTGCTTTGCTTTAAGATCAAAATGATCTCATTTCCCCTCTGGCCCCATTGGTTGCTGGTCGACCTCTGGATCCACTAGGGATGATGCAAATGCTGACTGGACGATCTGAAACCCAAATGACTCCAGGAGAGACATGTTCTGTTGGGGTGAAAAGGGGGATCCTAAAGCAGGACCGAGGTCCCCAAGCGGGCCACTGAGGGCCCTGACGTGAACTTTCTGTATGTGTTTGTTCAGATAAGACTTTGATCTGAAAAAGCTGCCACACTCAGGGCAAGGGTACTTCTTCTCTCCTTCCGTCTCCATTTTGTTTTTGCTGACTGCCATGTCACACGAGAAGGACCCATTGGTGCTCTGTTTCTCAGGAGTCTTGAGGTCACTGGTGTCAGAGAGGTCTCCGTATGAATCAGAACTCTCAATCGGGTCCGAATGTGAACATTTCTGGCCTTCTATGGGAAGAAGAAAAGAGAAGTTTTCAGAATCTTACCTCCCCAAACCAGTATTTAACATGCATTAAAACAGATCATATCGGTTACCACCTGATTTCATTAATGCCCGTCATGACAGAATGATACACTTAACATTGCAATCTGTCACATTCAAGAGCCCTTGACCACAGGTCTTCTTTACAAACCACAGTTGCTATCAGAGCAACATTCAGGTTTTCAGTATGGACCTTTCATGATATTGAATGGGACCATAACGGGTCTCTGGTTTATGTAACACTCTTTTGAACCCCAAAGATGTCTCACAACATTTACACCTCAGGCACTATGAAAGAATGGACCTAATGATGAGTTTTTAATTTTACAATTCATTCCCACACTTCTGAAATATTGCTTATACTTTGGGGTAGAGCCTAGAAACCTAATGAACAACAGGCTGCAGCAAGATGTGAAGAAACCTGGAAACACTCAGCAAAACAGCAGTGAGCGACTGCAATTTAAGGCATGCAATTCCATTTAGTCTTGATGAACTTTTTGATTTTTACAAATCAAGTGCAATGCTGTTAGAAGTGAACTTCATAATCTAAAATGGTTCCATCTTAAAACACTGTAGTGTGAAACAGGAGGGAGGTCAGAGACACTATTTTAAGTCATTTGGATACATATCCTGGCAAAGCCATTGGTATGTTTGGAGTGCTCCCCACTCTCCTCTCACATTATGCCAAGAAAGTTTGTCCGCGCTTTTTGCTCAGCGCATGTGAATGAGCGTGGGAAACCCAGACATACTCCTCAACAAGTCTCTGAATACAAATAAGCTGGAGCTACTATTAACTCTAAAAGACCAAAGAACCACTTGGCACAACCCAAAAGACAGATTTGCTATGGACTCGGCATTACAAACCAAACAGGATATGCATGAAATCAATACACCACTGAGCCGGAGTAAATCTCTTGTTAAGTCAGCACACCACCCAAACCCAAAGGGCTTCTGTCGTAACTCTATCAGGACTTCAACAGAAAGAAAAATCACACAACTAGCTTTTTGCTGGCACAGACTTTGTTTAACCCAGCCTGCTGTGCTACCCTGGGCAAAAAAAAAAAACTAACTTTTTGGGACAACCATGGTTTTGAAGAATTTTCTGATGTTTCAGCTTCCCCAAGAATACTGATAGCTCAAACCAAGAAGCAGAAAGCAAGCTATTTGACATAAACACACAGCTTCACATACTCAGAAGTTAATTACTCTTCAGCTACTCCTACCATATTTCTTTTCTCTAGAAGCTAAAATCAGGTTAAACAAACAAAAAAGCAGCAGTACCATCACCCTCTGCCTGTCCTCCTCAACAGCATTAATAAGTGTAACTACAGGTAGTTGCATGGCTCCTCATCAAACTGAGAATGCATACTGCTTCCACCTCTCAAGAATCTTTATGAACTGCATTTTGCAGTTCTCCCTTCCTTCACCAGAAGTCAGATATGTGGTTTGACTGGCACAAGACTAAGGCAGAATGGTACAAAGGAACCATCAAGGATCTGCACCCCCCAGGCAACATTCAAATACTGACTGCTCCTAGGAAGATGGTCAAGATGAACTAATGTGGCTTTTTCAATCTCTAATAACCAAAGAAGCTGCCAAAAATTCATGTACCCTTACACGTGCATCTGCTTCCCCCAGACTTGTGAAATCAGCTATCCAAGGACAGGTGTTAAATACTATGTGATGCTCTGCAGTTTCTCTGCATCTCCCTAAGCTTCTCTCCAGGGTTTTCGCTGTCTTTCCTCCCTCCCCTTTCTCACACCCAGCCCAGCACCCCACACACAAAGTTCTGCAAAGAGCAGCAAGGTGCAGAGCAGCGAGTCTCTTGCCTTTGATGCCATAGGTCCTGACGCAGTGGAACGCTGCTCCCCCATTCGGGATGGACTCCTGGTGCCTGGAGACCTGGGGAAGGGGAACACCGTGGTGGGTTTTAACATGGACCTTTAAGTAGGAGGCAGAGGAGAAACCTAAACAAGATAAAAGGAGATGAGATCCTGCCACCAGCAAAGACACACATCTGCCTTCCCCATTCTTTTAATCTTTGTCCTGCTCCTACTCCCTATTATGAAGTTGCCATTATACTAACTTGATTTCTGGTTACCTACAACATGCTCAAGTAGGATTCCTAGACATAATCAGGCAATTAATACATTTCATTAGACTTCATTTGCTGTTTGGAAGTCATGATGAAAGAACAGCCTCCTTGAGAAACAAACCCAATGTAAGCAAACCTAGCAGATAACACAAAACTCTCTGGAAAAACAAAGGCAGAGGAGACATGATACAAAAAAGGCACCCATGTCCCTTCACCATGTTTGTGCTGCTTTAATTAAATAATGTTCATAATTTGATAATAATTTGGAAAATAGTTCAAATTAGTTTATGCTGTTCAGATTTGAAGGGATGCCACTTAGTAGCACCCCTCTTTGGTATTTAGTGTGCTTTCCCCTTAGGTGTATAGTGAATCCTAGAAGCCAGAAAGCTAAGTCTGCTGAGGTTTTAAGGTATACAGTTTTGTTCTACAGCAACTTTTGAAAACATTTCACCCTTCAGCTCATCCTGAATTTCAAAACCCCATACAACTCATATTTTGTCTGCAGTTAAAAAAAAACAACTAAAATGAAATGTCAGTACTTCTATTAGTTCTGCTCTGTGAGCCCAAACCACTGAAATTAAAAACACAGATTTCAAACAACTGATATCTGAACAAAACAGTGTTTTACATTTGTGCATGTGCTTTTCTAAATAGTTTCTGAAGTCTCACAAATACAACCTTTTCCTTTCATGCAAATTATCTCAAAATACACTTTGGGATGGTTTAAAATTCAATTTTTATAAGATTTGCAGTTAGTACTCATGCATTTGGAGTACATATATGAGGCACAAAGACTTCCTACACAGGGTACACCTATCAGCAGCCTTCTTAATTTCCCAGTATTTTTTGAACAGAATATTATGGCATTTTCACATTAGAAACATTTTTCTTTAACACCTTAGAACACAACACAAGTTTCACCATGACAGACAGAGTTTCAGCTTTCTCTGTCCCTTTCTGGATAGAGAAAGGCAGGACCTAGATTTTTTTAAACCAATACAGCATTTACAGCACAAGCCCTTGCACGAGAAGCTTCATACCAATGCTTCATTTTAAATACAGATAGATAAACTAGTGTAAGGCCATTTTTCTATTGATATAACTGCATTTATGTTTGATGCTATATAAGAACATCTTAGAAAGAATGTAGAACCAATACTGGCACAGCTCTCTGTGGTGGATTTTCTGACAGCAGCTGTTAGGTGCTGAACTTAACAATGAATGTGGCTTTACACTAGAATTCCCTATGCCAACCCAACAGAATATTTCTCTACACAGACTTTTCTTAGAAGCCAGGATCAAAGAGTATTCAGAGGTAATTAAGAACTATTTATGCAGGACCTGCAGAGCAAGACAGAACTCCACAGCAACCTGCTGAAGGGCAAAAGAGCAGACTACTGAGAATGGGCAAGAGTTACTGTACACTCCCGAGTTGAAGATAAATGCACAGAATAGCAGATACATCACAAGTGAAGAAACCAAGAACATACGACTCAAAATACAATACAGCAGAATCTCTTAGGCCACATGTCATCCAGGAAATCGATGCAATGGTATTATCCTCTGACATAATGCAAGACCTACCCTCAGACACAAAATGCTGTACTGAAAATCTCCCTGTCCCACAAGAGAATGTATCTTTCCAAATACTAAAATTTCACTGTGGAGATAGAAAGAACCAGTGTTTGACTGGCATAGAGAAAAGGACACAATATAGAGATATAATGGTGATGCTTCCAGCTACAATGTACTTCTCTTATTTCAGAAATGTCTAATAACCACATGCATGCTGAGATGAGCCTTGACATAGCAATGCATTAAAATCCTACTGCCAACCATTAAAAAAGGACTACCTACAGCTATTCGGTGTTCTCCTATACTACAACTGCCACAGGAAAATGTGAAGTTGCAATCTCTGCTATGTGGTATTTTTTCTGAGCTCAGAACTCTGTTTGCAGAGTACATTGTTTTCTATAATGAAAACTGCCTGCAAAGTGTGTTTGCTCCCCTTTATGCACTTGGCAGATGAACATGCGAGTCATCAACTTCCATCAAATCAGTAATAGTGCCAACAGGAAACTTTAAAGTGAGATTTTTTGTTCTGTTTCTATCCTTTTTTTTTTTTTGCTGAAGCACTTAGCATTGCCTTCCCCTCCCCCAGACCTTAATTATGAATGTCTGTCCTGGGAGGATGGGGAATTCAGAGATAATAATCTTTTACTTTTAAAAAGCTCTTTAAAAACAAAGTCAGGCTAATGCAGAGAATCAAGTGACAGTGATTTTCAATGAGGGAATGTAGTATTGTCTTACCCATACACATCTCTCAGCTTTGCAGAGCAGATTATTTCTTCATAGCAGAGGAACCAACATTAAAAACATGCAGACAGAAGAAATGATCTGCTTTATAAATAGGACCTATCCCTTGATCTCTTAGATACATCTACAAGGAGACAGACTATAGAAATAACTGCAGGATGCTTTTTCAAAATTTCCAGTTTGGATTTAGCTGGAACATGTGCAGAACATATCAACTTAATCAACTCTGTATCCACCTGGAAATACACAAGAATTCATCTTACAGTAAACAAGAATTTCATCTAACTGGTGGTTGGAATATTTACCCTTCTCCTAACTCATTTCTGTGAAACAAACAATGTTTGTGTGTCTGAAACAGAAAAGGAATCTTCAGAGTTGCACCTGTGATTATGAAGTTGTCAGTTCTAGACTTGCCAAAGTCATTCATCTCTGAAGCTCTTTGAAAAAGCCCACACAAGCAAATACAGTTCCTAAGAATGGTTATAGAAGATTATGTAACAACAAAGCAGGAGCAAGGTTTTTTATTTCAACTGATTAAAGAGAATTTGTCTTAAAAAGTGAGGATTGGAGATTAGTTTTCGTAAGCACATTTTAGATGAGCTCTTGAAAGAAAACCCCAACAAACCCAACAGAAAATCCCAGGGGAAAAAACCCCCACGAAACAAAACCAAAACTAAAGCCAACCAACAACATTGCTCAGCTTCCCTGATTTAACAGGGAAGCTTAATTGCTTTCATAATTATTACAAGCATAAGGAACCTACGTGAGAAAATAACCTGGAAACAGCATCAAATCACGATAGTGATTTTTGGACATTACACTGCCATTTTGTAAACGAAACGAATAACTGGAATCAGCGAATGGGACACGCATGACATGACAAACCAGTGGCTACTGCTGTCAGCCATATACTGAGCTTTCCAGCTCCTAAATCCACTAAAAACCTTTAAAAAAACATGAGACACTTGATTAAGAAAAGCCTTCAGTCTTCTGGTGGGATATACTGTGGGTTCTAAGCTCTGTCTTTAACACCAGGATATGTTAATCTGGGTAACAATCATCCACTTTTTTTGTGGTTTTTTTTTTTTGTCAGCCAACATCCAAAATTCTCTCTACAAGCAGCTTGACATCTTGCTTGACAATACTATATACAGAACTAGCTCAGTTCCAAATAATACAAAATACACCAGCATGTTAGCTGGGGGAAGAATCAAACAAAATGCCATTGCACAAGCACCACAGTCATGGCACAACTGCAGTGGGGCGGGACACTGAGTACCTTCTGACTGCAGAAATGCCTATCAGATAGATGCTTCTAACCCAGAAATTTTCCATTACCCTTCATCTCTACAATTTAAAAGGTAACTATTTAAAACAATCAACATTATCATTTGATTCTAGAACAGTATGGATTAAAAGCTGTACTGTTTTCGATCATAAATCTATAATCAAACTTCATAGCATAAAACAATGAGTTCACAACATAATTGTCTGACAAATCCAGTCTGTATCTTCCCTTTCCTATGAATTCTAACACTGAGTAGACATTTGAACAATAATTCTGTAGATGAATTACATTTTCTGAGTGCTGTTGTAAACTGAAATTCCCAGCAGACTAGATTCTGACAAGAAACATAAACTGTAAGAAAAAACTAGATGCTTCAATTTTTCTGTACAACAGGTCCCCTATCCTTCTACACAGAAGTGTACATTCTATTTATATCTCCACTGTACATTTAAACCTGTAAAATGTGAACAAACCATTTAGTCATTTCATTGTTCGAATGCCAGAGCTGTCTTTTGTCATGCTGGCTGAATTTCAAAAGAGCTGCAGTGACATCCAGTGGTAGTTCAGTTGAAACTCAATCTCACAAATTTGGAAACAAGACAATTTCTCCCAACCCGTTTGAGTTTCTGTTTGGCACCATGTTCAGCTAAAGGAGAGCAGGATAGCACCTGGATCTTGGAAAGCCTCTTTTCCATGTTGTTACCACAAAAAGAATTGGGATAAGCTTAAGCAGTTTTTCACAAGATAGGCCTTCAGCTGGAAAGAAAACCAAGCTTCATTTCATACCATCAACCCGGAGCTTCAGAATCCGAAGATTTTTAACCAGGATGCCTTTGCCACTCAAACTTAACAACACTCTCAGGACCTAGCAGACTGTTTAACTACTGGAAATGTCTCTCATTACTCATCAACTAACTCCCAATCATCCAAAAAGCTCCCTGTACAGTTCTCACATTAAATGGAAAACAGCTTTATTCTCTCAAAAGATTTCACCTCTCTCAAATTAGAAAAAGGAACACACATCATAAATAAAGGACTCATCAGAAAAAACAAGATCCCAAAACACCACAGCAGCCTCTTCCTACAAGGTATGTATGCCTGCGTGAGCCAACAATGGATTCTGAAGTGGTATATTAATCATTGAAAAAAGACAATAATGAGTCAAAATTCTTTTTCCAGCTTGCCTTACAACCCACAAAGCCTAAATTTACGACTCTTTCCAATTGAAGAGTACCACAAACAGACAGAAAAGCTTCAAAAGCTCTTAGCCATATGGTTTAGTCGAGCAGGGAGCTGGACACGGTATTTATGGTCCCTTCCAACTCGAGACATTCTATGATTCTGTGAAAAGCTGTATTTGTACAAACAAAGGTAAAGCACATATCTAGTGCTCTTTATAAAATCTGGTTTAGAAACGTACACTAATACAAAGCAATTTCTTAGGTTAAGAGGGAGAAGCAGCTTGACGCTACTGCTGCACCAGGAGGGTACGCAAGACTGATAAAATAATGTAGATTTTTAATGTATTTTTAATGTGTATTGGTGTGTATTTTACAGATTCTTCTTCCTAACTGATTGCAAGGACTCAGGTCTAGCCAGGTATAGGAAATAAAAGGTGTATGGTGAATAGCAGCAAGGCAGCATATCATGGTTATTGTACAGGTTATTGTATTTAGCAAATAAAACTCTTAAAACTGTCTAGAAACAATTTGCTTCAGATTTAAACTGAATTTCTTCAGGAACTATCAGCCACGTAAAAAGGCCAGAGGCCAGACCTGTAGCTCCATCAGTTTCAAGGTTAACTATTCAATCAGAAAAAAACAGAGACTACGTACACATCTGTGGCATAACCTCCTCCTGTTGCAGACAGACTCACGCAGCCTTACAGCTTCCCTCAAGTGCTGCCCCATCCCACTGAAATAAAACAGTAGTTTCTTCATTACCTCGGTTACAGATAGTGCAGAAATTGCTTGGTCCTTCACTATGCTTCTTCAAATGATCTGCCATATATGCTGCTCTCAAGTACTTCCCACACACCTGGCATGGAACTTTGTCTTCATGACATGCTAGGTGTGAGCGCAGTCGGTCACGAGTGGCAAAGGAAGCATTACAGGTCTGCAGGTATAATGAGAACTATGTGACTCATCAACTCCACTAAAAGAACTGATATTGTTGAACATACTTAGTATGCCTTAGAGTAAATACCTTAGATCCTGGGCATACACACAAATGACATGATGCACAAGGCATTTTCCCACAATAAAAATCTCAGATAACCAACACACTGCACAAAATGTAGTGTTTCTACTTGCGAGAATTAAGAAAGCAAGAAAACAGCTCTAACATACTACAGACAGTAAAACTTAAATCAATTTAAGAGTTGTAAGGTCTTAGCTCCTCTCTGAGGCTGAAGACACTAAAACTTTAAGTAATACTAAGAAAAGAAACAGCAGAAACCACTTCATTCCATTTACAGTAAGTTCTGCCATTTCACTGAGCCATTACAAACACTTTAGACCACTCAAAATGTCGTTTCTGTCAGTTTCCTAAATTTTTTTTCTTTGATCTGATCTATCTAACTTCAGTACATAGAATCCCTTTGGAGTACGAAGACGTACAAACAAAGCATCAGAGAACTGGCTGGGATGAGAATACGATGAAAGAGTAAAAGAGTCATCCTGGTATCCACCATAGCAGTGCAGACAAATTGTAGAAGTGAAGCTTCAGAACTGAACAGGTATCAAAATAACTGTATGGCCCTGTAATCTGTTTATAACTTACCCCCGATCAAGGTATCATATTCCACTCACTACTGTGAAACAAACTTGATTTGGCATTAAGCTAATATTGATTTTACTTTCCCACTTCCCAGGCGTAATCCATATGGTTAAGATGTGTGAAGGCTTCCTCCCAGTTTTATGATCATACCAATTGGCAGGCATGCAGACTACATATATAGCCCGTTACAACAGCCTGCCAGCTCTGAAAGGCTTGCTCTATCTCTAACATGTGAAGGAAAATAAATCACCAGCAATACACTGTACAAGTTATTAAAGATACAGTCTGAAACCATTGCTCACAAGTATGAGAGGAAAAACAAAAGCAAACATAACATTAGAATGACCAGAGTAAGTGGGCAACAGTGTTAACATTCAAGAGTGTGGAGTGTTTCATTTATATCACTTTTATATAAAAAAAAAAATCACAGCTTTAAGATTTATAAGCAGAACCCTTTCAGAGGTAATATGAGATTATTAAGTGACTTGGGAACTGAATATATTCTGTCTTTTCAAGTATCAGTGTGTAATTAAACAACTGTTTATCAGTAGACTTTAATGTAACAATCCTAGTAAAACTCCAGAATTATAACTTTAAATAAGTGACATTGATAATACAGAAGACCATAACCCACATAATTTTATATAATTTAATTTATCAAGATCTTACTGAAAAAAAACAACATTGAAGACAGCTGAAAAGTACCTATCAATTTCAGGAGGCTTTACACTCATTTGATCCTGTGAGATGCCTAAGTATGGTAAACTCCCATAGAGCTGAGACTATTCTGCAGCAAGCACAAGGCTTAGCACCTCAGAGGATCAGGACTTAATGAACTTAAAAAGACAACAGTAAAATTAACTGGATTTCTGCAATATACACAGTTTAACCAAGCTCACCAGACAAAGATTCATAAATTACAAGTAGTGAAGAAGCAGATTCTGGAACGTGAAAGATTTCTCTTCATTTGAAATCTCAGTACACAGCGCTGAGCAAAACAGGTGCAGCTTTCACTTACTAAAATGTCCTCAGAGGTAAACACTCATTTCAGCCAGGATTCCAGCACTGATACTAATCAATCTGTTGGATATCAACTAAAGATATGTAACTAGACAATCAAAAATGACAGCCAAGAGATCCATCATCAGTAAGTGTAAAAATACTGAGCCGCAGGAAGTGTCCATACAAAAGCATTGGGAATGCATTAGTTGATGAAGCAGACCAGAGACAAATCACAGGGATGCCAGAAGTGAAACGAGATCTGTTCCATACTGAACTTATCAGGTTGAAAGCTTAGGGAAAGGCAATATAATAATTTCTGTGTTTGATCTCTTTGCTGCTGGGCTGTGCACGGTTCACCTTTAGATAAGCTACATAATAAATATATCTGTGAAGAAGCTTAAAAAAAAAGTAAAAATTAAGTCCAGTGGAGAAAGCAAGAACCAGTTTAGCTGAACCATAACAATGGGAGACAGGACCAGGTTTAAAGAAGACCCCAAAGTTAATATTCAAATAGTTAATACTTATAAAAGGTATAGAGAAAAAAGTTTTATCTTACAAAAGATGTGAAGTGCTAAATGAGTGCTAAGAATTTATCATTAATTGTTAATCATAGAAGAAAACTCTCCAGTGCTTTCCTATCAAACATTGCACAGGTATATAAATAGATTAAAAAAGAATATATATATATATAAAGTTTAAAAAACATTGTTTAAGAAATACCTCTTGAAGGTTCAACTTTTCTATGGATGTGGATGTCTCTGAGCTTATTCCATGGTGGCTGCCATTTTCCTGCTAATAGGCAGGAAGTAAGAGAAATTAGGACAGGAAGAAACTCATTCTGCATTGAAATCAATGGGAAAAGCACTGGACTTGGGATGCCAATTTTAGGGTTACTTAAATAAATAGATTTTTTCTTTGTCAAAAGTTGTACTTTAATTTAACCTACATTTTTCTCTTTTTAAATTGCCAGAACAACAATCTGTCTCTTATATCTGCGAAGAGGCAAACTTCTTTTTTCTCCCCTTGCTCTTTCACATCCACAGATTTTGAGATCACTGTGTCCTCCCAAACTGCAGCCTAACTTTCATACCATTCACACTCAAAAGCCAACATCCCAGCTTCGCCCCTTCCCATGGTGAGTCAGCAAACTGAGCTACCCCATCTCCAGAAAACTGACTTACCCCTTCTCCCACATACAGAACTCTGTCAGATTAAAAAAAAAATAAATAAAAAATAAACGAACAATTAAATAAATCACCAGTGCAACAATCCAGGGGAAAACATCCTGAATGCATTTGGTGTCTTGTCTGGACACCAAAGCAACTTCTTGGATTTCTCAGCTGCCTTGGTTCTTTGGAGGCCTTCCCTATTCTGAGTCTATTTTATCAGTAGTGAAAAAGCTGGAATCAGGTCTTTGTCTGGCATCAGGTGCTGCAGCTTCGGATAGTTTTTCAAAGATCTGTGAAGTACAGCTGCTATTTTAGGGGGATGAGTGTAGGATTACATGCTGAGCACTAAAACCTAGAGCTGTTGCGGTGATGCTCAGCTTACAATTGTCCTGCTTCTCATAGTTTTATTCTGAAGTTGGGTAGACACCTTCACACTTTGGCTTTGGTAGCCCAAAATGTACCATGATGCTACATCAACAGAACCTTAGGTATCCACTGGTCTGTAAAGATAAATGAGGGCTCAGGTAAATGGCCAGTGGATTTTGTTTAAATCATACTAGAGCACAACTTCCAGGAATGCCATTGCCATAGAGGATTCTGGAAAGCTTTCCTGTTTACAGAGCACTTCTCTTTTGCAGTAAATATAAACAAAGCATGACAATAACATTTTCAACAGGAACTCAGATTCAAAAAGGATGCTCAATGCTGCTCAGGCTGCCCTCAAGGGGAGCTAATTTGCCAAACAAAATTAATGGAAAAAAACCAGAGACTGGAAAATGGGGAAACATTCCAGTATGAAGCTATTTTCCTCCTTAGGGGCCAGATTCTGTGTTTAAATACATGTTATGAAACAGAAGCGTTACTGGTTATGAGATCAGCACAAGGAGAACTTCATCAATTTTTACATCAGCTTCCGGATTTGAAACCAATTCAGTGTGATGGCATCCCTTCTGTGGTTTTTACCGTGCAAAGCACATCTGTGCTTGTTTGTGAAGACTTTCTAAATCTGACAGGATACTATGAAGTACTGTTTTTGCAAGGACATGCAACAGCTCTTTAACAGATTTTTTACACCTTAAGATTCAAGAAAAATTTACTTTGCATGGTTAAGCAGCCAAAAATCAAAACCAAACCAAGCCTGAATGAGCACCTCAACTCTGTCCTGACGCTGGTAACCTACAGCCTGCACCTTTGAACTGAATGACCAGTGCATGCAGAATTATGGTCCTTTAGACAACACACAATAAGAAAAGCTAATGTTAGAAACTGCTATCATAAAATTTATGCGTGCCAGGAGACTGAGTTGAGCTTGGCTGTACAATCTTAGCTTCTGTATTTCTTTACATTCTAGCTCTTAGTGCATCCTCTGATTCACACTTATAGAGCTCATATTTAATATTCTTATATCAGTCAGAAAACTATTAAAAAATTATCAGGCATCAGCTGACAAAGGACATGTCTGTTAATGCTATTCATAAATGTATTCCTTCAGTAACATTAATTGCAACTGGCAAGAGACTGGGAGTTTCTGTTTATGTTGGGACCTAAACATTCACTTTCATACTTGCACACAAATACATGTTCATCTTCAGTTCATCCACCCAGACCCCTTGCTATCCCCAAATGATGAAGTCTTTTTATGAGTGAAGTTTTCCAATTTATGTAAATCTATAACCCCTAAGTCATTTTAAGAAGCTTAAACCAGTCTAAGGCTTTATAGAAGATATGCAGTTAAATCAATGTGAAGTCCTTATGGCCTGATTTTTGAAGGTGTTGGGCTTCCACAGACCATATGGAGGTCAACTGAAACCTTCAGATTGCTCTATATGCCTGAAAAAAACGTTCATGGGTTACTAATGTTTCAAAACTCCCGTAATTTGGAGGAAACATGGGAGAGGTGTGTCAAGGTATAGTGAAAAAACCTGCAGCTCAGGAGGCAGCAGTCATGTAGGACTGACCAACTGTGTTCAAACAGTGTGGTTAAAAATATCAGGAAACGAAAAATCCTCTAAGCTTCACTGTCTTCAAAGAAAATGAAAACTATCTTGCTCCGACTTTAAATAAATAAATAAATCAATTTTTCTTCAGAGACCAAGCAGGGAGACTGTTACCCAGCAAATGTTTTAGAAGTTTGCCTGACAACTATGTGAAGGCAGTGAATGACAGTGGAAGCCAATTCTCAGCTTTGGTTTTAGTTAATACTTCCAGGCACCTTTTACATCTCTCTACAAGTGTATTACAAAATATCTTTCTTAATTTGATCTTTTAAATCCTAATGAATAATTTAGTAACTGGAAAAAAGTATATACAACATTATGACATTGTATTACAAAGGATAAGGTGATGCCATTATGTTTATTTTTCCTGGGATAAAACCAAAAAGCTTCCAATTTTGCTCAGTGCAATGTTCTGAAGGCTATGTGATTAAAAATCAAAAGTACCTTGGCAAGTTACGATATTCACCAATTTTATTTGAAAGTATTCTAAAAAAAAACCAAAATTAATTCAGCATTGGAGCCTCCTGTTGGCAACAACTGCAATAAATAAAAAAAGGAGGAAGGGGCATGGAGGCCATCAGCAGTGACACTGACTCTAAGCCCAGGGACAAGGTGGCTGGGCAAGAGATCCAGGGTGAGACTGGGATAGAGCAGCAGGGAAGAGCATCTGGCAGGAGGGGAGGGAGGCAGGAGGACCAAAGCTGTAGATGACACAAGGGGCTGGGGGACGGGAGGGATGGAAAGCAGCTGTCACTGTTGAACACAGTTATTTACCCATATTTATCCCAATTCACACATACATGGTATTTTTACTGATACTTCATAACTGTCTGCATGCATAAATGCAATGCCAAAGATTACCCATACATGAGTCTAAACCCCTTCAGCTCCTACCTGACACTTGTGAGGTCTCTCTGAGGTATGCACCTGTTTGATGTGTCCATTCAAGTGGTCTGGCCTTGAAAGAAAATACACATAAGCACACTTAAAACAAATACTAAAAGTAAACTTACAATTTTAATGAAAAAAATAAGATCCCAGCAGTGGATTATTACAAATGTATTACAAATGTGGTGATATTTAACTTTCCAAGAACCAGATGACCAACAACTGGGACTCTACTTTGACAAGTACCCTGGCCAACTTGCTAAAAAGGCAGCATTTTCTCAGGGAGAAACGATGACTGAACGATCAAAGAAAACAGGAAATGCAAGCCTGCATGTCCCCTTCCAAAATCCTATTTAGATCTTGACAATCAGGGCACTCTGATTTACAGTTGCTGAGTATTTGAAAACCAGATCCTTTTGGTTTCTGTCACAACCATGGATGTACGACGCCAACTTTAAGCACCTCTGTGCAAAAAGGCTGACAGTAAACTGTTGCTGTGACACATTTTCCACCAGTAAGGTGAAAAACTACTGTTCTAACACAACTTGGTGGGGAGACTCCATTAATACAAATAAAGTGCTCTGAAGGTCCCAACTAGAAGGTGCAATGGAAGAGCAAATTATTACTGAAATTAAAAGACAGACCATTCTTCACAATCGGTAAAGCCTACTTTAAAGAAGAGAGGACTGAATAGCTGCAGATTTTCCTGGTGGGAGTTTCTCCTAGTGTGAAGAAAGCTTTTCATTGTATGAAGCCAAAACTGCTTGGAAACAAGTTCTCCACCCTCTCCTCCCCCAACTTCCCAGCTGCACCAATGGGAGGGCGCGGGATGGAATTCACACACTGCGGACAGAAGATAGGCTGAACTTTGCAGGGAGGCTATTAAACCTGATGCTCCAGCAAGCGGGCTGGAGCCGTGCAACCGGAAAGACTGGTTGGGGTCCTTGTAGGTACCTGAATCCTAGCAACCTCACGTGCTGCGCCACGGAGCGAACGAAAGGCTACTAAAATAAGACATCCCGCTTCCAACTGCCGTTGGCTGAATACTGAAACTTGAAAGAGACTCTTCTTTTCATTCATACTTGAATTTTATAAACACAGACATTTTTGTTGCTTCCTCTTAGGACAGCATTCCTGCCTGTTCACATTAACTCACTGGGAAAAATGAAAACTCAACATGTATCTTCCACTTTCATCTGTGGACAAAATCCTCTTACACAGCAACAGCAGAAATCTTCCAGTGTTAATAAAACCAGTAAAAATTGGCAGATGATCCCAGGTGGCACTATGACAAAAAAAACACTCTCACTACTAGCCACAGGTGAAATTTTCATGTTAGAACTTCACGTCCCTAAATCTGCAGTCCCTGTGCAGATGCATCCCTAATTATTGCTGCTTTTAAAAACAAAAAAGGAGTCTACATTATCTTAATTTATTTCAGTAACAGCAAGTCCTGCTATCAAAAAGAGGGCTAGCAGGGGCATAATTTTTACATTTAGCGCATAGTAGCCTTCTGATTTGTTTTCGGATTCCGATTTCTTCCCTCCTGTTAGAGCAGAAAAGCGGCGGCTGCTACAAAAGCAACACAGAGTATACGCATCCCCCTCCCCCCCTGCTTCTACTCTCCAAGCGAGCAGCAAACTTCCAAAGAAGTTTCAAATTCATTAACTCAGACTATAAGATACCACTAACACGACTACGTGTATCAAACTACTTATTAACTCCCACAAACAGCGACAACAAAAAAATCAGCAACATTAAATGCACAGATCTTACGTATGTTGCAGGGCAGAAACAGGATCCCCTTCAGAAGGATGTAAACCCAAAGGACACAAAGATCATGTAATAAAAGATACTTGATGCTGCAGCCTTTGAAATCTCACCTCTTCCTTCACATTTGGGTGATAAAAAACATTACGAACTAAGAGAAATGAAGGGAAGTTAAGAAAAAGAAAATTTAAAATGGATACGAGAAAAATAATAATCTTGAGATGTATTAATATTTGCACTTCAACAGCACCTTCCAACTACCTACAAATCAGTAGTCTCAAGACACTTATGTGAGGGAGGTAATTACTTCAATACCCATTTCACAGAAGAGTCATTTGAGGGAGAGACTAACTGATTTGCCCAAGGACACGCATACACCAAGCCTGGGACAAAGCTGGGAATGTTACCCAGAAGCCACACGGACTCCCAGTTCTATGTCTTAATTACTTTTAAACCCTTTCAAGAGACTCTGGAATAGCCTCCCAGCGGAAATGTGGGACGTCTCATTTCTTGAGACGTTTTAAAGTGGAACAGTCAAAACTATCCTAAGTACAAACTGTTCTTGCTTCCCAAGGAATAAAGAAGACAACTTCCTAGGTCTCCATTCATGTGTATGGTCCTTGTAAGTACTCTTACCTGGAAAAGCCTTTTCCACAGCTCTGGCAGATATAGGGCTTTCCCACAGAGCCATCGTGAGATCGAACATGATAGGACATCCTGTCTTTCCGCTTGAACCGTAAGCCACACACTGGACACGAGTAAGGCTTCTCGCCAGAGTGAGACAGCTTGTGCCGATTCAGGTGGTACACGTCCCGAAAAATCTTGCCACAGATTTCACAGGCCACCTGTTTCCTCGTCCTGCTTCTTTTTCGGGGAGCATCGGGGTCATCCTGACCAGGGACACCATTTTCACCCAGTCTTGGGGGTGGGATGTCTATGTAGCCCAGCTGTAAGCTTGTCACCCCATGTTGAGCTTCATGCTGACGAAGACGATTAGCATCCGTAAATACTTTCCCGCAGAGACCACAAGGCAGAATACCAGCCTCTCGCAGCCCCCCTGGGGTACCAAACATCATGGAGTCCAAGAGATTGGCTTTACGGGGTCGCCCTCTGCCCCTCTTGGTGCTTAAAGTAGGGGCACTAGCAGCAACGTTCTGGAAAGGTGAGGCCAGCAGTGGTGGGGACAGAGGTCCTGCCACCATGGGCAGCCGGTCCACGCCCTGCAGAACAGGCAAGGAAGACTGCGCAGCAGTGAGCGCAGCCCGCGTGGCCTCGTCTTCGGGCATGCCAGCAATGCCATTGCCATTGGGTGCCAAAGTGGCACCGTTGGTCATGTCAAGAGGGAAGCCGAGGTCAGCAGCCCCCGGACGGAAGAGCATGATGTCGGGGCGTGCAGGAGGCACGAGGAGCTGCACATTGGACTGCTTGATGACCTCCTGGCAGATGTCAATCACAGAGCGCATCAGCAGGAACTTGGCGGCCGTCATGAGCTCTGGGAAGCTCTCCAGCCGCACCACGATGCGCGACGTGTAGGCGAAGTCCAGGATGTCTCCGAATACCTTGGAGCTGATGGTGTGCATCTCCAGCTCCCGCCCGCTCCCGGGGGTCCCGCCGGCCGCCGCACCGCCGGCCGCCGCTGCCTCCGTCGCGCCCCCCTCCGCGCCGCCGCCACCTGCCCCGTCGCCCAGCTGCGCGCTGAACACCGACTCGAAGTACTCGCTGCAAGCGGCCAGCACCGCCCGGTGCGCCGGGAAGCTCTCGTCGCCCACTCGCAGGAGCACGTCGCAGAAGCGGCCGCCGTTCTTGCGCTGCTGGTTGAGGCTGTGCAGCATGTCGGCGCTGTGCCGGCTCACCTGGTACGTGTAGCAGCCCGACGAGGGGCCGCAAGCGGCGGCCTCGCTCACCCGCTCCATGGGGGCTGCGCCGCCCCGCTGGCGCCCGCAGGGGGCGCGCGCTCTCAGGCCGCCCGGCGGCGCGCGCCGCCTCCTCCTCCTCCTCCCCGCCCCTGTCCGGGCCGACGGCGGCGGCGCGCGCTGCGCTCCCTGCACAGCGCGAGGGGAGCGCGGGAGGGGGGGGTGGGGGGGGCGAGACAAAAGGCTCCGGCGGCCGAGGGGCGCGCGCCGCGCGGGGCCGCCGCGGCCGCGCGAGCTCCGCCCGGGCTCGGCCGCCACGAGGCGCTGCGGCCGCGGAGGCCGCCGCGGGAAGGGGCGTGCGCGGTGCGGCTGCAGCGAAGCCGGGAGGGAGGGGGAAGCTCCGGCGGCTGCGGCTCCGGGCTGCCGGCTCCGTCCGTCCCTGTGTGTTTGGAGCGGAGGAAAGATGGCAGCGGCTGCACTTCCTCTTGCACTTTCACCCCTGGGGGGAGGAGAAGGAGGGGGCGATACCACCCCCCCTACAAAAATCCAGCGGGGGCCCCCCGGCTGCTGCTCCCCGACCAAGCGCCGCCGCCGCCGCCGGCTCCCGTCCGGGCCCCGCCCGCTTCGCTGCACCCGCACCACCGGCGCCGCAAACTTTCCTCTCTTCTTTGGCGGAGAAGACCCCCACCCTATTCATAAAGACCCCCCCCCTCCAGCCACTCGGGCTCCCCCCTGCCCCCCCGCTTCCTGCCCCCCTCCCTCCCCGCATCCGCCAATGCAAGAGCAGCCAGAGCCAGCAGGCCGGCCCCCACCCCGCCCGCCCGCGGGGGCTGGGGGCTGCAGTCTCCCCCTTCCCCAGCACCGATCCTCCAATACCGAGCCGGCAGCGAGGCCCCCGCCCGCGGAACACGGGGGGGGCGGCGGGGCTGCGCTCGCCCCCTCCCCCAAATATCCGGGCTGCAGCTCGCCCCCCAGGCCCCCCTCCCGCCGGAGAGAGGAGGAGGGGCCGCCGGGGGGGGGCTGCAGGCAGCCTCCCCCCCTCCCCAGGCTCAAATCGTCCAATGCAAACCCTCCCGGAGCTGCAGAGGCGCAGAGCGGCCCCCACCTCCTCGCGTCGCCTGAGAAGAGCCGATCCCAGAGGGGCCCGGGGCTGCGGAGCGGAGCGGCCTCCCCCCGGTCTTTCATTGCATTTCTCACCCCCACCTCCCCCCTTCCTAGGATCAACTCTCAGCCTCACTAAAGGAGCGAGGCCCCGGCATTGTGGGGGAGGCCAGGGGTACAGCGGGAATTCGCACAGTGCGAAAATGCCCTCCCCTCGGGAGCAGTTTGGGGAATGGTACCGCGGGCTGGGGGCTGCGGGAGGCACCGGCAACCGCACAACCCCAGGCGGCTGCCTCCATGTTGGGGAAGCGGCTGCCCCGCCGAGCCCGGAGCTGCCCCCGGTACCCCCGCGCTGCGGGGCTGCCTCCCGTTCCCCCGAGTTCGCCTGCCCATGGCCTGGGCTGCGCGCTGCAAACCGCACCGCTGTTAATCGACGGGCGGGGGTTGCCTGGACTGTCCTGGTGCTGAATGTTCCTCGTGCACGCCGGATCTCTCTATGAATAGCTTCTATTTCAACATCATTTCAGCTAAAATTTGCTTTCTGTCTCACAGAAGAACTCTACTTCAGAAGAAACATCACCCCCCTGTCCCAATACACACACACACTCCCAAAACAGTGTTTTGTTAAAGACAACACTTTCTAAAAGTGTTCAAGGGCACTTTTTTGCATTTGCAAGATAAAGCTCTATTAAGAATCCTTGGATGACCTATTCACGATCTAATATCACCTAAAGTGTTCTGTGGAAAATACTGAACTCTGCACACGCGAGGGCATCACAAACTACAGAGGCTTCCAAAAGCTCGAGTTAAATAGTGGTGGAACTGAACAAGCATTCTGGGTACTGATGTGCAAATGAGTGCACCAAGCTCCCAGCTCCCAAAATACCGTATTACATTAACGCTTAAGGCCACGCAGTGCCCTCAGCCCCTGTGCCAGATTTCTTCTGCTTTTGGAAGGAAGTGTTTGTCTACACTGCAGGCAGAATATTACCAGTAGCTTTTTATTACTGTGTTATGTATGCACACACCCGGATACAAACGTATTTTTAGAAATTTGAGGTTGTTTGAGTGCTAGCAGTGCTGACAAACCCAGCCCGAATACACCGCGTTATATAGATAACACAGTGCTTGCATTCTGCAAGTCTGTCTGGGTGCCACAGCCACTAGGGTTGTGCTTGTTACAGAGAGAAAAATGATTATATTTAAACACACTAGCCAGGCTGCATGCACACACACACACAGAGCCCTTAAAGAATCTGGAATTGCTTATCTTTCCTAGTGGCTTTGGTCAGTTGTGTGCCTTTTCCCCAAGTGGTTTATTAATTTGCTTTGTTTTTACTCCCGAGCCCCCTGACATGGTTCCTTCTTCCTACTTCAGTTCCCTCCTTGCCTGTTCTTTGTCTCTCCTCTAGGCAGGGGGAGGGGGGGTCCTGCCGCTCTCACTCCACTTTCCTCAGAACTTTCTCCGTGGAAGGGTCTGGTTTCAGCTTCCACCCTCTTGTTTAAAAGGCACCATCCAACACACCCTGCCTGATTCTTTAGGTAGAAGCTGAGTATTCACCCGAAAGCATGGATGTTTCTTGGCAATTTACCCCTTCACACTTGCTGTGGGGCTGCCACATCAGCATGCTGGGAGCTTGCATTCTGAGCTGTCCCTGGATAATGTTTAAAGATGACTGCCAGCACCTTGCATCCCAAGGAAATCACAAAGAGACCAGCACAACCATTCACCGTAGTTCCTCAGCACTCTGACACGATAACGGCTGGATCTTTCCTTTTAGCACTTCCAGCCGTACTATACTGGCTTCCCCCACCTCACGGCTTCACCAACACATTTCAAGAAGGACCACTTCTTGTAACTTTTAGCTTTCTCTAATCCCTGTCTCAGAATATGAGGCTATGAAAGTAGTCATTCAGCTTGTGTTTGTTACACGTTGCCAAATTTCTTCTATTTGCAAATAAGTAGTGTGTGCCATACTGAGACAAAGTTTGGCTCATCAGTATAAACAGACTTGAAGATGAAGCTCCCAGATTTAATGTGATGACTATATGTCATTTCCCCATACTTAACTATATAAGTGCACAGGTATGGTTACCTTTGAACTCATTTATCATCATAATTAACCGGTTCCTGTCTTGAAGACAGAGTTCCAGATGATGCGAAAGAGTTTTGAATTTAAAAATGTACATTCTCAGTACACAGATTTTCCTCCCTTTTTCAGATGATTCCTAGTTATTTTCTCTGACATCTTTTGCACTGGGATCTGTTGAACTCCTTTTTAATTCTAGCCTCTTAAATAAAGGCATTTTCCCTCAGCTACTTTATTCAGTTTCTCACTATTTCCTGCCTCACTCCTGCTCATGGGAATTCCTGAGCTGTCCCTAAATGTTTTGCAGCTGACTGGTGTCTGCTGAAGCACTTTGATTGGTGTTTCAGTAGTATTAAAAAAATCCTCCTTTGCTCTGAACATGTGTGGACCATTTGGGACTGCACACTGTACTTCGCTCGCTTCACTGCAGAATGGTTGCTACTGGCCTTACTCAGAAGTGCAGACCTTAAAATGAACTGCAAATACAGGAGGTAACAAAAGGTTGTGTTGGAGTTGAATCTGTTCAAACATATTTGGGTATACATTAATTAGACTTGAGTCATACTTATTTGTTGAACATTCTCAACTCTGGAATCGTAGGTCTTGAGGCTATTAAAATTTTCAGAATAGTCTCCATTATTACACTCTTTAAGGTGAGTTAGTCACTAGTTCGCATGGATTATAATAATAGCAAAGATTTCTGCATAGCACTTGTGCCAGCTAATTTAGTCATATGAACCATTTCCTTTCCATGTGTGTTCCACGGAAATATAGAACACTGAACATTTCATGGCACACTTGCAGTTTCAGTGAATAGCTGTCAGTTTTTCTGAGCTTTCACTGGAATTTTAATTAACTGTGACTGATCTAGCAAGCAATTAATTCAGCATTCATTACTTATTAGGTTGATCATTACTTAAATCTAGTTTTTAAAATTGCTCAATTTTTTATTGGGAATCATCCCATGAGAATGCTAACCCTAGCAGCAAGGATTCTCAGACTTTGAGATAGCAGTTTCCCCTGTAATCCGAACATGGGGTAGTGATTTGTCAGCTTTCTCCTCTAGAAGCAGACAAACATCTCTCTTGTTTAAAAATACCGAGCATTCTCACAAAAACGACAGCAACTGCTAATAGGGAGGTAGATGATGCTATGAAAAGTATGCAGAAAGAGTTATTTTTAAAAGGGAAAACTGTACTATTTGCTTTTTTTTCTTTTTGATTACTCTCCTCACTGTGTGCTGTGTAGTCCATCTGTTGCATGACAGTTCATGACAGTCTGGGGAGCTGATGCTAACTACAGAACATTTTGTTGTTGAACTAATTTAACAGTCTTGAAAGCCAATCTTTGATACTTAATCTCCCTTTTATTTCTCTCATTTCTTCACTCTACCCAGTTTAACTTACTCTAGACTGCCTGGAACCAAAGCAACCTGAGCTATTCAAAACAAGATTGCCACTTTAAGGGTCTGATCAAAATAGGAATGCAACCTAGGACTCCCCATGAATCAAGCATCCATGCTTAGCTAAGCAAACCTGACAGACAACTTTCTCATGTAAAACATACATTACAATACAACCTCAAATACTCAATGCAAGTAGGGAATGTTTGGTATTTACAGATTAATGCCTAAGCTGTACTGTCCTGACTCCAATTTGTTTTTAAATACCAGGTAAACTGGCATAAAAAAGTCAATCCAGGAAGATAACTAATAATAGAAACATCTGTATTTCTTACAACATTCAAAAGACACAACTTTCTGTCTATTGCCTCAAGAGTCAATTTAGATGTGAATTCCATCAACTTCCTGAGACACTTCACCTCAGGCAATCAGTTTTATGGTTCCACTGAAGACTCAGTATTACAGATCTCAAAAATCTTACCTTTTGATAGTGGGTTCTCAAAATCGTTTCTCCAAGCAGGTAGAAGGCTGGACCTTTGTCAGCTCATTGTAATGACTTTAAACTGGTTTCTCTCTTCTTCAGCATG